TATTACTGAGTCTTAGTATTATTTACAATACAATTTAATACAATAATATTTTGGTTTGCTTCAGTTGTACTAGAATTATTTCCCTTTTCCCAATTTTCAGGACATATTTTTCTAGTCCATAAAATATGTTGCAAACAAAAATAAATTTAAGGCCCATTATGACTCAGAAATGCATTTACTTTTCTTTCTCAAAAGCTTTTCATTTTGGTGTACTTTTATAGTATCCAAAAAGTTACTCATTGGCCAATTACCTCAACCATCTTTTTATCTGTTGATTTTTAGCAATAAGTACAGATATAGCGATTTAGTATTTTGTATGGAAGACAAATTAATGTTTGTTTACATTTTGCTACGTACTTTTATGACAAATTATTTCGCATTTATCGCGACTTTCTTTAGGTAACAAGCATCTAAATTCACTAAAACTATTTTTTAATCATTATAAAACTCATGTTTGCCCTTTGTAAAGTTTTATTTAGTTTAGTTATTTGTTTCTGAGGCATAATGTGCCTTTAAAAGTATTTTAGAAGCTCCAATCTATCAGTGTTTCTTCCAGAGCGCGTTTTTTGACGCATTTTTTATGGCCTTGGCACAATGAGACTCAATTAGTGTGTTTCAAGTGATGCAGTAATTTATTCTCCATTAATTTACAGTAAATCTCAAATTATGACAATTTCAAATCCATTGCAAACTATTTAACAAATTAAAATACAAATCATGCACTGCTTTGATTTAACAACTTAATACCTTTCAATTTAATTGTCCGTTAATCAGAAATCATTGTCTTCTTTTCCATCAAACTCGTATGTACTACACAACCCTCTTTCAATTGTTACACATTTTACCTGTATACAGTATTGCTAGTGACTAGCTACATGACCAAATATGGAAAGGATGATGCAACTGTGTAAACAACTGCCTTGCTGATAAAAATTTAAGTTGTTATACATATTAAACTGCATGAATTACAGTAGCTAACTGGGGGTAATTAAATTCATTAAAGATTTTTTTTAATCTGTTTATAGATTCTTCAAATTATTTTTATGCAACATTTTCTTTTCTATTCATCTATTATTTTTCAATGGCTGAATGAATTATAGGAAAGAGGCAAATAAATTAGTGGTTCCAGTTCTTTTATGTACTTCTTGGTTAATAAAAGAAATGGTTTGGCATGACCCTCAAAAATTTCAAGTTACCCCTAAAATCTGATGCAGGGGGGAAAAGATGACCTCCAAAAAATTGGAGCTGAAAGAAATACTTATTGCACCAATTTCTTGACACCATATATTTGGATAATTCCTTTAAATCAAAAATTTCTGTATGACAAATTTCTGAAGACATTTTCAGAAAAACTAAAAATTTTTGGAAAGTTTTATGGATATTTCATAATTGGCAAAATCCAGTTTAAAGCAACACACCTCCAGAACCTGCAAATTTTCATGAAAATTTTAATAATGTATTAAAAATAAAAATATTGTGTGAATTGAACAAAGAAAACTAGAACTATCACTAAATGTGATTAATACCCCCACAAGTCTGCTTCGGAAATGAGGATGTTACTAGTAACAGAATACCTTGTAAAAGAATTGAAACATAGAGTTATGTTTGTGGGCAATTAAAGATAATTGTGGTTCATGTATGTTGCATTCCCTTTCAATGTGGTTGGCCATTGATGAAGTTTAATTGAATTACTCTGTAATAAGTCCAGAAAGACAAAGAAAAAGAACAAAGGGCAATAACTCTATAAATACTGAAGATAGAGTAATAGTTCTTGTGCACTGCACTTCCTCTTATTGTGCTTGACCATTGTATGAAGTTGTTTTGAATTCCAACCAATACGTTTTAAGTTATGCTCCGGACAAGGAAAAGTATCAAAGGGCAGTAACTCTGTATTTTGTCAAAATGGAGTTATGGCTCTTGTGCACTGCACTTCCTTTGAATGTCCTTGACAACTGTATGAAGTTGTACTGAATTCCAAACAGTAGTTTTCAAGTTATGCTCTGGACAAGGAAAAGTAACAAAGGGCAATAACTCTGTAATTAGTCAAGATGGAGTTATGGTTCTTGTGCACTGCACTTCCCCTTATTGTGCTTGACCATTGTATGAAGTTGTTTTGAATTCCAACCAGTAGTTTTCAAGTCATGCTCTGGACAAGGAAAAGTAACAAAGGGCAGTAACTCTGTAATTAGTCAAGATGGAGTTATGGTTCTTATGCACTGCACTTCCTCTCAATGTGCTTGTCCATTGTATGAAGTTATAATGAATTCCAACAATAAGTCTTCAAGTTATGGTCCGGACAAAAGAAAGCAATGGAAAAGTAACAAAGGGCAATAACTCTGTAATTAGTCAAGATGAAGTTATGGTTCTTGTGCACTGCACTTCCCCTTATTGTGCTTGACCATTGTATGAAGTTGTTTTGAATTCCAACCAGTAGTTTTAAAGTCATGCTCTGGACAAGGAAAAGAAACAAAGGGCAGTAACTCTGTAATAAGTCAAGATGGAGTTATGGTTCTTGTGCACTGCACTTCCTCTCAATGTGCTTGACCATTGTATGAAGTTATAATGAATTCCAACAATTAGTCTTCAAGTTATGGTCCGGACAAAAGAAAGCAATGGAAAAGTAATAAAGGGCAATAACTCTGTAATTACTTTAGATAGAGTTATGGTTCTTATGCACTGCACTTCCTCTCAATGTGCTTGACCATTGTATGTAGTTATATTAAATTCCAACCATTAGTCTTCAAGTTATGCTCCGGACAAAAAAAGAAGGCAATTGAAAAGCAACAAAAGGCAATAACTCTGTAATTACTTTAGATAGAGTTATGGTTCTTGTGCACTGCACTTCCCCTTATTGTGTTTGACAATTGTATGAAGTTGTTTTGAATTCCAACCAGTAGTTTTCAAGTTATGCTCTGGACAAGGAAAAGTAACAAAGGGCAATAACTCTGTAATAAGTCAAGATAGAGTTATGTTTCTTACGCACTGCACTTCCTCTCAATGTGCTTGACCATTGTATGTAGTTATATTGAATTCAAACCATTAGTCTTCAAGTTATGCTCCAGACAAGGAAAATACAACGGACAAAAAAAAAAGCAATGGAAAAGCAACAAAGGGCAATAACTCTGTAATTACTTTAGATAGAGTTATGGTTCTTGTGCACTGCACTTCCCCTTATTGTGTTTGACAATTGTATGAAGTTGTTTTGAATTCCAACCAGTAGTTTTCAAGTTATGCCCCGGACAAGGAAAAGTAACAAAGGGCAATAACTCTGTAATTAGTCAAGATAGAGTTATGGTTCTTGTGCACTGCACTTCCTCTCAATGTGCTTGACCATTGTATGTAGTTATATTGAATTCCAACCATTAGTTTTCAAGTTATGCTCCGGACAAGGAAAATGCAACGGACGTCTGGACCGACCGACCGACCGACCACCGGGTGACTCCTTTATACCCCCCCAAACTTCGTTTTTGGGGGTATAATAATTTAGACATTGCAAAGGGCACTTACAACCCATGTAAATTACTGAAACAGAGGTAAAAAAAAATGAAAAAAATATCGCTTACTGTGTTACTTATTAACGCACTACAAATTTGGTGAAAAATACTGCAAAATTGATCATTTAAACACACATAACATTTGGGAAATTTATTTTCTTTTTCTTTTAATCTTTTTTACTTTTTTTAAAAAAACTCAGAATTTAATTTTTTTAAATTTGATTTCTTGAAATATTTTTGGGGTCATCTTGGGGGCATTCAGCTTTAAAGGGCCGGAAAGGGCTGTGTTTGACTGGGGAAAGGGTTGGTTTATTCCCCTTTTTTTAGCCCCTTTTTTGGTTTTACAAGCGTCCAAAAGTGAAAGTAGGCCAAAGACTATTAAAAACAAAAATAAAAATTATAACAATAAATATGCTGCAAAAAAAACAACATTTGTCTGCACTAAAACAGACACTAAATTTGATTTTGCCATTTATGAAATGTGTATAAAACTTGACAACAGATTGTTCTTGGTCTTCAGAACTGTAGCACATTCAAGGTAAATATTCTTATTGATATCATTTTTATTTTTGTTTTTTATAGTCTTTAAAACATAGACCTGGAAGTGTACCTTCATATGGTTCATCATTTTACATTGTAATCTTTTTTGTTATATGAATTTTGGCCTACTTTCACTTTGGCCAGACTTAATGAAAACAAACATGGCTGACAAAGCGGAATCACCTTAAGTTTTGAATTTTTAGTTTCATTTTTGACTGTAAATTTCCTGATACAAATATCTCAAGTTATCTTATGGATATATCTCTGAATACTGCAAACCCTCTGGTGAATATTATACATTTTTCATAAACAGTTTCCATAATTTCATAGACTACAAATATCATGAAATCCTAGACCTGTTATTTTCATAGGTGGTCGGTGCGTTGATCGGTCACTACCCCCCGGGGGTAGTGACTGATATTTTAGTACTAAATAAATACTATCAAATTTTTATTTTTTGTGGGATAAGGAAGAAAATTGAATTAAAGGCATATACCAAATATCAAAACATGTTTTAAATAAAAAATTCTGCAGTTTACATCATGAGGTTTTGAGAGGTAGTAGGGTTGTAGAGTGGGTGAGTCTGGGGTGGGGCCCCGGGGAGGGGGGTAGTGACCAATCAACGTGCCGAACACCTATGGTTATATTAAGGTATTGCCACCATCTGACCTTATCTTCAAAATAATAAAAAAAAAATCATCCAAGGTCTAGCCAGTGTCAGACTGACCCTGTAACTGTACATAAACAGATAAATAAATGGTTAAAAAAATGGGATGCGTTCTTATTACACAAATGCATGTTACAAATTAACACAATGATATCATATGATGCCAGAAAATTACTCCTTCACGTTTGTTTCGATAATGTATAGTCAACTCTGTTGACTGTAGATTAACAACAACAACAACAATGGCGGGTACAAGTGGGTGGGGTAAGTAAAGCATTTCAATAATTTCAAGTTCTTACCAAAAGTTGGCCTGTCTTCGGGCATCACCGTGAGCCCGAAGACACTGAGGACAGTCCTAATCCCAGACCTGACAACCTCCACAACCCTCCAACATGCAACGCTAAACCACTCCATCATTCTCGTAAGTTTTGAAAGTTTTGTTATATCAGTAAGTGTTATAGTGATATTGTGCTGGCGAACATTTCAAATTTTCAGTATTTATAGTTTCGCACCTCTGGACAAAGTGGCCATTGGTCACTTCTCGTGACGTAAGTATCACGTGCTATTTCACAAACTAATAACTACAAAAAGGATACTTTTCAATTTTTATATTAATCCAAACACAATTTTCAACAAAGCATTCCCGTTTCAACTTTGCACGCGTTAGAAATTTAAGACACTTACACCGATAACTTCGTGATTCTCGTGCAAAATACAAATTAGAAATGTGTCGTCCTTGTTTTCAATGCTATATAACATTCTTAATATTGCGCACGTGTGATTGAGCGGCACTTTTGTTTTATGTTAAGAATGAAAATAAAAGCTTTGATGGATAAGGTCTAAAATTAGTACATGTGACACAAATAATCATAGGGCTTGGGTTTTCTGTACTAGTAGTAACCTTCAAATAAATTTTCTGTTTTGAACAAGTTACAACGGTACTGATAATGAACAGAAGACTAATGTACACTAGAAATCCGACCCTATGTTACCAAAAAAAAAAATTTATTGAATACGGATAAAGATCTTTGATATTAGTTAGAAAACCGCTAGCTTGAACTTGATCATATTTTAATAAAAAAATACTCATCATTTTTAGAAGTTAATAGTGAACAGTGGAATTCATGAACAGACGATCACTCGGAGACCTGCTTATAGTTTGAAACAAGTGATATAACCATCTCGCATTTGATTCTTTCCGTGTGACCCGTGTGACACTCCGTTATTGCCATCTGTCTAAATACAAATATCTGGAACCAAAGTGATCCCTCGGAAGCATTTAAAAAAGCAAAATAACATGAAAATTGCAGACTCGTTTTGATTGAGTCTGTACATGAAGGATAATGAAAAATTGCAACATCCCTCACGGCTGAGCTTTACTTAATTCTCAACACTGAATAGTGCTGGACTCAATGATCCCGAAGGACAAGAAAAATTTAACAACGCTGAAGTAAAGTACGGGGCAACTTTTTACGGCTGCCACACAGCACTTGACACGTGCTGTTGTGATGGATCCAAAGCGAAATTACATGAAAATTGCAGACTCAACACATAAAAAATTAGCTAATAATGTTGGACTTTTATATATTTAATCAGGTTTAGTGTGTTTTTCCCGAAGTTTGATTACATACAATAAGTGATGTTATTTTTCCGTGTCATTGGTGACATGACATAATTGTTGTGTTTATGATACTTTTAGTTCTTTCTTTAGGCTTGTTTGCTAGTTAGGTGGTTCTAGCTAGTATTTCTTACTTGGATACAGGTTAATCACCATAAGAATATACTGCCTGCTTTTTCAGTTTGTCTTTTGAAAGCACATCTTTGATATACAGGACTCATAACATCTGGATCAAATTCAAAATTCCAATCTATTAGTTTCTCCCATTGTTTTCTTCGTTTAATTAAGACATACACATTATTTTACTTGCGGACCATAAGCCGCTTTTCATGGATTAACATGTCATATTGAAGATTCCATGGAAAACGCCTGACATGTTTCAAAATTCAAAATTTTATGATTTTATGTTGAATTTTCTGCTCGGGCGTGGACGGTAGCTTGCATTTTCCAGCACACTACAGTCCACTGATGACGAACAGGCGCAATCAAAGCAAGACTGTAACATTTTTATTTTCCGCTAGTGAACGTCCCTTATTTGTATGTTATTATTATCTATTTTTATGCAGTATATCGAACCATATGAATCATGTTTATACTTTACTCAAACATTACTCACACATAAAATGATTCAAGACGACCAATATCAAAACATTAACACATTAAAATAATGATGTTATTGAAATAATTTTGGCTATTACAAATACATTGTACTATAACAATTAATAAATTGGCATGTCATTTGTATTTGTTTATTATACTTAATTCGTCTGCACTTTCCGCTATCGATGGTAAATGGGAGATAACCCCTAGAGTCACAGTACCTGTGCTCGACCAGCCCAGTGCTCGACCAATACTTCTATTTGTGTATGATTTATGCATTAAAGTGGAAAAACCCTGGGAGTTTGTGCTTGCTCTTTGTACCTGACCTGTAACCTCTACATCATGTAAAAGTACTCCAAGTTTGGTAGAAGATTTGCCATTTTGCAGACAATATTAAACAGTACAAAAATACAATTTTATAATAAAAGTAGCAGTAAAAACTATCTAAAACACTGAAATAATGATAATTTAGGGCAAATGTGGACAATATTTGTTAAATTGCCTTTACTTTTATGATTCGAATTGATTTCCATAGGAAAGGTGTTCAAAAATTATCAAAACCCTGCTTTACATAAAAGGCAGGGGCTATGAACATGTAAACAAATATGGCAGCTGTACGGAAACAAATCGAGAACACACCACTAAACGCATGGACCATTTGTATATTACACCAATTATCACACTTAACTATGCTTGCAGAGTGATTTTAGTAAAAAAATATGAGAATAAATAATCCCAAACGCCCCAGTATATTTATATTCCAAAACTCTTATAAACACTTTATTTGTCAATGTATAGCATTTCCTTTGTATCATATTTGCTTTCATATTTTCATCTATAGACAATAAAACATAAATGTTTCAAAATATTTTTGAAATAGAATTGTTGAACATAAAAAGTCATATCTGTTTTTAAGAAATAAAAGTTCTGATAGAGATTAAACCACCTGGTCGAGCACTGGTTTGGTTGTCTGAAAAATATAGTAGTTTTATACCCTATATACAACTCCGTGGTAAATTGTATCCTAATCTGTGTTATTAAAACGCTTTAGCTTATTGTGAGTTTGAAAGGTCCAGCTTTGTAACAAAAATAAGTTTCCCATCAAACCTTTAGTTCTGAAAGAGTTTTTATGTGATTTTGTGAAAAACTGGTTGAGCACTGGTACGGTGACTCTATAACAAATGTGCTTAGTGCGGACACTGGTTATGCTATCTTGATAAAGTTTATGTTAGATTGTGCTTAGTTGAGGGTGCAACGTTAACTTAACTGTTTTCTATCAAATTTTACAATATTGATATAAACGATTTTATAATGCTATATATTTGACAGTTAGTAAGTAATATACATTTTAGTTAGTAAGCTTTATATTTTTGTTAAATTTGTAAATATACTGTTTATTGGATTACGTATAAGTACGCTATGAAACAAATTAAATATTCGAACCGTCTCAGCGAAATATCTGCTTATTTGTATTACAAGATTGACAATAGACTGTTGACTATAAAATGCATGTGATTTGAAAAGTATGTAAATGTTGTTACATTGCGTTACGTTACATTCTTGCTACTGTTACTGCCAATTTCACGTTTTATAATTTTGCTACAGTTACTGCTGTGCCACTACTACTGCCAATTTCACGTTTTATAATTTTGCTACTGCTGTGCTACTGCTACTGCTAACTTCACGTTTCATACTGCTTCTGCTGCTGCTACAGCCTCTTCCCATGCATCAAATCTAAATATTGTGATACCAAATACCGTGATAACGTCACAACAAACAGTGTCCTGTCTACTGCTTATTGCTTTATGTCTATTGCAATGACAGTGGTCAAAGAACTATAACTTTCTGCGTGTGTGTATTTACTCATAGGTGGCAGTCATATAATCAATGTGACGCACGCATCCAGGCTATCTCAAAACTGTGTTCACTGCGACTATATTAAAACCTGGTTTTAATCAAGGATCGATCTTTTATTCTTGATTTTACTACTTCTGGACCGAATAACATGCTCGATTTCGAAATATTCACTCTATATGCCTTGCTGGGGCTTGAGCGGTCAGAGAATCCTAGCGTATAAGGCGTATACCTTCCACCGAGTATCTCACGATCGATTTTGGTGGCTGGTATCCAGGATAATAAGTATGCCCTAAACATTAAGTAGACCATCCTGGCATGTATACCCTATACTCGGATCCTGGAAATTGGCCTGTTTGCATTGAGGATGGTGAACCGCTTTAGCTTGTGATTTGAGCCTTCAATAATCCTCACGCCATATACCCGGCCTAGCTAGAATATACCACAGGGACTCGAGTGGGCGCTTGACAAGTAGAGATCAACCCTTTGACTATCTTTAGCCATTAATTAAAAATTTATGAACAATAATTGATTGTGCTCGATCATATGGCTTAAAGCCAACCAATTTCTATATACAGGGGCATCCGTGGCCGAATGGTAGATGTCTTCGACTCGCAAGCACTTACCCCTAACCGCTGTGTTTGAATGCCGGAAACGAATTTCGTTTTGCGTAAGGCGTTCGGATTTCATTTTAGTCAAATCTCAACATGTATCAGAAAATAAAATTGTATAATGTTTTTACTGTTATGACAAGGCTGTAAATGTTTACAATTAAAAGTAGATGGAGTATAATTATATATTTGTCTATAAGAAAATGTGATGTATTTGTCTAGTGATCTGGTTAGGGGGTGTAATGTAAGTAGGCATTGGTACTGCAACCAGTCCCTAGAACATTAATTATACTACTGTGCAGTCATCGTTAATGCAAATTTTCTGCGAACGCAAAAGATTTAAATAGCAGGCAATTTGTCATTTTTTCTGGAAAATTTTGAAATGTTATTTTGCAGCTATTTTAATAGTACGACAAATGACGTCAAAAAGTGACAATGAGTTGCGTGAGATTGTAAGATTTTGTGTGGGACTTACAACTGTAATAATTAAAAAAAAACAATAAATGATGTTAAATAGGTCTGGATAAGTGTGCGGACACAGGAGCAAGTTAACCATGCACTAACTAGTCAATGTTGCTTAGATAACTATAATTAACGTCAGCGTGAAACGGCGGCGCTTGTAACCTTTATGTGTTTCATATAGTAGGCCTACTGCATGTTGTTCAATATTGCGTTCAATGTACCTAAATAAAATTTTAGCCAAATATCAGTCGTGAGTAAACGTATTACGAGATAAATTTTGTCGTTTCGTTTTCTTTTCAAGGTTTCAATGATAAAGAAACTAGAAATCGCCCTTTGCATAATGCATATGAACCAGGACCCACTAGATACAGTATATCAGAATACATTATACATTCTATTGTTGCCAAAAATAATTCCACATGACTTACATCTGTGTGCCACAAGTCCAACTTTGGTAAACTGTCGTTATTCCGTCATTATTTGGCTAGATAATCAAGTATGCTTGTTGTTTTAAGACATAATCACTCTAAAGTTTCTGCATAGAAAAAGTAAAGATGTATGCAATGTATGTACCTCTTAGCATGCATTTTCTGAAACACTGCACAAAATGGCAACGTAAAGATAAAGGCAATTGGAAAATTTATTTTATTATAACTGGGAAACACTTATTGTTATCAATGGTAATGCATCTAGTCTAATTGCGAAGAAAGCATGTAGCTTATTTGGACCTCTCTTGATCACTCGTCACATACAACGAGACACGGATGTTACCATCATAAAATTCATTTATAAAGAAGCAGATCGATCCCTATAGCCACTCAGCTTATGCTCACCAGTAATGTTAACTTAATGTTTCTACATATAAATTGACTGATTGTATAAAACAAGAGGGCCATGATGGCCCTGAAATCGCTCACCTGTATATAGGCCCCCGGGGCGGGGCCAATTTTAACCCAGGGGTCTTTATTTGAACAAAAATGGTAGACACCCATTAGTTGATGTTTCATGCTCAATATCTTAGCTCTAGCTCATAGGGTTTTTTTTTAAAAGAAGATTTTTTTAAGATTTTGCTATTTACATAAAGGGAAAAACAATGAGCCCCCCCCCCCCAACCCGGGCGGGGCCTATTTTGACCCCAGGGCATTTACTTGTATTTGAACAAACTTGGTAGACACTGACTAGATGATATTTCATGCCAAATATTTAAGCTCTAGCTCTTTCGGTTTTCTAAAAGAAGATATTTTAAGTTTTTTTTCTTTTGGTTGCCTTGGCAACCAGAGTTCTGCTTGAAATTAAATTATTTGAACAATTTTTAAAGTTGACTATCAAAGGAACATTCTTGTGAATTTTGGATGAAATTGGCTTTGCCGTTTATGAGGAGATGTCGTTTAAATTTAAAGTTTACGAAGGGACGGACGCCGGACGAAAAGCAATGACAAAAGCGCACCATGTCACTGTGACAGGTGAGCTAAAAATGCTCACAATAGTGATACGGAGTCTTTGCAGCATAATCTAGGTCAACTGAGATGAAATGTGCAAATTTTGTCTCGAGTAATATCTTCTACATGCATGGACCAATAATCCCAGTGCTGAGCAGCAGATTCGGCGCATGCCCCCAAAGCAGTGTACATTGCATGTACTACACCGACTTCTCTCTTCACGATCAGTCATATCTGTGGCCGAGAAATAGTCCGGACAGTAATTACAGATGAAAGGGCTTTTAATAGGACAGAAATGTGAGCAATAATCACTGAAACTATTCATGCTAATCTCAATAGTTGTTTGTTAAGTTTCTTGCAAGGCTGTACAGAGGTTACAGAGTAACATTTTCTAGACAAAAGTTCTAAGTGTGAAGTTCCTACAAATATGGTTAACTTTACTGGTTTCCACATTGTATCTCACAACCACTGAATTAATAGCAACACAGGAAATTTACGCCAGATTCACCGACAGTATCAATACATCATTGCGGCTGACAAAGCGGCGATTATATACACATCTCCATTGAGATTGGGGTGTGGGGAGGGGGTCGATGTGAAAGAAAAGCAAGAATATTTTTTCATTTATGTGTTTTAATGTTGACTAGTACAGTCGGTCATACATGATATATATGTCAAGCAGCGGAGTACATTTAAGTTATTCATTTCTCTCAAATATTTGTATTTAGAATATAATAAGATATAACAATGTACTTCACTTGGTAAAAATATAGTATTAAAATGTATGGTATTCACGTTGTTTCAAAATTTTAAATCTCACAATTGTGTTATAGCTGTAACCAATTTTTCTGGATTTTTTAATCAATTTAATGACTTATCACACTGACGTTGGGTGAAGAATTTCAGCATGAACAAATTTATTTAGCAAAAAAAGCAAAAATTGAAAAAATAATTTATACTTTGATAATCAACTTAATTTCATAATTCATTAGTCTTGCAGGGTATTTTAATAAATACCAAAAAATGTGTCAAATAATTGTTTAACTTTTACAAACTTAAAATATCTCAAAAATACCAGAGGTGTTCATTAGAAACAATATGATTCCATCATAGAAAACCTAAATGTAACATTCTAGAGTTGATATGTCAAAAAGCTTTTATTAACTTCAATTTTTTCCTTTAAAATTTTATGTTTTATCTTCTGATTATAAATAAAAATTATCACAACCATTTTCATATTGTTTTTTTTCCTTTGGCAATATTTTCTGCTAGACATAAAAATAATTTTTTTTTTCTTCTCAATGTTTGAAAAAGTTCTTTGACTATTTGTCAAACAATAATACTACACAATTGTCTAGACCAAGTTTAAAGCTTTTTTATTCATTATTAGTATCCTTAGAAATAAACTTAACCCTAACCCTTCACAGTCATGCTTGATATGCATTAAAATTTTAGCCTGAGGTTTTATCTACTCTGCCTATAAAGATATTCAGGCCAGCCTGACAACACATCACTGGTGCTACAGGCTTTCCATAACTGTATCATTCTAGCATTTTAGACTTAGTCCTGAACCTTCTGATTTCATGTAATGGATCTGCCCTGCTTTGAATTTGGAACAGTCCATTAGAAGTTTAAGGGATTACAATATCAGAATACAGACTCAAAATTCAATTTAGCTTCAAATGGTATAGAGCCTGGTCAGGCTGCACAGGTGTGTAGGCTGGCCTGAGTCTATACAAGTGGCAAAGGCTTATCACTTTGGTTAGGGTAAACTTACTTCTTAAGATATAGGAACTTCATATGAATAGAAAATGTTTATAAATTAATGGCAGTTCATTATTCACCAAAGTTCGAAAAATCGAAAAAAAAATATGAGTCTCATTTTGTATAAAACAGAGACAAATTTGATGAATAATGTACCTGTTAAACTGGAATGCAATATATAAATAGACTTCATTTGTACATAAAAACAAATCATATTTAGGCACTATTTCCATTAATTAGGCCACAACCTGTTCTGATATGTAATTATTTCTGTAAAAAAATCACTATTTATAAAATCCAAGACATCACACTTCTCTAACAGTTTTACACTAACTATAACATAATTCACTTTCAGGGATGAAAAAAAAAATAACATAAGACTGCACAAAATCAGACACCACAAAATTTGAACAACAAAACAATCATTGTTGATATGTACTTTGTACCTCTAAAATCAAGGGTTTACATATTATATAAAACAACATGTTTAAAAACAACTAAAATAACATGTAAAGTGTCTTCAAAGTTTGAATAAAACCTTCTGCACAAATACCAGTAACTTTGTAAGCTATCTTTACATTTCAAAAAAAATTTAAAATCCAATTCTTTCTAACATATATGAGCCGCGTCACGACAAACCCAACATAATGGGTTTGCGACTAGCGTGGATCCAGACCAGCCTGCCCATCTGCGCAGTCTGATCAGGATCCATGCTGTTCGCTTACCAACTTTATTATGAGTAGAGAAACTGATAGCGAACAACATGGATCCTGATCAGACTGCGCGGATGTGCAGGCTGGTCTGGATCCATGCTGGTCGCAAACGCATTATGTTGGTTTTGTCGTGACGCGGCTCATTATATATAATACAACATGTATATAAGCTAAGTAGAGCAGAAAATAAATCTGTAAGACAAAGCATCCAATAACATAGGATTCTTTTTTCTCTGTTCTCAAGAAAATGCTCATTTTGCTCTGCATTCTGCCTGTCCACTCATTTAAATACATTATTAAAATTTAGGAAAAACCCACATAAAACTATAAGTGACAAACTGTGTCTCAGTATTTCAAGAAAGATGAAACAGTTAAAAGAATTAATAGTTCCATGACAAAAATATTCTATAGCAATTTAAATTGGGATTATCCAGAATAAAATGCTCTATAACAAAAATATCCCATTACTATATTTACTAAGTTAGGGTTAGCAAACAAGGCTCACATTTGCAAGCACAACAAAATTTTTAGCAGCCATATTTATTTCTTCCTACTGCAAAAATGAATTACAAGTTGTTCTGAATGTTATGCTAATGATTCTACTAATTTAGGTACAACTGTAAGAATTCTGTTTACGATAAAATTAATTTCATTTATTTTTGTTGTCGAAAATTTTAAATTTACCAAAAGAAATTTAGCTTTATTCTTGTATTTTGGCGAGAACAGTCTGCCAAATATAGCTTTATACCCTTTTATTAAAAGAAGGGCTTTGTATTATCTGGATTCACAATACACTTCCAAACAAACAAGAAACAAAAATGTGTGCAATTCTTTTAAGCTATCATATACAACAAGGCAGATATATGCAGGCAAATATAACATATGATACAATAATGTGCTATTATCAAAGACTTGTGCATACAAAGTGCCCATCTTTAGGTATGATATGTACAATAGACTGGAAATATATTTCACAAAAAGTAGAAAAAGAAATGAAACATGGAGCGGGATAGTGAAAAAGGGGAAACAACTCTATTTACAATACTGAATGGCACTATAGACTTACAGAAAACCCCTCACACATTAAGCATTGCATTATGATTAAACTGATATCTATCAAATTAAAGTTTAAACAAGTTACTTTGACTGCCAGTTTTTATGATTAAATTAAAAGATTTTATGTGAAATAAGCTCCCAATAAAAACAATAAAAGCACAAAAAACATTAATAAAATTTTCCAATCTAAGTTTTATCTACAAAATATGGGGGGAAAAATCAAAGAAATAAAAAATTAATTCAATTTTTGCTTATGTTTAATTTCTATTTTCCAAATTAACTTTCATATCAAATCGTATTTTTGTTGTTGTTGTTTTTATTAGAAAAAAAATTGTATTACAATTTAAGCCAACCTCTAAAAACTGATATGTATTCAATAATAGAATTCCTACAATTTAACTTTAAGACTGCTGACTAAAGTAAACCCTTTTACCATCTTTATCAAAAAACAGAATTAATACCCACATATCATTCAAATAAAATAAACCAATCTTTTAAAAAATATATATATAATTTACAATCTAAAATATCTAAAAGAAGTTAGAAAAAAATGTTTAGCAAACTTTATGAGGGAATGTATTCTAAAAACATGAATTAAAATGGCAAAAGTAAAAATTATGCTGATTTCAGAATTAAGATATGTATTAAAATCACTAAAACAAAGACTATAACATATCAAGTGTGCAATATCACCCAATTCTAGTGCAATATCTGATTTATAAAACCATAAAACATGACTTTGAATTTATAAATAAATGTATTCCTATTGGTCAATTAGATATCTAATTGCACAAATACCCAAATGAAATTTCAAAGAAACAGTAAAAACTATGCATTTAATTTTGATATTGCACAGTTAGCAAACTTTAGAAAATATGAACTGGCCAACCAGGATCTAGTTATTATTTTATCATAGGAAATTAAGAATTGAGAAGGCTATGAAAATTTAAACAAAAAGGTTTCTATGAGTTAGAAGTGTTATATTGAATTGTCCATATCCATTTCCCATACCATGTAATAACCCAGTTATTGTACAGTAAGAAGGTGTATAAAATAAATTTCAATATGACTGACAATGGACATTTTTGAACTAAGCATCTCATTGCTGAAGTATACTATTTTCTGTAAACAACATGAAAATGTCAAACTGAAATAAAATTCATGGCAAGTTCTTGAAATAAACAAGTCTTTTCATATCCTTGCCTTTTTTGCTATAAGACAATAATGTGGTATAGTAAAACTGTATATACATATATCGTATCCAGAGTAAAATGTACAAGTCAAAAAACCAGTCTGAATTTTGCTGCCTTGCTATTGGTCAATTTCAAATTCGAAATTTAAAAATTATCCAATCAAAAATCAGCATGCAATAGACTGGTTTTAAAACTCTTTTATTAAAGTTGTAAAAGTACTTTAAAAATATATATATCTTAAATCTAAATAATGTTTTTATTTTTTTAAATAATGCATGCTTTGATATACTAAATTATGTAAATATGTTAAATTGTTTATACAAATGAATATACTTGTATGAAGAGGTTTACAAAATATTGCATTTACAACCTGTGAAACAAACAAATCCATTTCTCTTCAAGTGGGGTAACAAAATACATGTAAAAACTAGTGACACAAACACACATAATCCATATTGCAATTGAGAAAAGAACTTACAAAAGTCTGAAAAAAATGAATGTACATGAAAGCCTTAGAAACATTTTGTCCAGCATTCTGAGTGTGGCTGACCGTTGTTACATATGTCACATATCAAGTGAGTTGGCCATACTCAGTTTGCATTTAGAAGCTATTTATATAAGCTAAGCAAAATTTGTACCTTTGTTTTCCGTGTTTATTAACAATTGAAAGTTTTTAATGAATCACATATTTCTTTAAGACCCTATAAATTGTTTTACTTAAAGCAGCACACCTCCAGATTTATGCTAATTTTCATGACATTTTTTAAAATATATTAAAAAGTTAAGTATTGTTAAGTGAACAAAGGAAATAATTTTCACATTGAAAACAGCACTTACAACCCATGTAATTAACCTAAGAGGTCAAAATATGCAGAAATAACCTTAACTGTGTTAGTAACGCAGTAGAAATATGGTGAAAAATACTGCAAAATCAGTAATAAATGCACATAACATGGATATTATTATCTTAATCTTTTATCTTTTCACTTTTCTTAACATCTCAGTACTTTTCTCAAGTTTGATTTTCTTGAAATATTTGGTTTATCTGGAGGCATGCAGCTTTAAAAAAAAGACATTGGCGGCAAGCAGCATATTGCATTAGTGATCACTATGAAATATCAAGTAGATTATCAATTGAAATATAAACAGAAAAAGAGTTTTGGCAATAAAAATATAAAGAAATATTTGTTAAAAATATTCAAAACAACAAAATTTTCTGTAAAAATTACAATATTTGTACAAAATTTCAACCTGGAATGTCTCAGAATAAAAGCTGAAAATTCAACATGTAAAATATTGGTCACATTCTTCGTTTGTTGTTGTTTTTAAACATGAAGCAAACATTTTAAATGTAAATTACAACAACAGTTGATATGTGTAAAATTGCAAATTTCAAGCAACAATAAAAGATAAAATTCTATGAATTTCTTTTTCTGAACTTTGTTCCGATTCTGAAATTCCAGTCTCAAAGAGATCATCTACATTTATGCCACTTCGTTCCATTTCATTTACACATCTAACTTCCTGTAAGGAATTCTGGGTAAAGCTCTTCAGTCTTCCCATAATTCCAAGAAATATCAAAAAAACTAAATCCAGAAAAAAACACATCCTGTGTACACAATTACAAATATTCAAATATATATATATTTCTGAACATTTTTTTTTTATCCTTTCACAATTCTGTAGTAAGAGTGACTTTTCTTTCGACTTTTTTGTCTTTCGATTGGCTGACATGCCATGGTGATAACTTATCACCGTTAACGATAGATTCTGAATGAGTCCGGCTCACTTTCACCGTGGTAACTGAACTTTTGGTTCCTGGCACACTGGATGTAGATACATTCTTCCTTGTCGCAACATTGGTACCAGAGAATTGTGTTTCCTGTAAATACAAATAAAAATGATGAAGAAAAACCTTAGCTATATATAATCAAAGTTGCCATAAACTAAAAATTCCTTTTCTTCAAAATAATCTGCCCAAAAGCTAATAATGATATCTTAGAAATTTTAAATTTTATATCACAGGGATGTCTGCGAGCAGCATAATAAGTTGACATAAAAATGAACACGATTCCTCTTGTCAAGTCTGCATAAAAACTAATGCTGATCAACCACATATGAAAATAACATTAAGGTTTTAAATGTTAAATTAATTATCATGTAACTGCTTAAAAAAATATGCCCAGCAAAAATTAAAAGAACTATTATCTTTTTTAATTTAAAAATGCAATATTTATCAACCTTATGGACAATTTCAGGTGCACTCTCTTGCAGCAGTTAGTTACATAAATCACAGGCAATCGGTGCGTGGCTAGGATAGTATACATGTACATGACCACGCCCACTTATTTTTTTATAAATATTTTTTTTTCTTATTAATAAAATATTTTTTTATTCAAAATGTTTTTATAGTATTATAGCTGCCTTTTCTATTTCAACTGTTTGCATGCACTGACATTAGTTTGTTATTAAGAAAAAGATCGATTTATGTTCAAATCGTCTACTTTCGGCTCGGTCAAGCGATGGCCGACCTAGACAAAAAGTGCATTTTCGCTTTAAAATTCCATCTTTTGTCGTACCAACTGTTCTAATATTGTACATTTTTCGAAAGAGAAATCATTTCTGCGTAGATTGCACTTTATTTGGTGAAAATTGGTTGACAATTAACAAAGATCTGGGAGGTAACATAAGGCCTGGTGGTAGGCCCGCTGGCGAACCTTTCTACCTTTACTATATTAATAGTATATATGGATGAATTTTTTTAAAAACAAATTTTCTTTGTTGATTTATTGAAAATAAGATATTTTAAAAACATTTTGAATAAAAAAAATATTTTATTAATAAGAAAAAAAATATTTATAAAAAAATAAGTGGGCGTGGTCATGTACATGTATACTATCCTAGCCACGCACCGATTGCCTGTGACATAAATGATTAGTCACAACATTAAAGATTTCAGTAAATGTGTAACCTAAACCAACTGGATTAAAGTGCACAAAATGATGTGTCAGAAGACATCACAAAGCTGGACTGTGTTCAGGAGATAGCACATATTTTGTTTTATGCCTTCAAAAAAGTAAAGCATGTTATGAACCGTGAGCTGGAAAAAATTAAGAGGTTTGTTACCCTATGCCAATTAAAGAATACAAACAAGAGGGCCATGATGGCCCTGAGTCACTCACCAGAAACAACTGCTTTTCAGTGTTAGAATGTCAATATATTCTCATATTAAACTTGAGCATAGAATATGTTTAAACAATAATTTGAAGAAATGCCATGACCTGGGGCATTTAAGATTTAGCTTAAACGGGGCTAATCAAATTAATATAAGCAAACTTGATAAAAGACTACCTAAGAATGCTACAAAGTTTGGTGATCATCTATCAATTATTTCAGTAGGAAATAATGTTCGAAGGTTTTTCCTATTTTTAGCTTTAGTGGCCCCTAAAAGGGGCCAATCAAATTAATATAAGCAAACTACCCAAGAATGCTACAGACAAAGTTTGGTGATCATCCATCAATTGGTTCTGAAGTAGGAGATGTTTAAAGGTTTTTCTATTTTTAGCTTTAGCGGTCCCTAAAAGGGGTCAATCAAATTAATGTGAGCAAACTTGATAAAAGATTACCCAAGAATGCTACAGACAAAGTTTGGTGATCATCCATCAATTAGTTCTGTAGAAATAGACATTTAAAGGTATTTCTATTTTTAGCTTTAGCATCCCCTAAAAGGGGCCAATCAAATTAATATGAGCAAACTTGATAAAAGACTACCCAAGAATGCTACAGACAAAGTTTGGTGATCATCCATCAATTAGTTCTGTAGAAATAGACGTTTAAAGGTTTTTCTATTTTTAGCTTTAGCGGCCCCTAAAAGGGGCCAATCAAATTAATATGAGCAAACTTGATAAAAGACTACCCAAGAATGCTACAGACAAAGTTTGGTGATCATCCATCCATTAGTTCTGTAGAAGAAGATGTTTAAAGGTTTTTCTATTTTTAGCCCTAGAGACCCCTAAAAGGGGCCAATCAAATTAATATGAGCAAACTTGATAAAAGACTACCCAAGAATGCTACAGACAAAGTTTGGTGATCATCCATCCATTAGTTCTGTAGAAGAAGATGTTTAAAGGTTTTTCTATTTTTAGCTCTGCTGACCCCTAAAAGGGGCCAATTGGAATGACATGAGCAAATTCAAGTGTGACTGTCACAAGGATGCTACAGACCAAATTTGAAGTAAATCTGCTTAGTAGTTTCAGAGAAGAAGACGATTGTTGACGCATGACGACGGACGCCGGAGCATCCCCCTTTGATACTAATAGCTCACCCTGAGCCTTCGGCTCTGGTGAGCTAACAAAGCCATTGGAGAAAATTTCAGTATACATGTCATGTAGTAGTGCATTGAGGGTAAGGCACCCAGGCAAAAGTTCTACATAATTTCTGTTTGAAAGTAGCATTTCTCGGTTTTGACTAGAACTGCCTTATTTCAGTTAACAATTAAAATGTGCATAAAAATTTTAATAAACTTTTACTGGTATAACAGTAACAAGACAGGTGTATTGTGTGTTAGGTCAAAGCAAATAAACAGACATGTTACTATTCAACAGCTTGTTTCATGTTAATGTAAGCAAAAAAGTAACACTTGTGCATTTTCACAACTATAATGCCTTAAAATAACATAGTATTTCATATTCAACGGAAGATAAGTGCATCGGGAGGAAGGGGTTGGGGGGAATGAAATTAACCATTAGCCGGCTTGTGGTAACAGAAGCTATCCATCCGACCAGTGCAGACCATGATTAGCTGGCACATTTACGCCATCTGATCATGATCTTTACTTTTTCCCTATTCAGTCAGACTATATTTAGAAATGTTCTGTTAAATGGAACTCATTGTTTTAAAGCTACTATCCCACACTTTAACATTGCGGTTTGAGTGTCTTTAAAATAAAATGCCATCAAGACATAAAATTTCACCACAATACTCATTTCATTTATATGGAACTATACTGGTGACAAAGGTAATTGTTATAGGTATCACGGGAAGGATTTAAAGGGTAAATGTGCCCACAAATATTCACACAGCCTGGTAGTGTTAATCAATATAACTTTCACAGCAAGGGGAAATAACCTTTCTAATATTTTATTTCAATATTAGAGAAGCTGGTAGGAGAACTTACATCTCTATTATATACATGTTTTTACCTGCAGACATTTGAAAGAAATAAAATTTGAAAGGTATATATCAACCATTTCATGAGTATGACATGATGTTAACTTTTCAAATCAGTAAAAAGTTTCTATGAAATGTGACTATGTCTCTATGTAGCCTTGAAAATTACTAAAGTTCAAACTAGTTATATATTAAATGTAATTTACAGTAATAGTAATTACTGAAAAAACTTTGTTTCAATGAATGTCATATATTTTTACAATCATTCATTAATTTGTGAAATAAAAACATATTCAATAGCTATAACTCTGTAAAAGTTATTTACATACTAGCATTGCATGTAATTGTATATAAGAACAAAATATAAATTGTACAGATAGTTTAACCATCTTAAAATTATATTTTTTTTTTGTTCCTTTGACTTGATTCAGTCACACTGATTCCTTTATGGTCATGTTTAGTAGTTTTCTTAGCGGAAGACTTCTGATGTATCCCAGTACATAATTTCAGTCTGTGGTTGACACGTGTAAAACCTTGAAAATTATCATTTTATATCTAAAATGAATCTTAACTTCCTCAAATAAAATTTATACATTCACTGTTTTGCTGACAGGATTCAAAACGATCAGCAATGAATGTCAAAATTATAGAGTGATATATATAGACAATAAAAAAATGTCTTTCCTTGGAATTCAATCTTATTTATTTATTTTTTATGAAATTTTTTCTGATTGTTTGTGGTATAAAACAACATTTATACTATTAAACAAAAAAATGCTAAAGAATTCCTCAAAAGAAAAAATAAACCTAGTCAATTTATAGTATTATTTTCAGACTCAATGAAATATATATGAGCCGTGTCACGACAAAACAAACATAGTGGGTTTGCGACCAGCATGGATCCAGACCAGCCTGCGCATCCGCGCAGTCTGATCAGGATCCATGCTGTTCGCTTACCAACCCTATTACAAATAGAGAAACTGATAGCGAACAGCATGGATCCTGATCAGACTGCGCGGATGCGCAGGCTGGTCTGGATCCATGCTGGTCGCAAACGCACTATGTTGGTTTTGTCATGACACGGCTCATATGTATATGTAGTATATTTGTGATAGACTATAAGTCTGTTTTGACCCAGAACCAAAAGGTGCAGGTTACAATGTGGGGGCCGTAGTGTTTGGACACATTAATGCTTCAACTGCAATTCACTGCAAAAGTAACGGCAAAAAAATTTACTGCAAAAATATCAACTGCAAAAAAATCTCAAATCACATCAGTGCATTTCATTCATACTAGAGTTGTCAAATTCTTGTAGTGATTGACTTCTGGGTTGCTTCCCCTTTCTGTCTTAAATTTGTCTCCTTCAATGGCTTATATCCCTTATCTACAGGCTTATATCCTGGGGACCGTCTCACCAACCTCATTCCAAACTGAGACTGGTTCCTTGCATTCTATTGTATGAAATATCAGTTGTAATAGAATAAGTCTAGGAGAATAGATACCAGAAATATTCCAAATAAATATTGGTTCCTAGCATTCTATGGAATAAAATTAAAATACATGTAGTATAATACTTGTTACAAGATTCTGGGAACCAGCATTTTCTAAACTTTATGTGTGAATTGGTTCCTAGCATTCTATGGAATACAATTAAAATAGTATAATACATGATTGTACTTGTTACCAAGTCAGTATAAACCCTAAAATCATAATATTTGCCCCCACTGTTATCTTTTAAAATCTTCATAATTATTGTAGAACAAAAATTTTATGGGTTAACAAAAAGAAGGAAAATCTTCAGAATTATTGCAGAACAAAACTTTAATGGATTAACAAATACTGAAAAAGGGAAATAACTTTAATGGGTTAACAAAATAGGAAAATCTTCAAAATTATTGCAGAACAAAACTTTAATGGGTTACAAAAAGAGGAAAATCTTCATAATTATTGCAAATCAAAACTTTAATGGGTTAAAAAAGAGAAAAATCTTCATAATTATTGCAGAACAAAACTTTAATGGATTAAAAAAGTAAAATCTTCATAATTATTGCAGAGCAAAACTTTAATGGGTTAAAAAAAGAGGAAAATCTTCATAATTATTGTAGAACAAAACTTAAATGAGTTAACAAAAGAAGAAATTACAGTAAAACAAAACTTAAATGAATAAACAATTCCAAATGTATATAAAAATTGTTTATGAAAAAACAAAACAAGAGGGCCATGATGGCCCTGAGATCGCTCACCTGTATATAGGCCCCCAGAGCGGGGCCAGTTTAAACCCCAGGGCTTTTATTTGAACAAACTTGGAAGACACTCATTAGAAGATGTTTCACAATGTTAAGTTTTTACTACACACATGTAATGAAAAACAATGATCTCCACCCCCCCCCCCCCCGGCAGGGCCAATTTTCACCCAAGGGCTTTTATTTGGACAAACTTGGTAGACATCCATAAGAAGATATTTCATGCCAAATATCTAAGCTCTAGCTGTTACAGTTCTTTAAAAGAAGATTTTTTAAGTTTTTACTATATGCATATAGGCAAAATCAATGACCCCCGGGGCGGGGCCAATTTTGACCTCAGGGCTATTATTTGAACAAACTTTGTAGACACTTACTAGAAGATGTTTCATGCTTAATATCTAAACTCTAGCTATTTGGGTTTTTTCAAAGAAGATTTTTTAAGTTTTTACTATATGCATATAGGCAAAATCAATGACCCCCGGGGCGGGGCCAATTTTGACCCCAGGGCTATTATTTGAACAAACTTTGTAGACACTCACAAGAAGATGTTTCATGCTTAATATCTAAACTCTAGCTATTTGGTTTTTTTCAAAGAAGATTATTTAAGATTTTGCTATACACATATAAGGAAAATCAATGACCCCCCAGGGCAGGGCTAATTTTGACCCCAGGGCTTTTATTTGAACAAACTTGGTAGACACCCATTAGAAGATGTTTCATGCTGAATATCTTAGCTCTAGCTCTTATAGTTCTTTAAAAGAAGATTTTTTAAGTTTTTACTATATGCATATAGGGAAAATCAATGACCCCCTGGGGCGGGGCCAATTTTGACCCCAGGGATTTTATTTGAACAACTTTGGTAGACACTCACTAGAAGATGTTTTATGCCAAATATCTAAGCTCTAGTTTGGATGAAATTGGCTTAGTGGTTTATGAGGAGATGTCATTTAAAGTAAAAGTTTTCGGACGGACGGACGCCGGACGAAAAGCAATCACAAAAGCTCACCCTGTCACTTTGTGACAGGTGAGCTAAAAAAATTAAACAACTACTTAAAAATAAAACAGGACACTGAATTCAGTGAAGCATAAAAGTATAATGAATGAAACAAATCAATAAATAAAAAAAAATGAAATAAAGAGAAAGAAAACAGAAAACAAAATCTGAACATTTCATTGACATGTCTAATGTTGTTAAATTATTTGCAAAACCAGTCTTCTCTTTTTCCCTTTACAACAAGTTATGCCCCTGGACATTTTTATTTTTCTCTTTTTCCCACAGACAACAAGTTGGATGACATCTTCATATGATTATTAAGTTACATATTTTCATTACAAATATATGAGAACTTTGAATATTACACCCATGCATAAAAGTTATATACATCTACTTCAGGGTACATTTCCAGTAGCAAGATATACATTCAATATTAAAACAGAACATATACTTTCATGCACAGCTTGATAACATGACTGAGAATTACAAATCTCAAAATGAACCACTGGAAAAGAAAGTTTTTTTCCCATGATTTGCATTTTTCACAAGTTAGCACAACCCATTTGTCAACTTATTTACCACAACCCTCCAATGCTTAAATTTTTTCAAAGATTATTACCTTTGTATGAATACACATATACCTTAATTTGATATCACCTTCAAATTTCTGCTTCAATAAGTTGAAGAAAATTCATCAGTATTTGTGATGATAATCAATATAGACACAGTGATTGAAGCATATGAGTTTGAACATATAAACACTGCCCCCAAACCCCCCACCCTGGTTTAATATTTGAGACCACCATGAGTTTGAACACTGCCCCCAACCCCACCCCCCTGGTTAATGCATTATTTAAGACCTCCATGAGTTTAAACATATAAACACTGCCCTCAAACCCCTATCTGGGTGACAATTTATGCCCTTATCAATTGTCACCTTTGACCCTCCAACCCCAGAAAATTGGCAAGTCTAAAGTAAAATCCCCAAAAAAAATATCCCAGCACTGTAATTTGGGATTCACCCCAACGCTATATTTCATCACTTAAACACAAAATAGTCATAATGATCCGACAGTGTGGGGACTAATGACAGATAAATACTTGGCTTATTTTCCGAAATCTAACCCCTACATTGCCGCTGCTGAGCTGGGGTTAACCACTGACTAGTGCATCAATTATATAGAGACCCTGTACATAAATTCCCCACTAAGTCAAAGTACTGGTTAAAAAAGCAAACAGCAAGAAAAATTGTAAATCTTCTGTTAAAGTTATCCGTTTATAGCTATCTTATTCAAAGCGTTAACTTGTAAGTCAAGAGAAACAAGTAAGTGCAGAGTTAACTTGGGCCATGACACTGTAGAATTTTTGGTTACTTGTATAACAAGAGAAACTATACAAAATACATGTCAATATACAGCAGGAATTAACATAATGCAGAAGAGGTTAGAAAAAGCCTGAAATATTAACATGTGTGTGTGTGTTGAAAAAGTCCAAGTATTGTATTAAAGTAGCAATACTTTGCTTGAAATGTTTCATTTTCAAAGTATCTCATTTTTTTTTAAATCGTTTCAACTATAGAGAAAGAAATGTTTTCATCCAAATTTCTTAATAATTCTCGTACAGTCTGAAAATATTATCTCATATAGGCTGAAAAATTGAAAATAACAGTAAAACTGATCAACAAGGGTCCATTAACTTCTAAACAAATTTTCATTACAAATTGTCTAGAATTTTTTCACATTTTTTTTCCATAATTTGATAATTTTGAACAAGTTGAACATTTCAAACAAAGCACCTAGAACTACCAGGTATCAGATTAAAAGTCAGTCAATATTGTACGGGTATTCAATGTTTTTACAAGCAAACACTTACAATAACAACAGGTGGGGCTTCTGCATCAGCCTGATTCTCATTGGTCGCTCCAGAGGTCACAGTAGGGTCATCCAAGGTCACAGCCTCACTTTCATCATTTTCTTGCTCAGAATGACCTTGTGGCCCAGGAAGTATATTTGATCCCGCCCTCTCATGATTTATTTCTTTTGGGGGAGAAGGTGCAGCTTTTTTCTTAACAGAGGCTTTGAAAAAAGGGTTTATTGAGACCCTGTCAGGCCTTGGTGGGGCCTTTTCAGGGACTTCCTCATTATTTTCTTCTTCATCATCATCCCCAAATGGGTTCAAGTTATCATCATAAGTTGACGGGTCCCTGAAGCTGCCCCTATTAGAACTGTCCCTAGAGATCTGACCTACTGGAGACCTTGGCCTCATTTGAGGAGCTTCTGGGCTTAAATGCCTGTCAGAAAGAGGTCTTGACCTTGAGAGACTTGAACTCTCACCTGCAAAGTCTATCATTATCTCCCCATTTTTCTTGCTAGGGGGAGGTGGGCGAGGAGGCGGGGCAGATGATTTCAAGGAAGGAGGTCTCGGAGGAGGTTTAGGGGATGGTTGTGGGCTTGGACCAGTGGAGCTTGAAACCCGGGGTGGGAGAGCAGGACGAGCTGGCGACCTTGAATCATCCTGAGCACCCTCTGGTTTGGCCAATGAGGACCGCACTGCAGGGGTGGGAGAGTTCCGCATTTCCGCAATTTCCTAGATAAATAAATGAGGAATGTGAAGGTCACTTTAAATATAAACAGGTCATTTTTTTTTTTACATATCATTCAGTATAAATTGTCAAAACTACTTCTGGATATTAACATATTAATCTAAAATAGAGAACATACTATTAGTGAGAAAATAATGTAACATACATGTATATTATTTCTTCTCTTTTTATAACAGAAACAGATTACATGGGTTAGGAAAGTAATGTAATCTTTTTAAAGAGCTGTAAAAAGAATAATCATTATTATCAATACCATAGTTCATTTAAAACGGTTGTAAGAAATACTGCAGTAAAACATTGTTTATAAGTAACACACTATAATCAATTAAGTTTTAATTCTTTTGTTAAAGAATAAAATGAAGATAAAATTTTCATTCCATCAAATATGTTAATACTGTTATATAGCATCTGACAATTTGTCTTGAGTGATATGTAATTTACGTTCGAAAAAAATAAATATATATATTACTGAAAGAACACTACAAAATTAAGTGATTAATAGGGTATCATTCTACAGTTGCATGCAATCTTGATCGGCAACTTGAATATTTTACATGGTTTTTAATAGACTAAAAATTGAAGATACTTGAATTTTAAAATATACAATTTTTTTTATATTTGAACCACATAGGAAATATCACAAAATAGACAAATATTTATAAAAGAGACTTTACAATTACAAATTTAATATTTCTTGTTCTTTTCTTAAAAGAAAATCTCTAGTCTAAGCTATTTCAGATAAAATCAAATATAGAAAAATTATTTTTAAAAAGTTTAAAAAAAAAAGATTAGATAAAAGTAACATCGAAGAAATAGACTATACTTCATTTACCAAAAACTACAGGTATAATAATGATTTAGCTAAAGTTAGAATTTAGAAGCATCTTTTTCAGAAATCTTTTTAAAAATAGACAGAAAAAGAATGATAAAGAATGGAATATTTTGAAACTGAAATTAGTGCCATGTGTAAGTATGCATATTTAAAAATGGCAAAAAGAATTCATTTTTACTCTTCAAGTTCAAGATGGTTAATGGTGAGCCAAGTTCAATATCAATTTCAAATTAAAAAATCATTATTTCGTATTTCCTGTCTGATAAAGCACTTTTTTAATAGCTCTGTTATTTATCAGTCCACAAGCAAATTCTGGTATCATGCATTCAAGCTTTGTTCAACTTAACTGCTTCAAATTTATAACTTTAAAACATCATTCAAAACATGACCAGATGTAATTTTGTTGATTAACTTGCACACACACAAAAATAATGACGGCCATTAATTTCTAAATAGGATATAATGAGTTCAAAGTAAAAATATGTGTTGAATACACAGCTTATTACATGTATGTAGTGTTTTGCTTCCAGGGCATTTATTAATGCTTTATTAGTCCAACATTATCATTAACTTCAACAAGTTTCAAAACCTTTATCTTGAAAAATATTGTTCTAACTAGCAAACTTTTGAGTGAATTGTTGGGGGCAGAGAGAAGAGGGAGGGGGGTTGCGTTTCAAGGTCATTTTGAATTTCAAACTGAATAGTTTGATCAATATTTGACAGTTTCCTTATAGAGAAACTTGAATGAAAGAAAAAACTCAGAATAAAGATGAACACAAAAATCAGGTAATTTTAGTTCTGCCTTCAATCTAACAAGCACACTTCCTTCCCCTATTTATGGACTGTAAAATATTTCTACCCCTTTTCCTAGTGTTGCTAAGCAACAAGGCACCTGACCAAAATGTTAAATCTGTGAATTCAACTAACAATTTAACTTATGACACCAGTATTATATGTTACCAACTAAAACATAAATGCAGTAAGACCAGACAATATATAAATACAATGTTTAAAACATTAACATTTTGATATCAAAATCTTTTATATTATCACAGAAATTTCAAAATTCAATAATTTGGGCATAAATACTGATTAATACAACTTGACCATGGAACAAATTACTTATTGTACGATATCTTAATTTTAACCTTAAAGGAACTCCACTGACGTTTTTGACATGACGGGACTGGAAATAATTTTTCAAGATTATTATTTCATTTGATGTAGATCTAAACAATAACCTGTGTGCAAAATTTCAGAACATTTGCTCAATCCGTTTGTCCGGAGTAATAATTTGAATAGTATACGCCAAGTATAAGTATGAGCTAAAATTGAAAAGCATTACTTTTGGCTTTTAGACCTCAGTGGAGTTCCTTTAAACTGCTTGAACTGAGAGTGATTATCCTTTACCGCCAGTATAAAGCCTGGCCAGCCTGCAAGTCCATGCTGTCTAACCTAGCTCTATATCACTAGTACCTCAATTTTTGTGCTTTGATATAATTGAAATTTCTTAAAATTTTGAATGGACTGTTCCAAACTTCAAATCCATCACACAAAATCAGCAGGTTTAAAACAGGCTGCCTAGAATCTATGTAATCAGATAAGTCCTGTTTAACCTATAACCTAAAAACATGAACCATTACAATACATTACTTAAATACTGGTTTACGGGATAATTCATGTATTACATGCTTTTCGGTGATTTACGGAAATATATCAGTGAAATATTAAACTGATATTTCACTAATTAAAACAGTGAAAATATCAATTTGATATTTTTCCCTGTTTAGAATTTAAGCCTGTTAGGTTGTTGGAAATACTAGCGTGCACATTACTGGAAACTAACTGAATGATGTCACGTTGTATTATTATTTGGCACGCTATTAATTTAGTATTAGGTTAAAAATGTCTTTTTTAATGTTTCTTTGCATATAATAAAAAGAAAATTTGTTTAGTGTAAAATCGAAATATATTTCCCCTCTTGAACACAAATTTTTTTTATTTCACTCGTGGCGGCACCACTGGTGAAATATACCTTTTGGTGCTCACACGGTTAAATATATTCCACTTAGAAAATAGAAATATTCTCTATTTATTACAACTAATGATTATTTTTACAAACCAAAAACAAACGTATCATCCGACTTAAAATATGATTTTCTTTTCTTAAAGCACTGGCTATTCCATACTTGTATTTAGCTTCTTTTACATTACCATGTCTTTTTTTATATTCTTTACCTCATCCCTTTTGGCATTTTTATTAAAAATATGGTAACCTTTTTTTAAAATTATTTTTCTTAACCCTTCTTTATCCTTACCTTGCTGGATTAGAAAATGATAAAACAGTTAGTCTTTACCACCAAACTCTATGCTAATTAAACTTCAAATTTTAATCCTCATATCCCTAGCATTGATAATGGACTGTTCCAAAACCTGGACAAGTCTATTTAAGAAATCCAGCAAGTTAAGGGTTTACCTAAATCTCCATATTGCTTGTTCTTGTTTCCTTACCTTTTATTTGTTTCTTTACCATTACCTCTAAATTTTACTTTATCTTTTTTTGTACAAATCTTAAATATTGGTTTACAGGATAAATCTCGCCAGTTTGCTCTTTTCATTTTCTCTTTATACAAACATTTTAGATTGCAAGCACAGCTGTGATGGACAAAAGTTTCAACAACATAAGCCAGAATTATTGACAAAGAAGACAACCTATGTTTTTAGTATTTTTGACCCTTCATCCTATATAGTAGAAAAACTGACCAAGACCTTCAATTATCTACAAATAAACCCTTTTTAGTACCGTTCCAGCATATACGAAATACTCAAATAATACTTTGTACCAAAAGACAATATGCAATGCAAAACTTTACATAAATTGGACTTCAAAAAAAAAAATCAAATTAGAGACAATCTTAAATCCACAACCAACTAAATGCACAACTAAGATTGGGTTTGTTGTTTGTTTTTGCTTGTCTAAGGTACAGGGTGTGCTTGTTAGAGATCATGCATTAAGTTGAAGCTTTGCAAACCTGGCCTTTCCCTGTACTGCTGGATATGAACACTTCATTATGGCTGCTTGAACTTTTCTTCCTACGTTCTATACTCTCATACCTGCAATATATCATCCTGAATAAAACTTTCATAAAACCTTGATGAATTAAAAATAAGAATGGAAGCAGAGTTCCATCAATGATATTGTAATAAATAACTTCCTTTTAAAGACCAGAAAACAATTTTCTAGTCCTCTCAGACAGCCCATGCAGCTTGGTCCGAGGTCCGAGTGGTTTACATGTGAGACCAGGACAGCTATCAGAGTGGGTTCAAACACTGTCAGGAAAGAGCCGTTGTTGCCTTGAGCAACAAACATTTTACTCATTGCTCAGTAATGGTATGTTCCAGGAATCGAAAGTGTGTCTATACGCTTCCTACACAATCAAACTACAATATCCTCGTTCAATTATTAAAGCTTTCATAGCTTTGAAGTGATTCAGGAGACATTTACCACTGGCTACTCTCAAATCGTAACTGGCTACTTTAAAACTTGTGTTGGGTGTTTCTGATTCCTCACATAAAGGATTTCTTGTTATAAATATAAAAGAAACCAATGTCTTAATAACCTGCATTATACAAAATATTATTTTTTTTAATAAGGCTAAAGGGGATGTCAAAAACGTTAAAGACTTTACCCATTTTGTATACGAGATTTTGCCCCAGTACTGTAACTACTACTGGATGAGGAACCCCTCTGACCACGCACCAGGGGTAACGTATCACTGGTATGGAATACACTGAAAACATATTCATACAATAAATAAGCAAGGAATAAAATCTCTTCGCTTTAATTATAATTCACTGTGAGAATTGATTCAAAGATAAATTTAATAATTTTTTAAATTTGTTGTTGTTAATTCTTTTTTTCAAAAATAAATTACTATTTATTTCTTTGTAATACCTTGAAAAACTCTGTCCTTTACTGTACCTTGGGAAACCTAAAACTGATGTTCAAAAAACTCTTTTCCAAAAAAAATAATTCTTTTTTTTCTCTAAATATTTCTCTGCATACTAATTATTAATAAATAAAAGAAATGCCTTGCATAAGAAAAAAATATACATGTATACAGAAATTTGTAAAGCAAAATCATCATCCGAAAAAAATATTGGTTATATGTTAACACACCAAAGACTACACAAGGGCATGGATTACACATACATATTTATATGCAAGCTGGGAAATACACACGCATACACTCTTTATAGAAATAAACACAATAGAAGGGTTGAGGGGTAGGGCATAAAATTTATCAACTACAGTTTATATATACACATCTACCTGAAATACAATCCATACTTTTATAATCAGGGTCTTTTATTTCTGGAGTTGCATTAAATAACATGGAAGAATATAATTGATTTGTTTTAAAATATGTTTCTTTCGGATTTAACTCAATACAGGATTGGAGCAGTACCTGTATACGCTTGCAGAAATCATGATCACAAAATACACAAATATCTGTTTTTATCGCTGATTCTTACATTTTTCGTTCATTATCATATATAAATCTGTATGAAAAGATGAATTAGACATTTAAAAGTTCATTCCATTAGGTGAAAAGGCGAGATTTTAGAATATAATCATTCAAGCGCCTTGTCCGGTATATATCGGAATACGGTATTTAGTGTGGTGCTCCAATCCTTTTTTAGTCTCACTCTTTTATTTTTACTTGCCATAAACTGGACGGAAGGCCCTTAAATATCCACCTTTTTATGCTCAAATGAGAGCCAGAATTACAATACATAGGGTTCAGTGTACCTATTTTACATTTCAAATCATTTCTTGTAAGAGAAAATAAGTACCTAGTGTAACTAGGGAAAAAGAAGCCCTACAAATTTCAAGGCAATCATATAAACTTAAAACTGAATGGGATTTATATTTTGAATATGTTACATAACATAAATACATATATGAAACAGATTATATTTATTTATATTTTGTTATGATTAGTAGTGATTTTAGTGAACAATAAAATCATGCTTAAAACATGCGATTAATAAAAATCATATAATATATTCTATCAAAATGATTTTAACTAACAATATTTTGTTTATCTAGCGATGCCTTGTACATTTTAACTCCAAAGTTTGCTGATCTCTAAAATAAGCATTCATCTAAATACAAGTGAAGTTTTCAAGTTCAATTTATGATTATTTTTTTTTTTCAAATTTAAATTGGATTAAATATTTCAAGGCATATTCCTTTGATTATGATTATTCAAGCATATTTTCAAAAACACTAAGATTATGTTTAATACTTTTTTGTTATTTTTCAAGGCAATTACTATCTTGTATCTTTGTCCACTCAACTAAACCAGGGCATTTTTCAAGGCAAAGATATTGTCTCTTTTTAAACCAAAAAAAAACAAACATTGCTAGGTTAGTATTTGTGTGTGAGGGTGTTTCAACAAAACCAGCGTATTTACAAAACTATTATGGTAACCTTTCATCATTCAACTTAGTATTTTTCAAGGCCATGATTATGTTAGTAATTTAGTTATTCAATAAAGCCAGAATTTTTTTTAAAGGTCATGATTATCAATTGTACGTTATTGTATATTATTCAACTAAGGAAGGGCCATGATCATGTTAGTTTGTTTGCCATTCAACAAAGCCATGGTTTTCTGGGGGTTGTTTGAGGCCATGATTATTAATTGTATGTTAATCCACATAGGAAGAGTTGTTGGTTTTTTCAATGCTATGATTGTGTTAGTTTGTTCGTCATTCAACAAAGAAAGAGTATTTTTTTAAGGCTATAATTGTGTCAGCTATGCTTGTCATTCAACAAAAGAAGAGAATTTTTTAAAGGGAGAGTTCTTTTTTCAAGACTGATTTTTTAAGTTTTGCTTGTCCTTCAACAAAGGAAGAGAATTTTTTTCAAGGCCATAATTGTGTTAGCTTGGCTTGTCATTCACTAAAAGAAGAATATTTTTCAAGGCCATGATGTGTAAGTTTTGCTTATCATTCAACAAAGGAAGATTATATTTTTCAAGGCCATGATTGTGTTAGTTTGATTCTCATTCAACAAGTTATTCAACAAAACCAGAGTATGCTTTCAAGGCCATATGTTATGTTAGTTATTTTTGTCGTTCAATAAGTACCTATCAGCTTCAGTGTCGGCATCTTTCTCGGCGACAAATTCATTGACATTTTTCACTTTCGGTACAACATCGTCAATTACAGTCTCCTTGGGCCCTTTAGCTTCCTCCTCGACCGAAGTCTCGCTAGATATACTGTAAGAAGCAGTGGTTAAAGCAAAGCTATAAGAAAATAATTCAAGATGAAACAAAAGGCTAAAAATAGGCTATCATTTGCATAATATGAAGCATATTTTTCCATATTTCTTTACATATAAGACTTTGTTTTCAGAAACGCTTTTTGAGCAACTCATTTAAACGTGCTTTCAGTCAAATCAGAATGAATGAATTATTAAATAGGTCAGAATTTACATTTTTTAAAACATTCATTGTCAGTGAAAGGTGATCAGAACGTTTTTCACAAATTGGTTTGTAAACATGTGTAACTATATTGTGAGAAAAGAAAAAATTTGTTCAATAAATAATTTAGTGGTCCAATTTTGTTTATTCTTTTAAATGTAAGTAAAAGATTGGTCGAAAAAACAATAATCATTAGATATTTTAATGAGAACTTAATGATAAATTCATAGAAGACGACAAGTCTGGTCCTCATTAAGTATGACCCAGCATTAACAAATGCATTTAGCAATAGTTAATTAAACAAACGCTGCAAGAGCTAGCAGAAAATCAAGTGTGTGCAAATGAAAGCGTAAAATAGAGTATTATTTTCAGGACTGGATACAGAAAACTGTCATAAATTGTTTCAGTACAGTGACTTACAGACAGTTTAATGACCAATCCCAGATTCAAACTTTAGACCTACAAGCTTCAAAATATAATACCATCAAAAAAGAAGAAAAAACACTAAGTTAAATACAGATTATTACAATATTCATCTACCACTCAAAATAGACCATGCAGGCGTAAGTTTTCTAGCATGCACAAAATAAAAATATGATTATATTGTCCTAATTAGTGTATAGACTTCACTATTAATACAATTTTAAAAGAACATGCTAACTGCATCTGGTTTGTTTTTTTGCTGTTTTTTTTTTTCATTTTTTTTCATAAATACTCAATTTTTCCCCCATTAAAACGTGGAAAAAAATTTTGTTAAATTTTTTTTAACAATTCTAGCATTTCTTGACTTATTGATTTGCAATGTTTTTTCCCATGAAACTGTTTACACTACAACAAATGATTTTGAAATATATTTTTAACAGAAATTTTATTTTTATAATATTTTACTTTCTATACATCTAATGAATTACAATTTATTTGACTAAAAATATAATAAATTTGAGAGTAAATTTATATCAGGGCAGTTAGGAATAGCCACACATCTATTAAAGCAGGGTCAAAAGTTGTAAAAATTACTTGGCAATGGGGAACCAGTCCATGGAATAATCTGATTGGTTAATACTAGCTGTAAATTCAAAACTATCCAATGATTTACCCAATCATTACAAGACTGGTACCAAATTTATTTCTACAACTTTAAACCCAGGGAACTGTGAGCAAAATTGAATTCACCTCTAAATCATTTGTGAATAGGGAAATTTGAGGAATATACAAATATTTCAACTGAATTATTTTACAACAATTTCAGCCTATTGGGGAAGACAACATCTAAATACAACAATGTAAGACACTCAAATTTGTTTTCCTGTCTTTTTTTCAATCATGCTATGAATTTATATATTTTCTAACAGTTTAATTCAAATGCTTTAATACAATTTCATTGATAATTTCAGTTTTATTAGTAGTAGTCAAATTTACCAAATCATTTCAGATATGAATACTGGAATGCAGCTTATTTTATTATATAATTTTTATGCTGAAATAATTTCCTTTTATTACCATGAACAAGATATAATTTAGGATAGGGAAAACATTCAATCAAAAATTGAGAATGCATCATTTTCCATGTTCCATTTTTATGTATACATATAATTTAATTACATGTTTATTACAATAATTTATAGTTTGATTTAACTTTCAATTTGCATTTGATATAAAATCATTCCCTGCTGTTATTCTGTGATTATTTTGTAATGCAAAAAAAATCTTTACAGAAAACTGATTATCGCATGTGCTTGCATCTGTCGTAATTATGGACAATTAAAGCTTTAGTATCATATAAAAACCAAAATAGGTACTTTGTCAAACCTTAACAACTGATATGAGTGTCTTACCTTGTCAAATATAGAAGGTTAAAGGTCATAAAGAATAGAGCATACCTCCTTGTGTCTGAGATTTCTGTCTCCTTGCTCTTCTTCTCTGGTAATTCTACCTGCAGGGCTCCATCTAATTGAGATCCTGTAATGTATCATGTCATAAAAAATATGAGCCACGTCATGACAAAACCAACATAGTGCGTTTGCGACCAGCATAGATCCAGACCAGCTTATCTGCGCAGTATGTTATATCACATAATAAATATTGTGTTATATCATTTAAGAAATAATATGTTATAATATGTTATAATATATAATAAATATTATGTAATATCATTCTATTCTTACACAACCTGGATTTTTCCCTATTGAACATTGAAGGACCGAAAGTGTGAGTTATTATGCAATAAAATCAATGTTGACGTTCTAAATTTAGACATGTGACGTTACCATTATATAAGTTACATAAGCACTAAAAATGCAACACGCTGAAAATAAGTACGGAGACAAATCAGGCGCAATTTAGTTTAATATCAGGTACAGTTTTCGAGGAAATGTACCTTAATGAAAAGTTTTACCAATACTAACAAATGGGACATGACAAAATATAGACTATTTTTTGTTTGAAAAGTGCAGTTATTAAATGACAAGCATGTAATACCTTGACTTCTTTTTGATATAATAGCTAAGATCCTGACAAGAGTTATTGTATTATATATGAATTTTTTTTTTTTTTTTAGGTTTGGTTCATGTTACACCAACACAGTGTAGGTCATATGACGAGTTTCAAACTTTACCAGTGGATGAACACCTCAGGCACTTTGTTCAGGCACAAACGGGCACCTGAATAGAACCACCGATGTTATATAAGGTAGCTGGATAGGTTCCTCACATGAAACAATCCAATGTCCATGTCAGGGTTCAAACCAACAGAGGTCAGGGGCCAGTGGTATGGAATAAAATAAATTCAGATCATATATGGCAACACATCATTATTTACTTGTACAGCAAGACCATTTTAAACAAGACAGAAGTATAAGATTTCTTCCAAAGTTTGTTTTGTTTTTCAATGATCCTGTAACTCAATGTTTTATATAATAAATATGTTTTATATAATAAAAATGATGCTTAAATGAAGATTTATCATATTGTTAGTTCCAAAAAGCATTATTTGTAAAGATATTACTAAATTTACATTTCATGTTAATAGAGGGAGGTAATTAGAAAATTTCTTTTCTATAAAGTCTAAGTCAAATTTTTCAATAAGAAATGAATGCATATATTTTAATGATAACATATAATATGGACAAATATTTGCAGTACAAATTTTACATATTCTTCGATGTTTGAAAATTGTTTAACAAGCATAATTATATACATATGAGCCGCGTCACGACAAAACCAATATAGTGCGTTTGCGACCAGCATGGATCCAGACCAGCCTGCGAATCCGCGCAGTCTGATCAAGATCCATGCTGTTCGCTTACCAACCCTTTTACAAGGTTAGTAACTGATAGCGAACAACATGGAACCTGATCAGACTGGGCAGATGCACAGGCTGGTCTGGATCCATGCTGGTCGCAAACGCACTATGTTGGTTTTGTCGTGACCGACTCATATATATAATTTAAAAGTGATAACAACCTAAATTACAACATAAAGGATCTTTTCAGTGTTTCATCTCTTACCTTCATTTGCCTTCTTCATTTCCTCATCACGCTTGGCTTTTAATATATTGCACTTAATTTGGTCCGGTGGTATGGTGCCGGCACCCGCCGAAAACTTCACCTGGTTGTTCTTATATGTGTTGACGTCCTTTGGTGGTGCTTTAACAGGAGCAGGGGAAGTCTGATCCAAACCTTTAAGCCTTGCCTGGGCAGCTTCTGATGCATCTGTAGTCAACAAACAAGATAAAAACAATTACAAAATATGACTTATTCAAAACTTTTTTTCTGTATTTTATATATAAGAGTTTGAAAAAAATCAGTTTCTGTAACTAAAGGAAAATCCACCTTTAATTGTGGTTGAGTTTCAAGTCACACGTCATATTGTAATGCCTGGTATTATGCGACATTTATGGGACTTTTCCAGTTTTTATGGAAAGTTAACCATTTATTTAAACATGCAAGTGGTTTCCGCAAGAGTTAACAAATTAATTGTGCTATAACTTTGAACATATGAAAGACAGATTACCTACACATCAGTCCTGATTGCAAAGATACCTTATAGACCCACCCCTCCACTGAGTACCAATATACAAATTTTGAGTCAAGGGTATACAGCATACTTAAAAGAGTCCCCAACCCTCTAGACTGTAACAATATGCTGACATTCCAGCTTTAATGGTGCTCCTATAGTTTTTATGCATTATTTCAGTCACACTCTGGCAATTAAGTAGAAAAATTAACCTTTAAATAAGCTAGCTGGATAACTTCCAAATATGAGAGAATCTAAAGTCCCTGGTAGTATTGGAACCAACAGCAATGATGAGGCATGTAATTTGAACTCCTCACCTTTACCGTTTTTACACGGAGGATAACAGCAAATGTTCGATTATGAATTTATAAAAGCCAAGTGTTGATGTTACTGGGTTGAACCATGTACCATATGCTTTACAAGCAGAATGGTTCCCTTAATTAAAATGTTTTTAATGTTTTAGGCTAGTTTCAAACTTACAAATATCAACATGCTTAACACGCTTAATCACATGATACATATAGGCCCTTAAGATAATTCACACTTTTAACATATAAAATGAACAAACACTAGCAATGAAGTAAATGCTAACCAGTTAGCATTTGTCAGGAATCAAAACAGACAGAAATGACTTTTAAGTTACCTTTAAGACTAACATCCGTGCTAGCTGCAGCCTGACCAGGTGATGGTACTGACGGTATGCTACCTGTCGGAGATTTCTCTCTTTTACCCCTTGTCAACGTTCCTGATCCCTCCCCTACACCTCCATTAGCCAGAGGGAGGCTACTTGGTGTGGTCCTTGTCGGGGAGCTTGAGCCAGCTGCGGCACCAGACGTAGAGGGAGTTGGTTCAACTCCTATTGTTGTCTCAACCTTAGTTTGCCTGTAAAAGAATTGAATCAAAGAATTTATAGAACAAAATGTAAAATTAAAAGAAAAGTCACTTTATTGTTATCATTTAAAATGATTAAAGATTTACTCTTTGATTAAAGATTAATTCTTAAGTCACAATAAATAATTTTCATCTCTTAAGAAAATCTACTACTATAGGTCATGCTAACTTTTGATGCTTGAATCCAAAAAAGCTTAAACAGAACTATTATAGTGAATATTTTCATAAAAATCTAACAAATATTTTAAGAATTGCATGAACTATTATAAATGCTTTTTTCATATTTTATGACTTAAAATGACTCATTTATATCTAATTAGAGAAAATGCTTCATTAATATTCTATCAGATAAAAGGCCTCATTTCTTTCTAACGATAAAAAAATGACTCATTTATAACTAATGAGATAAAAGACTGTATTTGAGATAAAATGCCTCATTAATATTTAATGAGATAAAAGATATTTTTGAGATAAAATGCCTCATTCATATCTAATGAGATAAAGTACCTCACATCTCATAAGATAAAATGCATCATTTACATTTAATGAGATAAAATGCCTCGTTTACATTAAATGCCTCATTTATATCTAATGGCATAAAATGGCCCATTTATATTTAATGAGATAAAAATGCTTAATTTGAGATTAAGTGCCTCATTAATATCTATTGAGATTAACAACTATATTTTTGAGATAAAATGTCTCATTTATATCTAATGAGATTAAAGGCTATATTAATGAGTATTGTAACACTCTTTGATTGTGTAAAGTTGTATTCTTATGGGATAGAATGTAATGTTTATATGTTACAAGATAAAATGCTATATTTATATCTTACGAGTTTCTTTCCTGTTCACGCTTTCTCCTCTCCTGTTGTCGCCTCATGGCCTCTTCTCTCTCGCGCTTCTCAAATGTAGGTCGACGAGAATAGCGCTTACTTGCAGTTCTTTCAAACTTCACACTCCGTCTAGCACGATTCGTGGAGGCAGTCTGGTATTCAGTCCTACCACTGTAAAACACCGATTACTAATACAGTCTACAGATTTATTTGAGCCATCAATCAATATAAAGGTCTTTTCAAGCATGAAAATTAGAATTCTATGGACAAAATTTAATTGGACTTAACTCTTTTTTGGTGAAAGAGATAATTCAATAAACTTCAAGATATTAATACAATAAAATAAGCAAAAAATCTGTTCTCTTTAAAACATTTACTTTAATATGCATGTATTTGCTATAAAAAGTTCTGTTTCCGTGTAAATTATTTCACCTGTATCTGAAACGAGATCCCATTCTGAGGAAATTTTGGCGAGCATTTTTATCTGTAACCGGCCCTTTCAGTCTAAAGAAAGCATGATACTCTACGGCACATTTCCATAAATGTTTACATGCACGATCACTCGGCATTCTGAACACAAATTGATGCTCTTGTTCTCTACCCTGCAAAATATCAACAAAAATTGCTGAAAATTTGTATAATAAACTAGTCCTCTGAATTTAGAACAATCCACCATAAAATTAAAAGGATTTTTATAGCAGAAAGTTTATTTTGTTTTGGTTTTTATGCTGGTTTTAACACATTATTGGTCGTGCTGGTCTCAGTAGTCTGTCCGGTTGACCAGCTTTCCTGAATAACTAACCACTAATTACCAATTTTACCACAAAGTCGACCAACTACTACTAATCTAACAAGATTTCTAGAAATCAATGGCTCGAGACAAATAACCATTAGACTCAATGTCCAATGGAGATATTTTACCTTGCCCAAGGACTGAACTAGCAGGCCCTGGATTACAAAGACAACTCAATATTGAGCTAATCGGAAGTTTCAATTAAGCAGTGAATAACATGGGGCTTAATTTGACTGCATGTTCAGATGTTCCAGGCTTTAGTATGACCTCAGTAAGCATTTTAAGAGTTGAAATTTTTCTTAAACACACTGAGTTCTTGTTTGTTTGTCCTTTTTACGTCTTTTTCAAACAGTATTTCAGTCATATAGGCGGGTAGTTTCCTAACCATCGTTCCTGGAGAGTTACACCAGTACTAGACTACCTTCCTCCGCACTAAACTACCAAAGCATCTCCCGGGGATCGAACCCACGCCAAAAAGGTAACTGGATTAGAAGTCATCAACTCTAACCCCTCGATAACGGAGGCGGTTATACTGAGTTCTAATCTAACACAGCCTTGACCATAAATAAACAGTGTTGTTTTGTATTATTCAGAACAGGAAAGAACTAAATAGACCAACTCCGGAATTAAGAACATTTGGGTTTTTCTCAGCTAATCTGTATACAAACAAACAGTTACAGCTTCGAAAATAAGCACAACAGGTTGACTAATCTGTTGCGATGGGTAGTGCAATGTAAAGCTATAACTGTAAAAGTTCGTTTTTACCTACGGAATAGCAGGGAAAAACCCTAATTTTCCAAGTTCCGGATAATATCTATTATGGCTTTTTTAAAAAATAAATAATTACCTCATCATCGTCTTCCACAACTATCAGGGTGAGTTTCTTCCCCTTAAAATCCAGCCTAGTCATCTTAGGCCTGAAAAAAAGATCAACAACTTATTTAACTTCATTTAACAACATTGTAAAGAACTGTAGCAGGCAAAAGAAATAAGAAATATTCTAAATCTCTAGTCCCTAGTCATAAAGCTTGCATTTTGGAATCTAATTTTTTCTTTAATCAAACTTATTTCAAACTCGTACGATAAAGTCCCTTCTTTCTTTGAATTGTGTTTATACCTATGTAACATTTCATTTTTCTTAATGTTATAGCTTTTTCATTTATGTAATATCTCATTTATATTCATGTAATATCTTGTTTATATTCTTGTAAAATCTCATTTATATTCATGCAAAATCTCATATATATTCATGTAAAATCTTATTTATATTCATGTAAAATCTCATTTATATTCATGCAAAATAGCATATATTCATGTAAAATCTCATTTATATTCATGTAAAATCTCATTTTTATTCATGTAATGCATCTCATACTGCAGACAGATATATTTTTACTACACGAAAAAAGGTCTTCCAGTAAATCAAGATGAATCTTGAAAATGCAAACAGAGAAAAATGTTCTATATAAAGTGTCATTTAAACAGATGAAGGTGATTTCTGTACTTACCAGAAAAAGAGACCAATTTTATTATCCTCTTCAAACACAAGTATTCCTGTAGGTGTTAGCCCTAGATGATACAAGTTTCCATCTTTACCCTGTAAATAATCATATACTACAGTTAAGATAGGTATCAACACGACATATATCTAAAATATCATTCAACATAGAGCACAATGATAGATAAAGGACAAGATGAATAGCAGGAAGCACCAGTTATTACATAATTTTATATAAAAATTCAGAAGAATAAAAATATCAGTTTGCAAAAGTTATGCAAGTAACTGCTTAATGAAAACCTTTCAGCAGAACTTTACATTTAAGGAACTCCACTTTTTGACTTGATGGGACTGAAAATATTTTTTCAAATATTTGTGAACCATTTGATATATGTCCAGACTAATAACTCTTGTTCTACTTTTGACATCATTTCCTCTCCCTGTTTTTTTTCCAGAATCATTATTTTTATTAAATATGCAAAATAACTCAAAAATCAAAAGCATTGCAAGGTTTTTCACTTATATCAGGCTAAGCATTGCACAAAATCAATTTTCAATTTAATTCTGAGCATATTTCGTTGTTATTCTTGTTATTCTTTGCGGTTTTTTTTTATTTAAGCGCTTCACTTGATTTATGTAAGAATTATAAATTTTGTTTTTTAGGCTTTTTGACCTTAATAAAGTTCCTTCAAAAAAAGGTTTGTTAGCATTGTTGGGAAGTCTTACCATGACATCATGCATGTCCACACCGTACATCTCTAACCATTTCACTTTGTTGAGATAATTTAACTCAGCTTGAGCTGGGGTCATTCCACTGTTAATAACATAATTTTTTATAGCAACTTTATAACAGAAATCACACAATCGTTATATAGAAAGAATGAGCAAACCAGTAAAAGCTATACCCAAAAAGTTCACAATGAAAATTTAAAAGAAACAGTAAAATTCTGTCTGTCTTGTATGTAGTGAACAATCAACATTTTACTAAGCAGAAAACACACTATAACTTTGCGCATTGCCCCTAACAAACATCAAAGGTCTTCAAAATGGTGAAGTTTTATACAAATCCCAGTTTGGAATCAAATTTGAATCACTTGTGTGACTGCAATAGCATGTATAGTATATCTGATAATACACAGTCTTTTTTCTCCCCACCAAGCAAGGTTGAGACTGGTAGCATATGTTAGTATAATAGAGATAGAGATCTAACCTAACACCTTTATGACCATTAGAACCTTGGACTGACCTGTCCACACGGCAACATGTCAGAATGAATTAAAGACTATGGAAACAATTTCAGGCATTAAATATAAGTCTTAATCTACGACTCAAAGAGGTTTCAGTATGACCCATTAGTCAGATAAATTCCGCTGCAACATGTTTTAGGCCATCTAGCTACCTCTAAAAATTTCTTTTACTGGTGGAGACTTATACACCGAGACTTATACACCAATACCCACCTCAAGAAATAGCCCAACTTTACTCAAACATAATAGAAATCCCACTAATCCTATAAGGTTGTAATAGAAAGTCATGATGATATAATTTATCAAACCAGAATATTTACCTGCATTTCTTGTACTGTTCCAGGAAGGCTATCTCAAGTTCCTCTGACTGATCTTTAACGAAACGGAACTCAGATATCTGACCGGGTGTATGTACTGTGTCATCATAGTCGCCAAGTTCAGCTTTATTATAAATAATGTAAATCTTATATTACACACTTTTCAAGTTTAACAAGAGTTAAATACAAACATTTTTTCTGTTGCAATAGACTTATCTGGAATAAAGAATATTTTGAGATTTTTCCAGCTAATCCGGTACAAACTTTTACAGTTACAGCTTCGAAAATAACCGCAACAGGTTGACTATCCTTTTGTGACCGGCAGTTCACCATTAAGCTATAAAAGTTTGTTTGTTACGAGGGATTAGCTTTGAAAAACCCTACTTACATACTGGTGAGTAAAGACCTCTAAGGCCCCTCTATGCATTTGTAAGGCAAAAGCTGGCACCCCAGTTGAACCACTAACCTTGCTTAAGCTAATTGGATTGCTTTTTAACATAAAATACTCCAAAGTCCTGAGCAGACATATTAAATGAAATCAAACATGACATCATATAACTTCATGATGACAAGATAACAGTATCTTCATTAATAGGCAACATTAATGAATCCCCATTCAATATACACATTTACAACATTTAATAGTGTAAAACTATATTATTTTTGCTATCTATTCTAACCCTTAACCTGCTAGAACCAGAAATGATTTTGCCTTTGCCACTAGTATAGTGCAAGGCTAGCCTTCACATCAGTGCAGTCTGACCAGGCTCTAAACTGTTGGCAGCTCAATTAAAATATTTTGATACTGAAAAGTCTGAAATCCCTTTACACTTTGAATGGATCGTTCCAAATTTAAAGTACGGCAAATCTATTACACAGATATCAGCAGGTTGAGGGTATTAAACAGTGTATGACTTACATTGTAAGGCAAGGGCAGCCAGTTCTATCACAGTTTCTTGATCACATTCTAATCTTCCATATAGTATATCTTGCTTTAACTGTAGGAAAAACTGGTACCTGTAATGCGAAACACGTTTTCAGTTTAATGAACATGCATGTGAATTAATTTATTTTATAGACTAGGTTTTACAACTTTACAGATGTTATCCCTTGCTCATTGGGCGGCTATAATGAAACTATCAATCATCCTGGAGTCTTTCAATCAGCTTATGACAGCCCATATTATGACACCATTGATATAATAATATTGGCCTCTCAGGTACCCATTTACACCCGGGTGAAGTGATGCAATATAAGTCAAATATAGTGTCAAATTCTTGCAGTGTCCTTGATAGTCTTGACCCGAGGACCTCTCAATCCCAAAGCATATGTCCTACACAATAGACAACAGCACTGCTCCCTAAATGTGAATGACTAGAAATAATATTCACTACATGATGTCACTATATAGTTGATTACAGCTCATGATGTTTTATGCAATGAAATATTTTTTATATTATATAGCATTATTTTTGGTTTAAACATATTTATTTAAGCTTGATTATGAAACAAGTTATTGCAACTTATATTAATCACTTTCAAGTCTGCTTCCTGGAACCAACCAGTACTGGTGTCATATGAAGAAACATGGTCGTGACCCAAATAGGGCTCGAACCCATGATCTCTGGGTTGAGAGGCAAACACCTTGACCACTAGGCCACTGCTCCCCTTGCAATGAAATATTTCTTACATATAGATTGTTTTTGTATTTCTGTGTACCAGCAGTCACCATATTTTGTCCATGCTAGTAACTATACCATACTTTACTATATTTGAAAATATCAACAGAACAGAATTGTATAATTAGATATTAAAACATACCTTGTAAGTTCTTCATGTAAGTTGTTTGGTTCTGAAGAATAAAACTTCACCCGAAATCTGAACGAAAATGGTGGACCAACTGAAAATACACAATAACAATTGCTATCAAAACAATTTTCTATGGAAAAAAATATGCTTAACAGTGTATTATGTATAGTAATTCATTCACCTTGGAACAGTAAAAAATCAACAATCTTCTAATGGGTAAAGGTAAATGGGTAAGTTTCTTATATTAAATAATCCTAAGTCTCTGTCTGGATTCAAACATGCAGCATTAAAGGGCAAGTGTATCACACTTGTTACCTTAACCACTCAGCCCCTGGTTGCCCTGGCTTCAATAGTATATTTATACCCTTTAATGTAGTTTACTGTACAAATTCTCTGTTAGTTTACTCAGATAATTTTCATGGTGTCACAGTGACATAAAACCATACAACGGTTTCAATTATAACTGTACACATCAATTTGCCACTTAAAAAATAATCCATTAAAAATTTCAATCTTACATAATTTGTGTTTGATTTTCCTGAATTTGAAATTTGAATACAGTAATTGCTTAAAATCATTATAAATACTCTATTTAAAAAAAAAACATTTATAGAAATAGTATGAAAAAAGACCAGTCATTTTTATTTAAATTTTACCCTAAGTAAAGAAATATTGCTTTATTAAAACATCAATATTATCTTCCCTTCGAAATGGCAATTCAACTCATTATATTACATAATGAAAAAGGCAGACAGATTCCCTCATTCATGAAAATCATGCATGAAAACATGATATTTCTATAAATAACATTTCTATAAATAATCCACAGACGTACAGGACAAAAGCTGCGTAATAATTGTCACCTGCAAAAATTAATCAATGAATTCAATATCTCATGCAGGGAAAGTAACACATTTTGTGCAAGGATTCAATAGATTCTACAGAATAGAAAACTTGGCTTAATTTGATTACTGATATAGATCCGAGATGAATCATTTCACTTTATTAATACTATAGATCTTCAATGATAACTTGACATAATCAGTTCAACACTTATACTTTTGTGTCAACATGTTCATAATATTTAAATTTTACAACAGTTAATCACTCTTATAGTTTACACAAATCTATTTAAGTTTGACTCAACACTCTTGAATCCATTCCTGGTACCAACCAGTAATAAGCAATGAGTGTTTAGTTTCTTGCTTACAGAAACAACAGCTTGCCCCTGATGGGGTTTGAACCCCTGCGGCCAGCAATCCTTAAATTACTAGTCTGATGTGTTAACAGCCATGCTGCCACTGTAATCATTCTTAACATAGAACTATTCACTATTTGATATATGTTAAAATAAAATAATATTAAATAAAGTACTAGAATTTACTTCATATTCAACAATCATAATGTATTAATTAAAAACGGCTCTACATCAGATTTATTCTATTCTTATAATGCATGAAAGGGCACCTGAGGTCTTCCTCCACCAATAAAACTGGAACGTCGCCATATGACCTATACTGTGTCGGTGTGACATAAAACCCAATCAAACAAACAAACAAAACATCTATTCTTGTTTGTTTTTTTCTGAACCTTCCTAATATATAATCATTAAATTTTTAGCTTTATCTCAGAATCAGACTGGTTTATGTTTAAATTTACAACTTTTGTCTGTTATTTACCCAATTATTGCTGTACATCTACACTTGCTTTTATTTTTTTAACAAAATCATCAGATAATTAAATAGTCTGTCTTATCTGTGAATTCAGACTGGTTCATGACTAATTTTTAAACTACCCAATTATCACAGTAAATCTATCTTTTTTTTTCAATACCATATCATACCCATCACCATATATAGACAATGATTTAGGACAGTGTTAATTGATTCTGCCAATCTATCCACTTGTTACAGTCTGTACTGTATGAAAACTCATTCATCTTCTGATATAAGATACCAGGGAAAAATAAACACATAGTCATGATATAAAGTTTAACAGTAATGTGATCTATAACCCCCATCACTTTGTATGCTAAACTAGATTTACCTGCCACAAAAGAAAAAGGAAATATATTTCATGTATGGCATAAAAAAGACTGTCATACTTTTGAGCAAAACTGGCTTTTTCAGTATATTTGACCAAATTTCTTAGTAACTAAAGTGATTTTAACAAGTATTCATTGAATTTATGACCTTACATTGCACTTAAGTTGTATAACACTATCATACTATGATTTATTTATGATACTTGAATATCAAAATGTAAAACTTGAACATGAGTGCATTCACATTCATGAAAGAACAGAAATAAGGCAATATTGTACTGGAGACCCCTCAATCATGCACTTCTGTGCCTCTTTGTTCTAGGAAGAAGCAGGCACAAGATAAGGAGTCGGCACAAGGGTTAGAACAACTAAACAGAACTGCATGGTAACCTCACTGTCACAGTGAAATGAACAGATTTTAAGGCATGTGATTCAGTTAGCAACCTTTACAACTGATAGTTCCCTACTCTGACCTTTTATTTGAATAACAAGAATTTGTAACAGAGTTACCAACGTCCCCCGTCTTGGGGAAGTTTTATATGAAGCATAAAATTGTGCTATTTCAAAAGCTTGAGGTATAGATTTCAGGACTTTCAGTCCAAAATTATGATCAATGCTAGATCTGCAAATGCAACATCGTCTCATTATGGCAAGTATTTACAAAATCCCTTCAAAGATAAGAAAGTTATGGACTGGACACGACATATACCATCAAATAGGCAATGTTGACTTTGAATGAGCAAGTACGACCTTGACCCTGGAGGTAGGGGTCTGGTTGTTGCGCATGACACATCGTCTTATCATAACAAACATTTGTGCCAAGTTATTCCAGATTCCTTTGATAAATGAACAAGAGGGCCATGATGGCCCTGAGGTCGCTCACCTGTATATAGGCCCCCCCCCCCCACACCTCCGGGCTAATTTTTACCCAAGGGCTTTTATTTGTTTATTTGAACAGACTTGGTAGACACCCATAAGAAGATGTTTCATGCTAAACATCTAAGTCCTAGCTCATTGGGTTTTTTAAAAGAAAATTTTTTAAAGTTTTTACTATACACATATAGTTAAAAACAATGACACCCCTGGGGCAGGGCCAGTTTTCACCCCCGGGCTTTTATTTGAACAAACTTTGTACATATTTACTTAAAGATGTTTCATGCTTAATATCTAAACTCTAGTTATTTGGGTTTTTTCAAAGAAGATTTTTAAGTTTTTGCTATACACATATAAGGAAAATCAATGACCCCCCCCCCCCCGGGCGGGGCCAGTTTTGACCCAGGGCTTTTATTTGAACATACTTGGTAGACACCCATTAGAACATGTTTCATGCTTAATATCTTAGCTCTAGCTCTTTGAGTTCTTTAAAAGAAGATTTTTTAAGTTTTAACTATATGCATATAGGGAAAATCAATGACCCCCTGGGGCGGGGCCAATTTTGACCCCAGGGCTTTTATTTGAACAAACTTGGTAGACACTCATTAGAAGATGTTTCATGCTAAATATCTTAGCTCTAGCTCTTTGGGTTCTTTAAAAGAAGAAATTTTAAGTTTTTACTATATGCATATAGGGAAAATCTATGACCCCCTGGGGCGGGGTCAATTTTGACCCCAGGGCTTTTATTTGAACAAACTTGGTAGACATGCACTAGAAGATGTTTCATGCCAAATATCTAAGCTCTAGCTCTTATGGTTCTTTAAAAGAAGATTTTTTAAGTTTTTACTATATGCATATAGGGAAAATCGATGACCCCCCGGGGTGGGGCCAATTTTGACCACAGGGCTTTAATTTGAACAAACTTGGTAGACACTCACTAGAAGATGTTTCATGCTTAATATCTTAGCTCTAGCTCTTTGGGTTCTTTAAAAGAAGATTTTTAAGTTTTTACTATATGCATATAGGGAAAATCAATGACCCCCTGGGGCGGGGCCAATTTTGACCCCAGGGCTTTTATTTGAACAAACTTGGTAGACACTCACTAGAAGATGTTTCATGCTTAATATCTTAGCTCTAGTTCTTACGGTTCTTTAAAAGAAGATTTTTAAGTTTTTACTATATGCATATAGGGAAAATCAATGACCCCCCGGGGCGGGGCCAATTTTGACCCCAGGGCTTTTATTTGAACAAACTTGGTAGACACTCACTAGAAGATGTTTCATGCTAAATATCTTAGCTCTAGCTCTTTGGGTTCTTTAAAAGAAGAATTTTTAAGTTTTTACTATATGCATATAGGGAAAATCAATGACCCCCTGGGGCGGGGCCAATTTTGACCCCAGGGCTTTTATTTGAACAAACTTGGTAGACACTCACTAGAAGATATTTCATGCCAAATATCTAAGCTCTAGCTCTTAGGGTTGTTTAAAAGAAGACATTTAAAGATTTTTCTTTCGGTTGCCATGGCAACCAGAGTTCTGCATGGAATTAAATTCTTTGAACAATTTTTAAAGGTGACCACCAAAGGAACATTCCTGTGAAGTTTGGATGAAATTGGCTCAGTGGTTTATGAGGAGATGTCATTTAAAGCAAAAGTTTACGGACGGACGGACGACGGACGGACAGACGGACGGACGCCGGACGAAAAGCGATCACAAAAGCTCACCCTGTCACTTTGTGACAGGTGAGCTAAAAAGTTATGGACCGGACACAAAATATACCCTGTAATAGACTATGTTAATCTTTGACCTCCAGGTGAAATTCCTATTGTTATCCACTAGTCTAATCTGAATATTAGAATCTAGGCACTCAGTAATAGCATTTTTGCCGGCTCGCCACGGCGAGCCGGTATTACGTTAGGATTTTACTTAGAAACAACCTAAAACTCCGAATCCATCCAAAAATTTAATCTAAGCTTGGCTTCCAGCTTTCTACAAAATTTATCTGTCTGGGCTGGAATCCAAAATAATTAAGCCAATCAAATTTGATCTTACATAGCGTCAAAAAACCTTCAATTTTCACGCCATTTTTAAAAAGGAACAAGTATTGCTTTGAGCGCAAAGATGATAATGATGATAAAATATTTGTTTTCATGAATTCTTTTCAATAAATCATATTTACACTGACTTTTGATTTAGCGATTTCACCTGTTTTCTCTGTAGTAAGTTAAATAATTAACAATTAATTGGTTAATTAACGTAATTGTTCATCTGGTTCTATGCATATTTTCTTTTTCTTTTTTTCCGGTAATTTTATCCTGTCCGGTATTTTGTGTATGTATTTACTGGGATATACTATTCTCCGGTCCGGTCGCTTCCGGTCTCTCCCGGTCTATTTTGACCGGGATTTACGAGACTTGAGAACTTGTACAAATCAAATAATCATGCCACATGAATCTAAATTCGCCCACACCCAAGAGAGTTCTTCAGTAATATATTCCTGTATAGGACTTGTGTCTGTCACTCATTCCAATACTAAATAACATATTACAACTTAACTTTGTATAAAGAGACATCTTTATGAATTCTACCTATCTAACATTTTTGGTCAAGGTCAACAGGCCATATAGTAAATGTGCATAGACATAGGGACTTCATTCTATCTGTTTACATGCATCTTCATATATACTCATATTCCCCTTTGTTAAACCGAGAGAACTGGCTTCCGTAACTTTATATGTCACTTTTATTTTGATGTTCGCTGAAGTCTCTTCAGGTACAGAACTGTCATTTTTACATTTAAACACACCCCTGGAATAAAATTACGAAGCGAGTCGCTACTAGCTTTTTTAAAAGCTAACCTTGTCTATCTTTTTTTTTGGTTGGGGTAAGTAGTTTGAAATCAACAACCTTTACCATGTAGCCACTGGCATTTTTTAATATATTTATGTCTAGTCTGACTTTTGTTTTAAGCAAGTTATACCTGCATTTATGCAAATTTACATCACACCAAACCTCTGAGATTCCAAATCATTTCAGACAAAGTAACCTTGACCTAAATTCAAACAACTAAAGTATATACATGTATCTAAGGATATCATCATTTAAACATATTTTTTTAAATTTTTAATCCTACTTTAAAAATTTTAAAGATTAATGAAGTTTTGTCAAGTTTCATGTTGATCTTACTTAACATTTACAGTTAACAAATAATTAGTAAGGGTAATTCAATAAGATTTATCAGTTACACTGAACAGTATGATATCATATAGAATTTCACCTAATTTTCTATAATTAACTGTGAAACAATTATGCTGATTGGATGTGATAAATACCTATCAACCAATCAAATCTCTTGATAGCTCCATCTTAGTTTACATGCAGTACAGATAAAGGGATAACAGGCTGTGATTAAAGGATCCCAGCCGTTTAAAGATGAATATCTTTATTGTATAGATATGTTGTACAGTCCACTGGTTCACAAAGACGCAAATTGGGTGCCCAAAAAGCGCAAAATTTGTCAAACTTTGCCACAAAGTGTAGACTGAATGTAAACACAAATTTTCCAGGTATTGAATAACAAAAACAAAAGACCTTACAATAGTTTAACAAACTGTTGTGTTCAGGTGTGAGTTGCTTTGATACCTCCTGTTAAAGATACCCTTTTAAATGTTTGGACAAAAACAATTACTTTATCAATATTCTAACTATGAAAAGGTGTGCCAAATTCTAATTTTTCTGTATACCCAGAAACGGTAGCTCAAATCCATGAAAATCACATTATAATTAATCCTGTAAAACATTAAAAGGGTAATTTATAGCCTAAGCAATAGTAAATTAACCTTTTCTTATTGAATACCAGGAATCAATCTACGGTATTAAACTTTATTTTTCAAATTAAACGGAAGAAAATGCAGTCACTTCTAGATTTTCAAGTTAGCTGTTGTTTTGATTCCACAATGTTCAATTGCAAACCTTTTAAAATGAAAAAGATAAACAATCAATCAATCAATTTAACATGAAAACAAGTCTTTAGCTTATCTAACAATGGTATTTACCACTTTGAACAACCATGTGTGACAAAATCAATCATATATGATCAATAAATTGATTTTGTCACATTCTGCAGAAATAAAATTCATTAGTAATTTAATCATTTCATCACATTATTTATTTATCATGAATAGAGACACAGTCTGTGAAGTGTGTTCAATTGTAACTTTGAGGTAAATTAGTCATGATCATCAGCTGCAATAGTGTTTTATGTAATAAAAATTCAAGTTTTGGAACCAGTCTGTAGACTGTGCTTTACCATTGGTTTATTTGACTAATAAGCGACCAATCAGAAAATAGCTGTTTTAGACTGGTATTTAAACTTGACCAGTCCTAATGAATTTCTTTGGGGTTCGTACTCTCAGTGCCTGAAAGGTCTGATGCACCCTTATTGAACTTAGAACACGCACACACACATTTCTATATTAACTTTGTCTTCCTTCAATTTTTGTTGGCCGGAACTTATTCACTTTCAGTTTATGCAAGGTATTGGTTAATTTGTAAATGTATTACCTTTACTTAAGAAAAACAGCTTTGTCATCCAGTTAAAAAGTAAAACAATCCAAATGAATTTTCTGATGTGAAAACATGTCTTATTATAAAATACTTACTTTTAACTTGTTTTTTAATTCTTTTCGTTGCATCCAACCAGTGCTGAAAAACAAATGGATACGTTATTAAGATTGTATTTCATTACACAAACTGATACACAGTTAAAAAGACAGTACATTCAACTTCAATTCAACTGTTAAATTTTATTGCAAATTTTGTATTAAGCTTGATTATAAAGTTTGGGTTAAAGTCCTGCTGAGCACAATAGAAAAAGTTAAAAGGTGACTTTAAAGCTAAAATGGTGGGAAAATATTTCAAGTAAAAAGTTAAAAGAATATCTACAAGTGTATACACAACATAATTGCCTTGTATCATAGTTTGGGGACCTTTCTGTTGAAAATGTGTCAGAGTTAAATCGTATGCATATATATGCACAGTGCGTTAACTGGAGTGCAGGTATTAGTTACCCGCACTGCAGAGCATGCCCATTGATTGGTTAATTTTGTCTGGGGTTTACATATTGTGACGACGGAGAAAGGGAAAGCGATAGAAATATTATATTCAGATGCTCTTTCATTGGTTCCTTTTTTCTGGGGATTCATATTGTATTTATTTGTGACTATGATACAAAAGAGGGTGGGGGGGATACAAATCAGATATCCTCGTGTTTCGGTGCTCTTTCTATTACATAGACTTTAATCTATCCCTTTGTCCGTTATTTCAGGCAGTTGATTATTTCAGGCAAAGTTTCAGAATATGAAAGCAAGCTAGGAGTTGATATATAAAGTGACTTAAAATATATATTTTGTATACTTACACTGACATTGTTGTGGTCAGTATACTGAAGGCCGAAATAATCTTTCTCTATAATATCTAGGTGATAAAAACACTTCTCTAGTAAAACAACACCCTCATCATGTTTCTGAAAAATCAAATAAAACAAACCATCATTTATTGGCAGCAATTCTGCACTTTATAACCATTTCAATTCTGACTTTCATTATTGATACTGCATGGTTTCCTGGGTAGCTAGAATGTCTCTGTCACAGGTCTGTCTGTATTTACAGCATGTATGTTTCTCAAAATTCTACCAAGCATCATAATTTGATTGTATCAGTCAGCTCAGATTTTTCAGTTGATTATATCTCCTCATAAAAATATTTCAAATCATATAAAATCTTGAAATATGAGCTCATCTGAATGAGAATTCTACCAATGAAACATATACAGCGTTCAACATAAATGATACATATTAAATGGCTGCCTTAACAATACCCCCATTTTGTTATATTATTTAAATTTAATCGTTTACATAGCAAAGTAAGAGCGAAAATATTTGTCAAGAAAACACATGATCAGCATAAAATTCTCTATGCTAAATAATGCTGATATAAATAAATACAAGGAAAAAATAATGCAAAAAAACAATATTCAGCAAAAATTTAGCATATTTCCCCTTTAACAAGCAGACATAAATCAGGCATCAAAAAAATTTTCAGTGGCTCATCCTGCGGGACGAGTAGCTTAACCAATGTGCAGGTAACATTTTTCTACTCCTCCTGCATCGAGTCCTCTTAAATTCTACTTGTAATAATGAGCAGACGAGTGGAATTTTCAATCTCTGCTGATGACACACAAATAACCCATCCCTCCTCTTAATGCCACCCCACTTCTTACATCCCCAATCTCTACAACCCTCCCCCTACCCCACCAACTTATACAAATCTAATTTGTTTGTTTGTTTGTTTGTTTTATTTTACGCCTTTTCCCAACAGTATTTCAGTCATATAGGCGGGTAGTTTCCTAACCACCGTTCCTGGAGAGTTACACCAGTACTAGACTACCTTCCTCCGCGCTTAACTACCAAAGCATCTCCTGGGGATCGAACATACGCCAGAGAGGAAACTGGATTAGAAGTCATCGACTCTAACCCCTCGACCACGGAGGCGGTCTATACAAATCTAAAGAGACATAGTTTCGTCAACTATACCATGGTACTACCTACTATGGTATGTAGTATATGTTGTAATAATACTTGTTTACCTATATTAAATACTTCATGGGAGTCAATTGTAGCCCATTAATATATGTTTACATTTAACTGAGCCACTCTTCTTTCATGACATGACATTAAGTAGGTTAAGACAACCACACAACCTTTTACATGCATTGTACTATAATGTACACAATAAGGTCAATCCCCTATTTGTTTGTTTCTGCTCTTTTAACATACATGACAGTGTATCATCTCATCATTCAGGTATTCTATTCATCTCTGGTTTTCCTCATATAATGTACAAGAGTTGTAAGTGGAGCCAATTTAACCCTTAACCCACTATATATCTGAAAAGGACTTGTCTGTTAATTAGTATAAACCATTCACTTATTTTGATTAAATAAAAATTCAAAACATATAGCAAACAGTGCAGACCATGATCTGACAATACCACGCCCGTTTAACTCACAACGAGTGAAAAATGTCCATCGGTAAAAATGTTGTGAGCAACTTCCGTTCCTCGTTGTGAGCACCCATCTGTGACGTGTGACACGATAAACAAGGTGAGTTTTTCATAAATTTTGAAGATTACAGACATTTATGTAAAAATATCGGAATGCAGTTAGCTAGCGATGTGTTTTCCGAGTATGCACATGTAAGGATATTGCCTGTTGGTGGACAATTTGATGGAAATACCGTGCGACGCAGTCACTCGGGGTAGCTGGAAAACTGGAGACAACTTCTCTTTGGACCTAATTTAACATTTAAAACGTCGATTCTGGTGACTTTTTGTGCATTCTAACCTAAAACAGATGCCCACAAGTCTTCAGCGTAAATTATTATCTGAAAGTCTTCATAGAAACGAAGATATACTCTTTTTTGCTTTAATCCTCGTTGTGAGCACCATAACCTCGTTGTGAGCAAGACAAGCGCAGTGCTTGTCTTGTTTTAATATGTAATTCAAATGGCAAGAATACAATTTTCAATCTACCAAAAGCAACCAAAACGTTTTTGTACAATAGTTTTTCTTTGCAATAGTTCTTCTTTTTCTTTTTTTGAAAATTATTCTTCATATTCACAAGTCATCAGATTAACAGTAGAACTAATCAGTGGAGGTAAATCAGGTATTTTATTTCGTATACTCTAGTGTGGCACGAGTGAACATCACGGGGAGTTTATGAATATTTCAACAATTTCACAATCTGTGTGATACACACATACATGTGTTTATCCTGAGCTGAAGACTGACCAAGTTATGTAAAACAAGAACTATCACGGTAAGTTGACAATGCCCCTGAAGTGGTGCTTTGTCCTTTGATTTATGGACCAGATAGATTATTTGTTTTTGGACAATTAGATCTTCAATGTGAAGGTAATTCAAGGTCAAGGTGAAATAAATATAGGTCAGTTGGAAGGTCTTGTCCAAAGGGGCATTGTGTCCAAATATGAATTAATTCCACTTACTTATAAAGAAGTTATGACCAATGTTAAAGTTTTTGGATGTTCTAGAAGGTCATTCAGGGTACAAGGTAAAAAAAAACAGGTCAGTAGGAAGGTCTTGTGCTAAGGGATGTTGTGTTCAAATATGAATCAAATCCGTTTACTAATAAGGAAGTTATGGCCAATGTTAAAGTTTTCGGACAGATTGACGGACTGACAGACGGACAGTTCAAAACTAATATGCCTCCCTTTGGGGTATGCACAACGTCTTGCAAAGAAATGCTGCTGTGCAAAAACGTTTTAATTGCTGTGGTAGATTGAAAATTATATTTTCACCATCTGAATTACATATTAAAACCATACACGCACTGCGCTTGTCTTGCTCACAACGAGGTTATGGTGCTCACAACGAGGATTAAAGCAAAAAAGGGTATATCTTCGTTTCTATGAAGACTTTCAGATAATAATTAACGCTGAAGACTTGTGGGCATCTGTTTTAGGTTAAAATGCACAAAACGTCACCAGAATCGACGTTTTAAATGTTAAATTAGGTCCAAAGAGAAGTTGTCTCCAGTTTTCCAGCTACCCCGAGTGACTGCGTCGCACGGTATTTCCATCAAATTGTCCACCAACAGACAATATCCTTACATGTGCATACTCGGAAAACACATCGCTAGCTAACTGCATTCCGATATTTTTACATAAATGTCTGTAATCTTCAAAAATTATGAAAAAACTCACATTGTTTATCGTGTCACACGTCAAAGATGGGTGCTCACAACGAGGAACGGAAGTTGCTCACAACATTTTTACCGATGGACATTTTTCACTCGTTGTGAGTTAAACGGGCGTGCAATACATTTGAGCATTGTATAGTAATCACACATTCAAGATGCTAAGCATTAAGGGAACATAAACCAAAGCCTTGGGATTGAAATTTTTTTTGCTCTTAATGGGGGTGCAAGGGGTGGGGGTGGCCCCAACAGATTTGTTCAATTGAAAAAGAAACAAAGCCAAAAACTTACAACACAATGCACATGAAAACAACTAATACATTATATTCAGTACCAGTTTAATAGTATTGAGTAATTGGGAAATGAGTAATTGGGAAATTTTGTCCACAAATTGTGAAGAAAAAAAACCAAAGTTATTTTTCCAATTGGAATTTGACCCAATATCTGCTATAAAACGGGCATATAAACTATCCTAGCAGTTTATACATATACTACAATGCCAACATTATTACATCTGGCTATTTAATATGTTTACTCAGCAAATAATCAGAGACCAATAAATCAGGGTTCAGATAAAAGTTTATCTATCCACGAGATATTTCTCTTTATTCACCAACATTATTCTAACATTTACACACAGTTATTGTAACCTAAAATATTCTGATTGCTAGAGGTTTTTTGTCGAAACTTAACAATTTTTTCTTCAAAACTAATTTTATTTTTAATTATCTTTCGCTTCTAAATTTATGTACAGAAACTATGTAAACGCCACTATTTTGCATTTTGGAAAGAAATTATAATATAAAAAGTGCATTTTAAATACCAATCATAAATGTTTTTGGTTATTTTTTGAAGTTGTTGCTTTAATGAGTTTCATACTAGTGAAACATAAAGGGACTGGTTTGAATTTATTTGACTCAAAACTAAATGATTTTTTAATTTCTGCACCTGGTCCAGGACAACACAGTTCAGCTTGTTTTTTGTTTTGTTTTTTTTTAATGAAAGTAACTGGTCAACAAAACTAATTTGAAACACCAGCGCATAAAACTGCAGAGCGAATGGCATTCAGAACATAGTTGCCAACAAAATTTAGAGCCACACCTAAGATTTGAACTTACTACTAGAACTTGAAGTTATCAGGTACCCAGAAGAAAAAAGAAAATATCTGTCAGAACAGCTATGGCATTATTAATATAACCTTTTGGATTTCCAATATAATTAGGCTGAGCACTGTAAAATATTATACATGTACATGGTGACATTCCAACATTACTGAGGATATCATATAGGTGTAACTAAAAATGCTATAGGTTCCATTGTGTGCAATATTCCAGGCAAAAACCAGCACCTTAAATAAATTATATTTTTCAATTTCTTAATGTTAAAAACCAGCTAAAAGCTTCCTCACATGAAATAATCTGGGAAGGATTCAAACCCACACCAGCAAGGAGAAAGTGTTTTGAAGTCAGCATCCCCAACCACCTGTCCATGGAGGCAACATCATCTTGAAGAGTACAATGTATCTATCACCATCATGTTTATGTCTTTATGTTTTTAGCATAAATGATAAATAATATGTATTGGATAAAACTGTATGTCTTTTAGGTATATAATGATGAAAATATGTTGCTCTTGTTGTTGTAAGGGAGGTGTTAGTGTTTTCCATCAAGGCCATGCAAACAATTTTCACTTGAACAATATAAATAATTTCGTAATATGTTGGTTCATATAAAAGTACCGAAAAATAACCACTACAAAATAACAACATAAGGTCTTTAGGGCATTTTCAATATTTTACAATGATTTATGTACAATGATTTATGTACAAATATTTATGCAGAAAATCATACTGATCAGATAAAGAAGCTTGCTTATATAAATAAGCACAGAGGATGATTCAGCATAAGATGTCCTTAATTCAGGTCATATTAATTCTATTTTTTTATCAACCATAAGCAGCCAAAATCAACACCAGACTTAGATCACAGATTACATAGGGAAAAAAAAGCCCTAAAATCAAACATTTTCCAAGCCTGACCCACAATCCCTTGCATGAGTGCAGTTGATCAATTTCCACCACCTTGTTATAGTTATACATAACAAAATGTGTTTACATTTTTGTCCATCACTAAGAAAAATTTACATCTTCAAAATCAGGCGGTTATTTTTTTCTCCATTTTATCTGATAAGGAGCAGAGTACTAAGTCTTGTTTGTAATCCTACTAGAAACAATATCATGATTGATCATTAAGTTAACAGAGAGGGATTTCGTACATGAGATTCAAACTTTATTAGAAGTATATTTCATTAAAATGATATTTGTACAGAAAAAACAGTTATTAATTCAATGCTATTTTTGTTAGTTTGAGAGCTGTTTGTCATTCAATTTCATAAGATTACTGCTAAAATTTCAAACGAGTTCTTTGCATTGCAGTGACATAAGACAATTTATTCTATATTCTAACACATTTTGAATTTGCGCTTTAAAAGTGACATACACATGGCAAACACTATAAGAACATGGTTTAAATATGATGCACCCCTGTAGCAACATGCGCACACCTGCAGCAACATACAAAAGTAATGAATAATGAATTTTCACAGCTTTTTTACTAGGGTCAATACATTACAAAATTAATTTTTTTTATCAAACTTGAAAGGTAAAATGACTTTGATATATGAAATATTTTTTATCAAGATGCATGCTGTTTACACACTAACCTATCAAAATATATTCTAATAAATTGAGAAAATAAATGTACACATAATCATAATTGATTTTCACTTTAGAAAAATTTTGATAAAATGATCTAAGACAAAGTTCTATGAGTAAAGGAACAACCTCTGATCAAACATCAGGAACACCTGAAATTGCACATGTGACTTGAAATGAAGCACAGATCATGCTATAGGTGTGCATTGAGCAGGCAAAATCAGGTGTGTCTGAACTTTTACCTGAAAATAGTCTTTGAACAGTGATTGAAAAATGGACTGATTAAGGACAGGACAAGCATGTTACCATAAATCAATAAAAAAATATTTGAGTCATGACGTAATGCCTTATGATGCCTTCTCAGTTCTGAACAATACTTATAATTATATTACCCCGTACAAAATTGCCACAAAACTTATATCCTATTGGAAGTCAAGGTGCACCCAGACACTTTGACAAGACATAGGAAAACTGTAGATAGCAATAACTGTAGATAGCAATAACAGAAAGTGCCAAAGGCTAGCTTAAATGCTTTATACTTGTGCACTTAACAACAGTTTTACTAACTTGTTAGATTATTTTTTTCAGTTTTCACAAATCTTGAGGAATGTTGTTTAAAAGCCTTATTGAACATAACAAAAAAAATAATTATTTAATAGCTGATATCATATACAGAGACATTACTGATAGGCAACAACACTATCGATACAATGATACACACATATATACAAATTACTTTAATGTTTTCACGGGTTTATATCAATATATCAAATGTATTGAAGTTTATCAAATCAAGGTCATTGAACGTTTAAATGATGTCACTTGCCAGATGGAAAATTTATAAAAATCTGTAAGCAAACTGATTTTAAAAAGAAAAATAAATTTAAAAATGATTAAAAAAAAGAATTTATAACATAATCAAATGAGTTACAAAGTTAACTTATGAATATGTATACAATTTTTGCAGAACCGTATCAGGAAGGTAAAGGTACTATTAATGCAGTTAAAGTTTACTACATTAATTTGATATTTTATGATTAAATTGTTGCAACATAAAACGGTTAAAACCTTATGGTTACTGTTACATACATGTATGCCAGCAATGATAAGAACATTCACAATTACCAATTCAACCATTTTGGTCCAGCTCCAATGCTGGTCTTAACCCATTACCCCATGAGCATTTTGTGAAAAATGGCTGTTTTCATTGAAAAGTCTCCCGTTACAAGTTCAAGTTGCTTTAAAAATATAAAAACTGCTTCCATACTAATCAAACTTGGCACAAATGTTGACTGGACCATTGCCTTTGTAACAACATGCTCAGTCTTAAATTTCCTGTTACCATGGCAACTAGGGGACATCTCAAAATAGCCAAAAATCACTATTTTGCATTGATTTTTACCATCAAAATTGATTTCAAAGTGCTGCCACTTTTCAATGGCTTGAGATAGAGTCAAAGGCTTTTCAGCGTTGGTTACACGGTACCTTATGATCGACCTGGGGTCATTTTTAGCCTCTCACAAGTCCAAAATTTTCTTGGCGGCCCTTCAAACCCCCCAAACAGAAGGGGGCACATCACCCTTCTGGCAACCCCCTTATGTATCTTTTGGATTGGGGATGGCGCCGAAAAAGTGGTCACTTTTTTAAACAACATTTCTCAAACAAAACAAGTGTTTGGGGGCCTTAATTAGGCATTTTTTCACCATTTGAGAAAGCAAAAAGGGGGGGGTGAAAAAGGCGTAGAAAGGCGTACTATATATCTGGTAATGGGTTAACTGAGGGTTTTTACTGTGTACCGGTAACTGTAAAATAACTTAAACTGAATCATGTAAAATATAGGCATCCTTTGAATTCAAATAGTTTCCTGTTAAATCTGAAAGTAATCAATGTCAATCAGATTGTAATTATATTTACTTACAGAATTTTAGCTGTAATTGATTAATTACAATTAATATAATCAATTTTGGGCATGGCAATCAAATTATTACATGATTATTACAGTGAAATCCTGCCATCAATTAAAAAATCAATGATTGAAATTAATGATTACCCCAAATTTTCTCTATAATTTAGATTTTCTTAAGAAATTTAATTTTCCAAGAGGCCAGGGGCGAGTATTCTTTAAGAGTTATAGACTACAATTATTATGTCATGTAGATCTGGAGTATTCAAAATCCTGAACATTTTGTTTAAAGCTGATTATCTCCTTATATTATGCATAACACTAGCTGCCGCTTTAGTTTAAACAATTTTAATTTATTTTAGTCCAATGTTGTTGGAAGCTATAAGCTTATTGAAAAGCCCTCAATACGTTTCTGGAACTAAACTAACAAGTACTTACTAACTTAGCAATGAGTGTAAAGTTTCTTGTTCAAGAAAACAATGGCTTTCCCTTGATGGGTTTTAAACCCATGCTGCCAGCAATCCTTAGATCACTAGTCTGACGGTTAATAACTCGGTCCAGGGCCAAAAAACCCTTCTTTGTAGAGGCCGAATATAGGCTGCTTCCCCAACCAAACTAGCCTCTTTTTTCCCCAGTTTGGTCCTCAAAATTCCCCAGTCTTTTGAAATTTCCCATAGAATTTAGAACAAAATTAAAAGATGAAGTTGAATTAAGGTCTTTTACTGTATTTCCCAGTGCTTTTTGCTTTTCTATTTTGAAGAACTTGTTAAAAGTTTGTGTTAAATTTTGAGACCCCAAGCTTTTCCCAAAGTATGCCAAAATCACGCATATTTTCCCCAAGAAAAAGGCTGAGGCCCCTTCCCCAAAAATGGTGTTTTGGCCCTGCGGTCACACATGGCTTTTAACTTTCTAAGTTAGGGTCCAAATTCTTAAAACACGATTTAAACAGGATTCGTTATATAGCAAATAGTTTTCACCTTATATAATGTCAGAAGTCTCTTCTCAATTGAAATTTTCTTAATAATCATGCAGTTTTCCCAAAAATCTATACTTACTTACACCAGCTTTTTTACTTCCAAAATTAGCAACTTTAGCAATAATTTTCCCCCAAATCAAGAGGCTAAGGACTTTCCCCAATTAAGTTAGAAAAAAACGGATAGCACTCATCATTAGAGAATGCCAGATGTTTATGTTTGATTTTTATTAATATTGAGGGTATTGTTAATTAGAATTTGAAGAAGAGAAATGTTACAAACTTAAAGCACTGAGACAAAGTGAAATCCCCTAAAGTTAAGTTTTTTAATATATTTTTGGTAGATATTTTAGTATTTCAAAAGTATCAGAATAATTTTGGCATAAAAAAGGAGTGAACTTCTTCAAGACCTTTCACTCCTATTTGGGAATGAAATGTCTTGATGTGAACTGTCTTGGTGTGAACCGTCCTAATAGTTGAAATGTCTGTCTAGTGTCTACTCTACCTCATTAGATCTGATTGTTGACAGGTAGAAAATTCACCCTATTTTAAAATTTTCATCAGTTATAGGTTTATAAACTTTTAAATAAATATCATTTTACATAATAGGGTTTTGATCGGGAAAAATACAGTTATGATAGATAGAAAACTTATCTTTTCATGCATGTTGATCTACAAATTATTAATAGAGCTCTAATTTATCACCTGTGAGGATTCCAGGTCAGCTCGGCCCTAAAACGTACTCGGCCCCCGAGTCAGCTCGGCCCTATACCAACTCGGCACGGGTCAACTTGGCCCACTTTTCAATTATTTATATTTAGGTTTGTGTAATCACTATTCTGTGAGTGTGATCTCAAATCTGAAAGTTATGACTCATAAATTCTGTTCTGCATCAATATAAAATTAGATAGATTAGGTTTTGACAATTTCCTTAGATACTTACATGAACTTCTGTTGTGTATTCAGTACCATCTAACAACATAATAGTACAAGTAATGGCATTTTTCTTTTTTATTGGGTGGTCGTGTTTTTTTATACCCCTCCCAGTTCGTCTACGGCTGAGAAACCGGAAAAATCGCGACATTCCTTAAAACGTTTGATATAGTTTATAGATTAAAAGCATAATTTGATAAAAGGTTTACTGTTCTTCATGTGTGCTTTTGTCTCATAGCCTTAAAATATCCCATAACTGTCATTTTTGTAAATAAAAACATTTCCATTTTTGCAAAACACTTCGCTGAATTCCGGCTAATTCCGTTAACATCCGGTAACTTCCTTAAATGGAAAAATTGACTGGTTTATAAGTTTATTCAGAAAAGTACCTAATGAAAATAAAATACCACAAAGAAAATTTAAATGACAGAAAGATATTAGGGACATTATAGTGTCAAAATGACCAATTAATATCCCATTTTTTTTGTAAATTGTGGTATCAGTAAGCTTATTATGAAATATGCACATGGAAGTATAGTCAATCTTGTTCAAAGTTTAGGCCCAAAGTAGTTCAAATTCAAAAAGGCTCACAAGTTGTCAATCCTACCCAAAACTCGGCATATATTACTTTATTTTCCTTTTGACATTTTCACACACATTTTACATATCAAAACCTGTGAGTTCTTATTTTATATTAAGAATAATTAACATGTTTTAATATTGATACGATAAATTAAGATTTTTAGTCCTGGTTAAGTTTCTTTTTAGGGCAATATTTCTTTTATTTCATAGAATTGTGTCCATTTGGTCGTCTGCACAGTGCATGTACAGGATGGGTCCTTATATATTCAGAAAGATGAACATATCTATGGAAAGTTTGCCATGTCTATACGTGAGTAGAGGACTGAATCCACATGGTTTTGGCACAAAAGTTACACCAAAATATCTTCACTAATTTATTTTACATTTCTCATCAAATGTAAAAATGCAAGTATTTCTTTGTATGTTTGATGTATGTAAATCAAAGGTACGAAAAGCACAATACAATTACAATATAATTTTAAGGCTTCATGAAGTTAAGGAGAAAGTATATAGTGTCTTTAATGGATGAGGTGTTGTCATAAATTTAAAAAAATACCGCTCATTATCATTATTTAAATCAGGTACGTATATTAATTAGTTAATATACGTACCTGTTTAAATGAAGAACTGTTTAATTGATTTTATTCTTATGCATCTCAAATGATTAAATGATCAAAAAAAGTAAACAAAGTATCAGAAAATAAATTAAAGATAATATATTCACTGTTTGGAAGAAAGCTACAGAAGAACATTTTGGTCTTATATGGTCTTTGTCATCAGCAAAGTCTCGGAATATTTGTGAAAATTAAAGTGCAATTATGATTTAAATGTGTACGAATAATAGTTGCAGGTTTCATCATTCAATTTTTACAGGCCATATAGCTTGAAAATTAGACTAGGGAGTTTATTCAAAGGGAAATAACTGCTATTTCATGGGAACATTTTGCTAAGAAAAATTGTTTGGTTGAGGAATAATGCTCCTCCAACTGTTGATTTTTTGGTACTGAATTTTCAGATCTTTCAAAATGCACTAAATTACACCATTGTATTCAAATATTTCTGCAACACATGAATTTTTGTGAATTCACATGAGTAATGCGTCGGCCATTCCTCTGTTAATGATCACAATATCAATCAGTTAAAACTGAGGGCCAGTTGACTCGGGGACAAGTCAGGGTACCAAACAATACCTGAACAAAAACACATAAACTTGAGATAAAATCATTTTATTCCTGAAGATAATCTGTCGACAAAAATATACTGTTTTTCAAACAACAATAACAAGAATTGTTTCTAAATCTATCAGTATAAACAACAACAATAGTGTGCTCAAGTGTCACAAAACCTTCAAAGATTTAATATAAGATCCTTTATTAATCACATTTTCTGTAAACATGAAATTTGTCCTTAAGTATTAAGAATTTGTCAGTTGAGGAATAAAAATTTGGGGTAATTTTACTTAAAGAATTGATATAAACATTTTTTTTTCAACAACTGTACCATGCTGCAGTGGATAAAATTTATTCTCCATATTCTTTAGAATTATCTCATTTATCAATGATTTCAACATGTCAACGGTATATGAAATATTTCCAGTAATAATTTAAATATTAGCAAAAATTACAGTGAAAAGTCCAGGGGAAAAAAACACACAAAAATGGCTAGAATGACTGGTTTAAGTGTTACGAGTTTTAAAGCTCAACTGACAAAATCTTAATCAATTTTAAACAAATTCATCACAATGATAAATTAAATACACATGATTTAAGCATTTGTAGTTAATTAAGTACATGTACAATAATCTTTTTTTTAATATTTGCCATATAAAGCAACTTAAATAAATTAAATAGTAACATTGATACAAATAAAGACCAAAATTTACAATAACAGACTTTGTTTCTTTTTCCATTTAACATGCATGAAGTTGAATAAACGTTGAATGGAATTTGTAAATTTTACAAAGTAATCTTATTTTAATTGTATCATTATTGTTCCTAAATTCTGTTGATAGGTAAGTTATAGCTTGTAAATATTTCAACAATTTTATACTAGGACATTGTACTTATAATTCAAAATACATAACAAGAGCTGTCATTGGGACAGCTTGCTAGACTATTCTCAGTGCTTGATAGTAAAACAAGATCCTGGGTAATGTAGAATTTTCTAAGTTCAAAAAGGACCATAATTCTGTTAAAATCCAATCCATGTTACAATTATGGACTTTGAATGACCTTCTCTTATGCTATGTAATAAGTGTGAGCAGTTTCAATCTATCTCATTCAGTAGTTTTAGAGAAACCAACTTGTATGCAAAAACTTAACCAGTTTGTGACTCCGATGCCAGGGTTGATTACAATAGCTCATCACATTCTTCAAATAGTCTAGCTAAAAATCAAGTGTAAATCAAGTTTGAAATGCAACAAAATAATAAGTATACAAGAATGATGATTTTATAAGCAGGTTGATGAAAATTAAGATAATTATTTGTCCTTGACATAACAAGATTTCACTGTTGTTCCTTCAATATGATTGTTCTATTGCTAACAGATGAATGGAAGAATTTCTTTTGCATAAAACACAGTCATACATAGAAGTGCGTTCAATACCAAAAACATACAACAGTGATAAAATGATGTATACAAGCTGTATGATGTTATGTATATCAAGTATTATATTAACCTTTGACCTTTAAATGTGACCTTGAAGGTATCGACCAACACATTTAAGATAATAGTCAATAAATGAAGTTGCTATGAGAAACAGTGTGGCAGAAAGAAAGTGAATAGAAAAAAATCAAAATGACAACTGCATGGTCCACCAAAGAATTTGGGAACATAAAAATATATTGTTAAATCTAACAAGATAAATAGCTAATGCAGATGACATAACCATTTCACTACAAACACTAAGTAATTTGTGCAATATTGAACACTTGATTATTATTTATAAATAATATATGAACTGGCAATACCTTTTTGGAGACTAGATTATAATTGACAAATAAAAGTTTTATGATTGTTTAACAAAATAAATCTTAAAATACTGTATTAATTTGATGTGTGAATTAATTTGTCTGCTTCTATGGTTAGTTGACAGAAAACTACTTCTCTAAAAAAAAAAAAATCACATGATGCAGATTTTAGTTTTCAATTTATGATGTGACATACTTAAATTCACTTAAATCTTATTACTCAATATAATCTAATGCTAATATGACCATGAAAAATGCTCAAATTGTGAAGAAGAAAAAATCGATAATTTTAACACATTGTAAATGAGAAGCATATATCAAGATACTAATTTTAAAATAATTTTTCCAATATTAAAAAAGATTATTCTAATTTGAAGTGAATAAATGCTGACATGACAAATAATTCATAATGGCAGTATTGTCATAAAATGCTATTTAATGACCGATTAATTAATAGATTAATTGAACTACAAAATTCTCAAAATTTATACATTCAATACACAGGCTTAAAAAAGACTATAGATTATTTCTAAATGTTGAAATCATTGTTTATAAAAATTAACAGTTTTTTTGTTGTATTTTTTTAAAATATTTATATATAGGATTTTGTCCTTCCTTGACACTCGAATTGACTATTGTAAAATACAGGGGATTCAAAAACAAAAACATTTTTGCAGCCAACAGTATAGGTCTAAGCATTTAACAAAACCTGCATAACTTTTAGTTGCCATTTTGAGGCTCAATTCCAAATAAATTTATATTATACTTAAGATAAAATAAAAATCTTTCTTAATTCTCATATAGCCTGATAAAAATTGTTGTTTTTTTTTTAATATTGGTGATATAACAATACCTTGTATTTTCCTTCACATATGGTAAAGAATTTATCTAAAATTTCTGTTTACTTTCATTTGTCAAATCTATATTTATTGAATGATGACACCAAAAATTGCTTCCACTTTTGTGAAGGAAGTAAAACTATTGCGAAAATTGGTAACCAAACAGTAAGGTAGGCTAGCAAAGATAATATTTATATGAACTCTGACCTTGTTTTATACTTGTAACATACAGGTATATCATACACTTTCATGACAATACACATCTGGTACAAATGCAGACAATTAATTTATGTATGCTATCTCAGTCCAATTTCTGGGTCATATATTTATATATTTATTTGTATATTTACTATATGAAGTCAAACTTAAGGTCTGAAGATGTACAACTTACTTACAGAATATATGATAAAAAAAAGACTTGACAATTAAATAAAGAGCATTAAACATAAAATGGTTATTTAAAAGAAACCAACTGTGCTCCGTTGTTAAATCCTAAATACAATCATGTAAGGTTTAATAATTATGAACACATAAATGTTTTGAACAAAATAAAAAATAATTCTCAATATTAAAAAAAACCAAAAAAAAATAAATGTATTGTAAATTTTCAAAGACTTAACTTTTCAGAAATAATAGTTTTTTCAAAAAACCTTTAGCACGCTAAATTACTTAAATAACACTGTCCATCTTCCAATCTGGACAAAACCATTTAGCAATTTAAAGGGAAAATTCTTAATAATTTAGACTGAACAGTAAACAGTGCAGACCATGATCAGACAGCATAGGTCTGCCAGTTGATCTTGGTCTGAAGTAATAGCATGGGTAGCTTCAGTCTCTGCCAACAGGCTAAATCTTAATGAAAAATAGTCTATTTCTTAAATCTGTGATTTGACAACTAGTTTCTATAAAAACTTCTTGTCTTTATTTATTCTTTTCTGTCAATTTTAGTGTACAATTACATTTATTTTAAAAACACTGTTTTATTTATCAAAATATTATACAATTCATATTGGATTGACTATGTTATGAAATACATTTATAAATCACAAAATTAAAAAAATTTGTTTCAAACATAAGTCAAGTAGCAATTCATTTATCAAATCAACAATTGCCCTTAAAATCTTACAGAAAATTAACATATACACAAATTTAGTACACAAAAATCACACTTGGCTTTATAAGGTTGAACTAATATCTGAGAACCAGTCTAAGAAACAATGTCTTTTCATTGATTGATTTCTAGACTAGTCTAAAATTCAACCAATCAGAAACAAGACTTTTCTAGAATGGTTTTCAATATTTTTTTTTCAACTTAGGGCCATGACCTATGGTATACAGCCCATGTGAATGATATATAACAACACAGATTCATTGTATCTTCAAAGCTTGTGGTAATAATTAACAAGGCTCAACATGTTACATGTACAGGTAAATGTTCACCAATTACACATGTTAAGTGGACCTAAAAGATGTATCAATCCATGTTAAACAGCAATTTTTACACCCAACATCTTCACCAACATGGCACTACGACTCACTGGACTAAACACATGAAATACACCTGTTAATTATTATTGTTTACAACAAAAAGACTTTGAAACATTGCCAAATACACATTCCAAAATACAAATGTTTTAAAGCTTTGAAGATACAATGCTCTGTTATCAATTAAAAAAAATAACAATAAAAAGAATCATTTAATTTTCATTGCACAATTAACATTTATTGCCCTTGTTTTTATATTTATCCCAGAGATTAATCTATAAAAGGGCACTTATATCACAAAACAATGTACATACAATTATATATATCTAGCATTTCAGTTCAAAAATCATACATTGCAGAATATTTACAACTTATTTTTGAGAAACAAGTCTAACAGTTCAGTGGCATGACGGCAAATATGTAGATTCATTACTGATATAGCAATGTGGGTATCGCCCTTAAATGTGCTCTATTTTTGAACAACTGTTACCTTAAGCTTGTAGAGAATTCATCTTAGTTTTATTGTCTAAGAGGCTATAAACTTATAAACACCCCCCAAACCAGTCCTGTTCCTAGAATAAACCAGTACAAAGCAATGAATTGGGCTTGACCATGATGGTTTTTTTTAAATCCATGAAGTCCAAAATCCTTAGATTACTATATGTAGTTTGACATGTTAACCTCTTGGGCATGCTGCCAGCTAAATTAATCACAGAGGCTATAAATCTCTGATAATTAACAAATTGTTGCCTTAGTGCAATAACTGGTTAACTTCTATAATATTTAGATAGACTTCATCCATTACTGCACCAAGATGATGAAATGTTAATGTCAATTATTGAAAGAGGTAAAACTAGATAACAGTGTCAACATACAGTGAGATATTTAACATTATTTCTATGGTACTGCTAGCATCATTTCATGACTCTATACTGAGGCAAACTTGCTGTGAATGTTTCATTTCTTTATCAAATTTTTATGGGATATAGCACAGACTGAGCAGGAAATTGTTCCTTGCCAGGCTGAGCAGGAAATTGTTCCTTGCTCATAGATCCTTATAGTTCTTTCGTCAGATATAGAGAAATTCCTGACACTTGGGATAACTGTCAGAAATTTTTGTTGTTGTTGTTTTTTGTTTTTTTGTCATAGCAAATAAAGTTGACATTAAAATATAGAAATACTAGTATACTGTTTAATTTTTTTAAAGCCTAAAATTCAGTGAATATCCTAAAAATTCTAAATTTAGCATTTCTTATATAGTTTTACATTGAAAATGAGGACTTAAAGAGTTTCTGAAAATCCTAAATTCAGGAATAATCCTGAAAATATTCACTCAATCATGCAGTCAAGATCTAGATAAGACATGAAACTGTGGATGGACACAATTAAGAATCACCATTAATTTCAGATCCTTCAAATTAGCAATAAAATTAGCTGTATGTTAATTCTAATGCCCTTGATAAATATTAACTCTAAATTTTGTTACATTAAATTTTATAAAACTAGAACTGTGTCCAAAGGACACGGATGCCCCCACTGACAACATATATATGGTATAAAGTGAAAAACTCAACAAAGGCCCATAATTCTGTTAAATTTGGTTGCAGCAAAAATTCCTTCCTTTACGGCCATTTACACATTAAGGTTGTTCATCCCTGGAAGTTCAAGCAAAATCTACCATCCGGTTTAAGAGTAGTTGCGTTCACAAAATTTCTACATGGTATATAGTGAAAAAATCAACAAAGGGCCATAATTCTGTTAAATTTTGTTGCAGCAAAAATTCCTTCCTTTACTACCATTTACACATTAAGGTTGTTCATCCCTGAAAGTTTAAGCAAAATCTGCCATCCGGTTAAAGAGGAGTTGCGTTCACAAAATTTCTACATAGTATATAGTGAAAAAATCAACAAAGGGCCATAATTCTGTTAAATTTTGTTGCAGCAAAAATTCCTTCCTTTACTACCATTTACACATTAAGGTTGTTCATCCCTGAAAGTTTAAGCAAAATCTGCCATCCGGTTAAAGAGGAGTTGCGTTCACAAAATTTCTACATAGTATATAGTGAAAAAATCAACAAAGGGCCATAATTCTGTTAAATTTGGTCGCAGCAAAAATTCCTTCCTTTACTACCATCTACACATTAAGGTTGTTAATGCCTGGAAGTTTAAGCAAAATCTGTCATCCGGTTTAAGGGGAGTTGCGTTCACAAAATTTCTACATAGTATATAGTGAAAAAATCAACAAAGGGCCATAATTCTATTAAATTTCGTCGCAGCGAAAATTCCTTCCTTTACTACCATCTACACATTACGGTTGTTCATCCCTGTAAGTTTAAGCAAAATCTGCCATCCGGTTTAAGAGGAGTTGCGTTCACAAGATTTTGGGACGGACGGACGGACAGACGTACGGACGGATGGACAAGTGCAACGCTATATGCTCCCACATTGTGGGGGCATAAAAAAATGCAGGACAAAAATAGATATCTGTAAACCAGAGGTGAATTAGGTAGACACAGTCCAGCTGCTTGTAAACTTGAAACAAAAACAATGGAAACAATTCAATGTTAATGATTATGTATAAACAAAGGTCCTTAACTCTAGATACATAAAAAATTTATAAACCATGATTCCAACTATGAAAAAGAAAATCATTTTTAACTAGAAGCAAAGTTTGAAATGTTAAGCAATGTGGAACACTGTATAATTAAAAAAGTGTAAAAATGTTTAAAATAATTAAATTTTCAAAACAATATCTTATTTAAAAGCCATTACATTTAAAGGCCCATTTTGTCCCAGAAATACCTATATTTCAATTCTAAAAAGCTTTTTATATTTTGGTGTCCTGTCATAGTTTCCAAAAGCTTACCGATTTGCCAATTAGCTGAATCATTTTTCACTCCTTTTTTCTGGGAAGTAGTACATTTATAGTGATTTAGTATTGTGTATGGAAGGGTTTACATTTTGCTACTTTCATGACAAATAATTTCATATTCAGTGCTACTTTTAACAGGTAATATGCCTCTAACATGCCCGAAAACTATTACTTAAACATATGAAAACTATAATTTAAACATAATTAACTTATGTTTGTCCTTTCTAAAGAAGGAAAATTATATTCATTTCTGAGGCATAATGTGCCTTTAAGAATGAGAATTTCATCTAAACATTCACAATATACGTTATTTAGCCATATAAAGAATGATAGGACAACTTCATCATCATGTCATTAAATAAAGCAAAATTTTTCAAACATTAAAACAGACAAAATGGAAGCAATAACAGAAATAAATATTTACAAAATATATTTATATTACTACCATGACCCAAAACTGTATGTTGCTTGCAATTTTTTTTAAAAACTAAACATAGCTCATTAATTAACAGCAATATGATATTAAAAACCCACATTTATAAATTCCCATTCTAGCCTATATTACGACTTAAGGCTGTCTGTTGCAAAACACAAAAGTAAATAAAAATATTATGTAACTTTATAGAAGTAAAAATAGGGACCTTAAATGTGCCTTTGTGACTTGTACAATTTCCTAGTAATTTACAAAGTCAACCAATCAGAAGGCTGAGATTAGTGTGTTTTTCTAAAGCAACCAATCAGGAATGAGTATTTGAAACTGGTTCTTTAATAAAAAATTTGAAAACTTTTAGTCCCTCTTTTTATATGTGGTGAATTCTTGACATATTTTTTGTAAAAAAAAAAAATAATGTGAGGATTTTGTTCTGAATGACTGTTTCTACCCAAATGAACTTTACCATATTACAACATCTTTATTGAAAAAACAAATTAAGTACCTTTTCACAGACTACATGTACGTTTGTATAATATTAATGACATCTGAATTTTTCTCAATATCTCATCAAATTAGCAAATTCAAATAATATCCCCAAAGCTAACAACATACCAGAATAAGCAGCCTATTAGGCTGCTTATTATTTGTCAATGAATTACTGCACATCACAGACAATGAGATTATCAAAAAGAAAGCACATAAAACAAAAATCAGACCAAATGAAATTAACATTTTATAAGATTTCATGAGATCATTTAAAACTTTCTTTCTAATTATTTCTGACTTTCAGACAATTGTCTACTTTGCATATAATATAAACTACCGGGTAAATTAAATTATTAATCCTTAACACTTTAAATATCTTAAATGGACTTGTCCATCTTTCAATCTGGACATAAACATTCATCTTTTTTTTTTCACGAAAATTTCAAAATATATACTGACTGAATATTGAACAGTGCAGACCATGGGACATCCAGACGGCAATGCATGGATGTGCTGACTGATGTTGGTCTGCACAGGTCACATGGGTAGAATCTGTTGCTGCCAGTAGGCTTACAGTTTTAAGATCTCATTTCAGGCAAAACTTCACCATTTTTATGCAATATAACCTCAAAACAATCTTCAAAATAACCTAAAAACAATTTTCAATATAACCTTAAAACAGTTATCCATCTAACCTCAAAACAATCTTCAATATAACCTTAAATTTTTAATATAACTTCAAAACAATCTTCAATATAACCTTTAAAAAATCAACATTTTTGGTGTTTTGTTTGTATAACAAAAAAATTTGTTAAAATTAAAAAGTTGTTATATTTATTGGCCTTCCTTTTCTAAAAGCAATAGCCTTAATATGTTTAAGTTATTTCTTTTTTAATATTTTTTTTTCTTTGCTTTCTCATTCATCAGAGCATTTATATTATCATCATCATCAAATTATTCAACTTAATTGTATATCTAAATACATGAAAGTGACCAACAAAAGATCATAAATTTATGTACAAATTATATTATTAAAATACTATGTGTATTCTCGTTTTACCATATAGATATACAATGATTCTAAGGAGATTTTCTTTCATTCACTTACAACACAGACTTAGGGTCCAAAGATGATTAACTTCATCACAAAACTGATTCTCTAAATAGTTGATAAATATAACATTTAAAAAAAAAATTGTCACACACTCTTGGTGTATATAATAAGGCCTATTGTGCCTCAGATATGCTATCAAATGTTTAATTTTCGTATCTTGTTATAGTTTCCAAAAATTACTTATAGATGAACTATCTTTTGTATAATTATAGTGAATTAGTATTTTGTATTGAAGTCAAAATACTACTTTGTTCACATTTTGCTTCCTTTAAGACACCTTAGTGCATGTTCAGTGCTATTTTCTTTAGTTTTCTTAAACATGTAACATGCTTGTAATCCATTACACTTGTTAGAAGTATCTTGCTATGTCTTATCATCTATGCCAATTTATGAAACAAAGTCAGGTAATCATTAGCATTTACGAAGAACTTCTTTATAATCTAATACAATGAACTTTTTCAGTTAAACAATTTCTCTAAACAGACTACAATTTGAATTAATTTGAATATTATTTTTTTCAAAATATCAATCGATGATTATCATTTGAAAATATTTGGACCCGATCCTCAGTTCAAACCATAAACTTTTCAAGATCTAAATTTGTAGCTTCCTGTTTTTGACAGTACCCACAATGCAACTGTATAGACTGGTATCTAATTCTCTCAGTAGTCTGGTTTCCGGCCATGTCCTGTATCATAAAGTTGTTCTGTGTCTGTGTAGGGCTGTGTTGGCGTGTTGCCAGCTGGATGAGGGGCATACCAAGATGGCTGTGTGGAAGAGGGACTGTAAAATGTAGGAGACAGTGACCTATCTTTTGTGTTGTATGGATCACCATGTACAGGCTGAAAAAAATGGAAATGGAAAATTTGAAATATTCTGATGAAGAGAAATCAAGTAAACATTGATATGTATCCAATGGCAAAAGGGCATCCTGTCAAAGTTGAATCCAAATGCAAAGCAATGTTGAAACATTTAAAAGACACATTTCGACTTTTAACTTTTACTAGGCATGATTTGAGTGGCAAGTAGGCACTTATGACTTATAACTTTCAATTTGTTTGTTTATGGCGCACCAACACAATTTAGATCATATGGCGTAGAAACAGGAAAGTTGATTTTGGCTAACCTCCGAGTTCCATCTCTCTGGCAGTGAAAGGCTTCCTGTATAGAGTATCATTCACTTCATTAAAAATCTGACAATATGAACTTTACATTTTGGAGTATTGTAGCTACTATTCATGTATACTGATACTGTTTAGTTTCATACAAGTAATTTAGTATTGTTTTCATGACGTGCCTCCTAGATTTGAAGATTAAAGTCACTGTATTGCCCCTTAGCTTCAGATCTAATTTTTACTTAATATTTCTTTTAACTGAAGAACAAATACAGCTACCTTTTGGGTGTTCAAAAGTTCCTTGAACCTGAAATAATTTAAGGGACACTCCCTCCACACTTAAATTAGACAGTGACCACAATATTAGCTGAATATTGTTGTTGTGGCAAGCAACCGGGATAAGAAAAAAAATATTGACTATTATATTATGTACCCATTTCTTCAAAATGACATTGTTCTTAGTATACATGTATTTTAGATTGTTTTTCTTCTATTCTTTTCCCCAATAATGTCCTATTCAATGGATTATGGCCTGTAACACGGTGTCCATTTGACCCCTGAAATGACTCTTTGACCCTTCAAATTTCCAAAAGGCCTGATTTGACCCTCAGGATTTTAACTGGAGGGTCAAATGTTAAATCATTGGGATTTGACCTTGTAATCGGTAAAAACTTAGTCAAAATGACCCTCAGGAATTAATGGCAAGTGAACCTATTTTGTTGTTGTTGTTATATTAGTATTTTGTTTTTTAAGTCTCTGTGTAAGAAATCTCACTCATTCAATTACCTTCATAAAAGAGCATGTCCTTTTCAAAACACTATATTAAACATTTCAACATTTTAACAGTTACATATAATACATTTGTACCACTTTCTTTTTTTGTAAATACTTAAATCCATCTATAAAACTGTGCTGTGTCCTACATTATTTCAAGATGAAAACATATTGCCCTATCTCCATGTTTGTTTAATCTATCTTGATTGTTTACATATCACTTTAAAACACAAATTTCATTTCCCTGCCAGCTTTATCTATTGTCCTCGTTCATGACCTTGATTTTGACCTTTACATTAGATTGTGAAAGTATCAATGTATTTTGTAATATCTCTGACAGAACACACTTTGGTATCCCAAATAAAACATGTATTTTTTCCCCACATGATAATGATATTGTTTTGTAAAATACAATTAAAATGTAAAATTGGACAATCTGTCATAGGACTCCCTCAAATTTCTGAAGTGATTTTACCTCTTCCAAAACTGATATGCAAACATTAAAGCTGCATGCCTCTAGATGGGCCAAAATATTTCAAGAAAAATAAACTTGAGAAAAAAGATGAGCAATTTTGAAAGTTTGTGGTTTATGTTAATATCTGGCGCGTAGCAAGTAGCTTTTATTAATGTGTTGCATGTCATCTTTGAAAAGTTTGTAGCAGATTGTCTTGCTGTTTCACCTCGCTGGCCCGCTGACCCTTTAAGACAGCCAAATTTAAGATTCAGGAAGCATTTTAGGTAACTGTTGACAGCAAATGAGCACTGAACAGATGTATGAAAAAGAATGATTTCCGTTGGGGCATCACGAAAGAGCCACTCAGGTCAGGTGACTGCCGGAAAGAGGTGACTATTAGTACAAGTTTGACTGTATTAAAAAATAATTATGCTACTTGCTACTCCAATTCCTTACTTTAAATTTTGTTATCAGCTAACATTATATCACTACCAGTTTTTAACATTGCTTTTCAATGGATGATTGTGAAGTTTATATAAACTAAACACACAGCCGCTGTCAATTTATGAAGAATATGTATCTTTTTTTTTTCTAAAATAAAGGAAGTTAGCGGTTTTATAAATTGGTTATAAAGATCCTTGACATGTTACATGACCATATATAAATGGTCATTTGCAATATCATCCAAGCCTCTTTATGCAAACAACAGTTAACAGTTTATTTAGAGCCATATAACCTGTCAAAAATCTTTATAGCTAATAATTTATAACTAATAATATGATCAAAATCAAAAATAAAAGACATACATTGTATGAAGATTTATCCTCTGGGTTCAATGGACGGTATGGAGTCGGAGAATGAAATACCCAGTATGCTCGTTGACGCTGCCTCCAGAAACAGGCACACATTGACAGTAAAAACAAACAAAACAATATACCACACCTGAAATATCAAATTAATATGTGACACAGGACTGGTCTTGTAAAGCAACACTCTGAACGATATGTGTTAATTTTTATACATGTACAACCTAAGAAATTGTGCTAATGAATTAAAATGTTGCCAGGCAAAACAAATAAAGTGATTTAACCTTGTAACATAAGTCACGTAAAATCACTGTCCACAAAAATTACCAATATGAGGTTAAAAAATGCACAACCTTCTATTATTCCTTACAAACAACTGTATAGACTTTTGGTGATAAAAATAGTAAATTGTGTCATATTTTGCATTACACAATCATTGAATCAAAGTTACACATGAATTGTAAACATTTATACATTTTTGTAAACTATAAATATACATGTATTTTTCTTTTTTGAAAATTTATTTACCTAGTCTTGAGGCATAACACTAAGTGCAACAGAGATTTTTTACAATTTTTATCTACAATTCAGCACATGTATAAATTATGAATATGTATAATAGCTTTCACAGCTTAACTTCACACAAATTCTGTAAGAACTGTAATGCAGGACATACACATTCTATGATAACTGTAAGTAATAGTATAGAACTGTCCATTTAAAGGAGAGAAAATATGTAAGCTGTCGGCTAGCTCAGCTCAGTGGGTATCTGCAGAATAGCATTACTAAGTACCCTGGTTCGAATCAAGGCCAGCATTAATATTTTTTACAATGTGAAATAAATTATTTGCCGCACTCAAGACTGACATTTCAGAGCTCCAAAGCATTGCTTACTGTTCTCAGTAAACATTAGAAATTTATAAACAAAATTCAGTATAGCTGGGAAATATGTTAAACTTGATTATAGGATGGTTCACTATTAAAGAAGAAAATGCGTGATCAACAGGATTGCTTGGCAGATTGACCTGTGGAAAACACATGCTATGAAGTATATCAATATACATTGTACTTACCAAAAATACCACAACTCCCAAACTTTATATGATACACAACATATGTTTTCTCCACAACAAAATTCTTCTTCTAGGCATCTGTAATAGTATATGAATCAAAAATGAAAATATTCTTGTATAATTATATAGGTATTAAGTGATTCAATTTTAAATTGAATAGAGATCTAACTACCCTTTCTGGCACTAAGCAAAAAAAGCTTTGTTAAATTCAGATCCTAAACACCAATCATGCTTATACACTTTAAGAACTCTGTTAAAGAAATATAAACAGAAGAATAAAGTTAGTATCATCCTAATCATCTCAAACCTATTAATGCCAAGTTCTTTTGAAATCCATCAAAGAAAGACAGACTTTTTTACCATAAATTTAAAGGCATACATGACCATCATGATCCATGAATCTTTAAGAAAATTGCATTTCATAGTCCTAAGTGTATTCTAAGCCCTAGGAAATAAACTTAAGACCATTTCATTAAACATTTTCAGATACTGTAGACTATAAATAAATGCATTCTTCTGAGAAAAGTTAAGAAATACAATGACAGACCCTCTTAATATTCACAATGTGCAAATTCCCATGGATCAGAATTTCTATTTAGAAATTAAGAGTCATAACATAGGAGTAACAAGTTAGGACATTTTCTTTGAAACACAAAATTGTCTAAGTTTTGGTCTTAAGAATGATTTCAGACAAAAAACTTTCTATGAAACATTGCAAGAGACACATCATCTCAATATGCTACATTCATATTTATGAAAATTATTCCAAATCTATCCATTAGTTATGGCCTGGAAGACAGACAGAGGGCCAATTCGAAATCTAGATGTAACGCATCAGGTGGTATAAAAATCTAAGGTTGTAAATTTCATAACTAGGCTGTTATTTTGACTCATTACTCCCAATGATCCTAATTTCATGACTTAAATAATTTGTAACTCATTGCCCTGTAGAGATATCTGTTATACATGTAACTTATTGGTCTGTAGAGATATCTGTTATACATGTAACTTATTGGCCTGTAGAGATATCTGTTATTTACATGTACTTATTGGCCTGTAGAGATATCTGTTATACATGTACTTATTGGCCTGTAGAGATATCTGTTATATATGTACTTATTGGCCTGTAGAGATATCTGTTATACATGTACTTATTGGCCTGTAGAGATATCTGTTATATATGTAACTTATTGGCCTGTAGAGATATCTGTTATACATGTAACTTATTGGCCTGTAGAGATATCTGTTATACATGTACTTATTGGCCTGTAGAGATATCTGTTATACATGTACTTATTGGCCTGTAGAGATATCTGTTATACATGTACTTATTGGTCTGTAGAGATATCTGTTATACATGTACTTATTGGCCTGTAGAGATATCTGTTATATATGTAACTTATTGGCCTGTAGAGATATCTGTTATACATGTAACTTATTGGCCTGTAGAGATATCTGTTATACATGTACTTATTGGCCTGTAGAGATATCTGTTATACATGTACTTATTGGTCTGTAGAGATATCTGTTATACATGTACTTATTGGCCTGTAGAGATATCTGTTATACATGTACTTATTGCCCTGTAGAGATATCTGTTATACATGTAACTTATTGCCCTGTAGAGATATCTGTTATACATGTACTTATTGCCCTGTAGAGATATCTGTTATACATGTAACTTATTGCCCTGTAGAGATATCTGTTATACATGTACTTATTGGCCTGTAGAGATATCTGTTATACATGTACTTATTGGCCTGTAGAGATATCTGTTATACATGTAACTTATTGGCCTGTAGAGATATCTGTTATACATGTAACTTATTGCCCTGTAGAGATATCTGTTATACATGTAACTTATTGCCCTGTAGAGATATCTGTTATTTACATGTAACTTATTGGCCTGTAGAAATATCTGTTATTTACATGTAACTTATTGCCCTGTAGAGATAACTGTTATTTACATGTAACTTATTGGCCTGTAGAGATATCTGTTATACATGTACTTACTTGTCATTGTCACAGTAATAACCTCTGACCTGAAATAAAATATTGAACTTGTTAGAAATATTCTTCATAAATCATTACATATATACATGTATTAAGAAGTCCAACAACTGCCACACACTGCATTATGTCATGGTTTATACAACATGGTATAAAACTGTTCACTAATTGGGGAGAAAATGTGTATACATGTGGCTGCATAGCTTAGTCAATAGTCAATATAGACAAGGAATGTTATTCCTAGGTTTGAGTCTCGGTTAAGCTGCAAATTTATCACAAACTGGAAACTGTTCTCTGTACCCTGCTGTACTCATAAGAAATTCAAGGACAAATTTCAATAAAATGTATGTCACAGTATAGAACTATTCCCTAACAGGGGAGAAAATTTATGGGTATATAATATGGCTACATATATATGTCAGCTAGGGTTTGAGTCCCACTGTTGGGTAAATGCAGTAATAGCACTAACCATCGAGTTTGATGATATTGAGTTTGAAAGCGAAGAATATTTTTTTTAACAGCACTTAGTTTAAAAGAACCGACTTTTTACAGAGACATTGCCCCTGACTGCTGTGGGTTCGAATCCCGACAGGGACTTTGGATTCTTTCATGTGAGGAAGCTATCCAGCTAGCTTACGGAACGTCGGTCAGGGCTTCCGTTAACGGGCGTACGGCCGTAAATTACGCCCGAAAATCGTATCTGTACGCCGAAAATTAAGATCAATGACGTACCGCTGACTTCCAAAAATTTAGGTATACGGCGAAAATCGTAAGCCGCGACATACGCCACGACCATTTTCCGACCTTTTCTCACTTTCCTGGCGTACAATTGGATTATTTATTTAACTCCACCCCCTGAATTGAATGGTTGACATGACAGCGATGGGTGAAATTATGCGAATGCACCTGGCACGTGACGAATTAGAGAGTGTTGATTTATGACCTTGATAAGCGTGAAAACAAAGTGATTGGATTAATTGTTTGTTTTGTACGGATAATGGATAGTTAATTGACATAAACTGTGGTAGGTATCTGTTTTTACTTTAATTAGATAAAAATGATTTCATTATTGTGTGCATCGGTAAGTTTTGAATGTATCCGAAAGTTTGCCGAGTCGGCGAAGCGTGTTTTTGTCTTTTGATTTTTTTTCCTTTTTGAAGTTAAAGACGTTTTCTTTAGATGTTGATTTGATTTTTTTTTCACTCGCTAATTATGAGAAGCAAAGTTACATTTAAAAATCTTTTTCCCTACCCACTCTCAAAATGTCTCAACGCTCACTTCTGCAATTTGGCGTATCTCAAAAACGTAATTAAAAAAATTAATTTGGTCAAGAACGGTGTTCGAAATTATTTTCATAAAACTTTCAATTTACAAGCCTGATTAAATTTAACCATTTTGGGTTGTTAATGTGTTATGATTCATTTGATACACTGAAATTGTGTTCGGTACTGTAGTAAATAATTTTAAACACAAGAGATATTTAAACAACAATTTTTTTTACAAATAAGAAATATAACACTGCTAAAGGATGTCATGTTTTTTTATTTCAGGAAATCTACAGAGATCCACCCTTTTAAAACACAATGAATCCAAGGACCACAAAAATGCTGTGCAGGCTGATCACATGAGACAACAGCTGTATGGTACTGATCCAGAGGTAGAAAAAGAAGAACCCATCATACACATTTCAGAATCTACTTGTACCATGATTGATTAAAGAATTAAAAGTTTTCTGGAAATATTATTTTTTCTGTTATACCAATGAGCAATTATTTGAATGTTATCACTGAATGGTTCTACACGCCGCGTCACGGTTACCACTGTCCTTAAATAACAACAATACAGTCCTTTTCAGGGTAATGTTCTTACTTCTATTGAAAATATTTACCCAACAATCATGTAAAGATACTTTGAATTTAAAACATTAAAAGGAATGACATTTTCAGAATCTTGTGATTAAAATAATTGCTTTTACTTGTATCATCCCATACTATAAATCAAACATTGAAACATGAAAATTATATGCGTAAGAACAACTGACTTCCAGAAATTTACCTCATGACTTCCAAAATTCCTTGAAAGGAAGTCCTGACTTCCTAAAAAATATTCCTAGTGGAAGCCCTGGTCGGTGGTTCTACTCAGGTGCCCGTTTGTGCCTGAAATAATGCACGGAAGGGCACCTGAGGTCTTCCTCCCCCAGTAAAGCTGGAACATCGCAAAATGACCTATACTGTGTCGGGGCGACGTAAAACCCAAAAAAACAAAACAAGTTTTACAGAGACATAGATCTATATAGATCTATGTCTCTGTTTTTAGTACTGTTTTAAAAATATTCTTTGTTTTCAAAATCAGTATGGTTAACAGGCTCAAGGCAGGGGAGGGTCCATTTATCTCATCCTTTCTGAAGAATTGGTTAAACAGATATAGAGCCATAACTTTTTTAATCCAGATTACAGGTAATTATGCAATTTGTTGTAGTCTGATGATATAAAGTCTATAGATAAATCTGACACTATGAATGAATTAGGCTCAATAAAACACAAATTTAGAACGAAAACATCCAAACCCATTTCACAAAATTAGTAAGTTTATGTAATATGACATGTCATATGTGTAAAACTTTTGTACGTGATTTGATGATGAAAGTGAATTTTCAATCAATTAAGACGTAAATATACCAATTACTTAAATTCTCTACATGTAAATTATATAGAAATTGACTAATAAATAATTCATAAGATCGAGTATTGAGAAGAAAGTTTCCAAATTCACAGAATACTCACAGACTCAAATAAACACGTAAAATAAACAAATACAATTGCTTTTTCTTTTGTGGTCGCCATCTTTCACGTTGAACTCTGACCTTTTCAAGAAATATTCGGTTACTTTCACCTCCCCTTGGTGTAATCAATCTTTATTTTCTTTAAACGAAAACCGCCTTTTTAAAACACACCTAATCTTGTTATTTGTACTTATTTTATGGTAACTTCTGTCTACTAAGTTATTCTAAATTAAGACACACTTGTTCTTAATAATGCGCTTTAGAATATTCTTATCGAGGGAGGTAAAAATAAGCACAACAAATAATGGTCGGAATCCCTCTGACGATGCCCATTTATTGACAGCTAGCAGACAGAAATAGATGTTGGAAAATTTTCAAAGTCAAAAATTGGATATTACACTGCTTCAGAAATGATTTTACGTTTTGCTTTTATCTCATTCTTCTACATAACAGTTGTAAGTATTTGCATGAAATAGTGTCACATATTTACTTTGACAAACAAAATAGTTTCTTTTGCTTTTTCTTTAGGCACTAACACTGATTAATATATGGAACATTCACTCACTGTCAATCAGTTGTCAAATTAATAATATCTTTTTTTTCTTTTAATATTTAACTGCAAAGAGTATAACAAAAACTATCTTAATGCTATGTCATATGCATAGTTTAAAATAAGAACAAATTGATTTGTTTAAAATTGTTATAAATTTGCAAGAATGACTGAACTTCTGAAGCTACTTATCCATGCATTTAAAAAGACATGTTTCCATGGTGATAAAAAATAACTTAAAGCATAATATTGTTTTAACTTCAAACCATTTAAAATCACCTTATTACAGGAGAGTCAGATAGTAATTTCTCTGCTAAATACCGCAACAATTAGTTCGAAATTATTTGGTGCTGCTAAATAAAAATCCATCACATATTTATTTACCCATAAGTGTGGCAACAAATTGAACCTTTCCCATATTTTTCTGAGTCTCATAAATATTTAGAGGGGTCAGGATTCAAATTCAATGTTGTTTAACAAGGAAATTCAGTGCGATTATTGTAAAATATGTTGAATTTTTAATTTCCTGCTGCATATGGCTATTTAATTAAAGCTCATGGCTAGTCAGACTGCCTTGTTAAACTTACTTGTTAATGTTTCAAATAACTGTTTTCCCTTTATGTGTGTACATGTATATTAATACATTTGTTCTATATTGAGAATTTGGATTTAAGTCGCTGATAAGCTCAGCCTTCATAGCATGCTATAATTGTAACAATTCATCTCTGTATATTAAGATAAGTTCTAATTTGTGTTGTCTCTTCCTGCATGGTTAAATAATACTATATTACAGGGGTTTTTTTTTCTTATCAACAGATTTGTAACTGTTAAAATGCTGTTAAAATCTGTTGTATTTTCAGCCTGTATATTAAAATATCATCATTGACTTCTGAATGGCAAAATCGGTTGTTTTCTTTGGACACTGCATCTGTTGCCTCAAATAAAAATGAAAACCCTCAGGTATTATATTTTACCCGGATATCTTATTTGAGATGTAATATTCTTAGTAAAATATAAAACATACAACAATTTATCAATTCACATGCTGTATATATTGCCATCATATTGTCTTTACTTTGCAATCTCAGGGTTGGGAATGTACAACAATTGTGGCATTGAATTATACACATATGCCCCTGGGAGCCATAGGTTTATCCTATATGTATATAGTTAAAACTTAAAAAATCATCTTCTCTAAATTTACAAACAATAAAGTTAAGACATTTTGCATGAAACATTGTGTAGTGAACCTTTAGCAAGATTGTTCAAATTATAACCCTGGGGTCAAAATTGGTCCGCCCCTGGGGTCATTGATTTTCATTATGTGCATATAGTGAAAAAAAAAATTTTCATCTGAAGGTTCAAGGCATAGAGCTTTGATGTTTGATATAATATCATCTATAGGTCCTCTACCAAAGTTGTTCAAATGTCAAAAATTGGCCCTGCCCGGTGGCAGTGATTCTCATTATGTACACATAGTAAAAACAGAAAATAAAACAAATGTTTTCTGAATGGGAGAAAGCTATAGCTTAGATATTTGACTTGAAATGTTGTTTGGTGGACCTGTATCAAGATAGTTATTAAACCCTTGGGTCAAAATTATGGGACAGTGACCTACTTTCTTGTCCTTTGATGTGCAGCAATGACATTTTGACCATGTGCACAGTTTTAGTTGTAAAATTGAACTTTGACCTAGATTTTGATGATGTGACCTACTTTCTTGTCCTTTGATGTACAGCTATAAAATTTGAACCATGCAGTGGCATAGCATTTTTCTCAAATGCAATCTTGTTTTCATACACTTTTTTTGTCTTGCTATTTAATCATTTTAATGGTCAAATTATTGTAAAAAATTTTCCCGTGGATCATCAAGAACAAAATTACTATCAAGCGCTAGTTTCCTGCATACATTGTATAATATATATGCTTGGTAATAATTTTTATTTCTTGATGATCAATTGGTAATTATTTAATGATACTAGTAATTTGACCAGTATTGGCAAGACAAATAAGTTGAATGCCTGTGATAAGAATTTAAGAAAGTTATACAAGGCAGGGCATTATTGCCCCCAAAAATAGCCCCATTTCAAATCTAAAGTAACTTTTTTTCCAATGCCAAAAAAAATAAAATAAAAAAAAATGAAAAGCTGGCAAAGGAAGTCCTTAAATTTCCAAAACTGTCACATATTTTAATTTCCTTAAGTCACCCCTGGCCTTTTGTCAAGACTCTGCAAGGTCATGGTAACAAAGATTTTCAGGCAGTAAATTAACAGTTGCACATGTATAGGACAGAAGATAAATGGACAACACACACACCTTTGGTCATCCAGATTTCATTAGTAGTTAAAATTGTTTTTGCCTTGTTTTATCAAAATGCAAATACATGTAAAGTGCTTGAGGGTTTGAAATACAATACATGTATGTCAAAAAATAATTGTGCACAAGAGACTTATTTATCCTAATCAACAGGCACCAGAAGTGGTTAACATTTGCCAGACTGACCATGCTTTGAATGTTTAACCCTGGCAGAGTTGTGTTTAAAAACCTTGTCATGGACTCATGCATGTGAAGCATGATGAGATAGTAGCCTACCTTTAAAGTCAAGGTCACACTAAGAGGTCAAAGGTCAGCAGTTAGAGAATCTTGTTCGGTCAGTAACTGTTATGCACCAATGGAATTTATTCAGTTTATTGTCAGTTGCAGAAAGTGTTTAGCATAATGAGTTCTAATGTTACCTAAAATAGCAATTGTAATAATAATTGCTTTACTTTGACAATAAAAATAATGATTGCTTTTGTATAATTTTCCAGTTCTATGCTCCAGTACACACTAAACTTGAAATTGTTTGTCTATTCACAGTGACTCTCAAATCATACATGTATGAAAACAACAGTTTCTTTTCATATTTTTGTCAACAGTCCTCTTACTGTAAAAGGTTTTAATTTATTGCAAAAAAGTTTATAAAATACCTACTTTAAGTACTTCGCCCTCCTGTCATAACTTTTTTCAATGTCTTCACATATTTAACATTTAATTGGGACATCTGTGTCTTTATATACACTTTTAGTTTATAAATTCTTTAATTCTTGGGGGATATACTTTATACTTTAAATTTATGTAACACATCATATGTGACAATCATATGTGACAAGGTTCATAATTCTAGTGCAAATATTGCAGAAAACATAAACAAAAAAGTCTTGTCCTGATTGTGTTATGTGCCAAGGTCAAGGTCAAACAAAAAATAAAACTTTTTTTAACAAAAAAACATCCAACTGGCAGTGTTCTAGTTAGTTTTCCCAATTATAATACTTCTGTCATCACATGATAAAGGAAGTTTACTGTAGCAAAATTGTTTGATGAACTTGTCGAAAAGTTTTCTTTGAATTTTGAACTACCAATATTGACTGAGGAATTATTTAAATCAAAATGCTGAAACAGCACAGCTAGATGTATATGGTCAGACTTTACAAAAGTGCAGCCTGGTCTTCTATGGGAAGTGGTTAAAATATACTGCTATTGTATCTTCACTACAAAAATAATAAATACATGTATTTTGACAAAAGATAAATATTTCATTTTATATCGAACACCTTTTATGTCCTGTGCACTGTGGTTATATGAAAGCTGTCACAGTCCTCTGTTTTAATCTTATCTTAAATAAATTGATGCATCTTTTTATTATCTATTTATAAATCAAATAACTTACGGAACTGCATGTTAATTGCTTGTGACTCATATGAATGGAATACCAAGATTGTAATTTTTCTAAATTTATGATAAGGAAAGTATTTATGATTACATTGAAATACTTTAACTATAACTTCTTGGTGTTTGTGGAAGTACCTGGGTGGTAGTCTTCTGCCTCTCAGCCATTGGGTCATTGTCATTATAAATAAGTCTTGTCCATATTTGCTTATGTGACATTAGATTTAATGTTTAGCCAAAGTATGTCACGTTCAGCCAAAAATATGTCATGTTTAGCCGAAAGTTTGTCATGTTTAGACAAAAGTATGTCATGTTTGGCAAAAAGTATGCCATGATTAGCTAAAAGTATGTCATGTTTGGCCTAAAGTCAGCATAAATCAGTTATATCCGACTTTCTACACTGTTGAGCTTAAATTAATATATTAAATTTCAGCACTGCTCAGTCCAGACGGCATATATAAATACTGGTACTGTGCTGCAGTGCATACTGCATTCATTTTGCAAGTACATGTACTGATACTGCCTGCTGGTACTGGTATTTTAAGTACTTCACCCCTAGTACTGGTGCATATCTGCAGCTGATCTGTAACAGCACCTATATGCAGCAAGACATCATCTTTACAGTCCTATACATATATATATATAATAAGTATATGTTAGTGTTCATCCATGTTGTTCTACAGAAATTAGAAACTTCGACGGGAGCGATGGCGACCGGAGATTGTTTCTAATTTCTGTAGAACAGCTACGGATGAATACTTACATATTAATTGTCAAACTGTATTTGGCCTTATTAATATTCATTTTAATACGCCACTACGTACCTGTCCGCTTTATTAATTAAATACCTGAATGGTGGGTTTAAATTTGACCTTATAAATATGCATGATTTACGTCACTTTGCGCGCGAAGACGCATGTACCCCTTTGTAATATGAAGGGTGGCATATGGATGATGCGAGATTCCATTTTCTTGATATTGAAACATTTATTTTCGGAAAACATTTATGATGAGTTGGATAATTGTTACCTGATATGATTTACATACTTTGATTAGTTGGACAACTGATACTCCGTAGCTAATATCTTATATTATTCATACATGTATACACTAAATATCACGTGTTAACACAAGGTCACGTAATATATTTTCAAAAAACATAATGTCTACTTTCACTTTCTGTCTACCGAAAATAGTGAAGAGACACACGTAACTTTCCTCTAAGTCACAAATTAATTAAGACCTTTTTCTACATTCGTAATAAAAAAATTAATTGACATTTTGTCTTGGTTTTTACTTTTACATATGCAGTATCTTTATCGCCAACTGAACTGCACGTATATCCTTTATCAATAAATGCAAAATTATTGTAGGTTGACCTTTTGACGTCATTTTTACTTAATTAATATTCAAAAGCGACCCACAAAAGCGGCTGTGCATGTGCAAATTTATGCAAATTACTATATTTTACAAACGCGGTTCTATGAAGCACTATGAAAAATAGAAGTCGACCATAAACGGTATTCGATATAGTATCGACTTTTGTTTTTCTATAAAAAATAACGCACAGAATTTTTAAGAAATACAGCGCTTTCATTGGATGACAAATAAAGTTGGACACTAAATTATATTGCTTACTTCAGGTTTCTTTTAAGTGCTTATGAAATACAAATATTACAATTTCATCACCTTTTTAAATACAAATTTAATATCACCATATCATTCAATCATAATATCAGGGGCTAACTACTTCTGGCATGAAGAATAAAAGATTTTTACAGGTTACATCTTATGATTTAATTGATTATAGTAAAAATACCCGGTAGGTTTTATTTAGTAGTTGCAGACCTGAGAAGAAATTGTTACTAAAAATAAACACAAGTCATTTCAGCAGCTCTTTTTATAGTGAAAGTAGATTAGCATATTATTACTGCCAAGATATTGTAACTGCGGAGAATGATATTTATATATAATATGTTCATAGTTATATTTAGTAATATCAAGCATTTATTTTCTTTTTATTTTGATTGTGTTTTTATGTTGTAATTAATGCATAGCCCAATTTTGATTGGTTAAATAAAGTATACTTTCTAGCTCCTGCTCTGTCTTTTGTACATTCTTTTGTTCTTTCATTCTTTTTTTTTACATCATGAATAAATCTAAATTTATTGAATACCACAGTTGGTTTTCACCTGTGTGTCATTTTTGGGTTTCCCAGTCACTAAAAATGCTTATGATATATGTAAACACTGTAATAAATGTTTATTTATTGTGAAACCAAAAGTTAGATCTGGTGTCTCGTTACTTAAAATATGATCCAGTCATTTCTATTTGTTTATATATTATAATGCAGTTTTATCTATATTTATGTATTTTGTAAGTTTAACTAGACATATGAAGATTGCACTTTGCTATCAGCAATAAATTTCTTGTTTGTTTAAAGGATACTAAAACATCTATTGATAGAAACAATCTGTTTATTTTACTTTTGTATTTCAATTTAAAATCATGGAAAGTTTTCAGTTTGTAAACTGAACATAAATAATAAATCATGAGTGATATTATACAGTGTCTAGGAAAATATAAGGTATGTAATTCTAAGCTTTTATAAGCATATTTTAGATTTTTTTTCAAATTTGAAAAGAAATTTATTCTCACAAAAAAATAATTTATCATAAATATTTAGACATATTTATTCTTGCCTGCATTAACCCTTGATAATGTACTGGAGACAAGGGATTCTACCAAAGTGACCAGTGCAGCTGAGACTAAGAAATAACTTTGCACTATATGTCATTAAGTCAATAAGTCGGTATATATTTTGAAATTTACCCTTAAAATGATGAATATGCTTTTGTCAAGAAAGAAAGATGGAAAGATCTATTTAAGATATTTAGTAAGGTAGGGATTAAAAACGGGCTATATCAATAACAGACCACTGTTGTGGATCAATTGACATGATAAATGATATAAATAATACATGAAAGTGTTAAATCGATGTATTAAACTTAAAATATTTCATATTTCATTAAATGTATCAGTGTATTGAGGTTATATGTGTAATTACGTTTTTGCTCGAAAGGGCACCTGAGGGCTTCCTCCACCAGTAAACCTGGAGCATCGCCATATGACTTGTACTGTGTGGGTGTGACGTAAAACCCAAATCAAACAAACATTTTAGCTTGAAGATCTTAACAAAATAAACAACTGTATTTTCTCTAATAAACACCCCGATTGTATAAAGAGGGGTAAATAAAAAATCTTGAAGATAGTCAAAATAAAAAGAATGTTTAGTTTCATAATAGCATTATAGACACAATCATCTTGAATCCAATAATACTTTAACAAACCAGTACAATCACTACAATGCAATAAGTGCTCAGGGAATCAACGGGTTTTGAACTTGGGGTAGCTAGCAAAATCCTTGCAATTTTGTAAATTACCAGAACAAGGCATTTACCACTTAGCACCAGCTTTGTTAAAATTTGTTCTAATTTTTGGGGGTTTATAATAAAATGCTGTCATCATTGTAACTCAGTTTTCTTTTCTTTTTTTTTGTTGTCAAAAAGTGGGTGCATTTATAAAGGGTTACTATGAGCATTTATTAGAGAACATTTAGTAATTGATGTTGAGTATATCATATTTATTATTCATTGTACCATTTCGGTCATTCACTGACAAGTTATTAGGATGATAATTTGGTTTATAAGTCCAATTAAGGAAAAATCTGTTCAACTTCCACAATTAAGACATTTTCTGTTTGATATTTTTAATACTTTTCAATACTTGTAAGTTATCACTGTAGAATGATACAAGCTTTTGGTCAGCTTTCATTTACCTGAAATTTGGTCAAGTTGTTCAGGTAAAAAAGAGAATTTAAATTAAATTTTAAAGAGTGAGATCAAGAAATTTTTACCCTATGAAAGTCTGAACTACTTGATATTTTTCAAATACTGGCTACTTATAATATTAGCTCACTGGGGTCTTTGGAGTCTACTGATTTACATTGTACAAGTTCAAATCATAGGCATTGAATGCTTTTCAATTAAGCACTTTGCCATTAAGTGATCTTACTAAATTTCTGATTTTGTAATTAAGTATATGAATTATGAAAGAAATTACTGTTACAGGAGTGTTTAAAATGTCATTCTAGAAATCTTGACTGTGTGAGAAATGCTTGTCACATGGACATTAAAAAAATCTGTTGTCATGTGGATCGTCACATGTAATAAAAATCCTACATAGAAAAAACAAACAATTACACTCGTAATGCTCACTTAACTGGCTGGTTATCTTGGAACATGTTCAAGAGCATTTTTTTAAAAGCTTTATGGCTTCCTACTTAATCAAAAATAAATTCTGAATAAACCAATTTTGAGGACCGCTCTAATGTTTAAGTACCAACCATTTCTTGACATGACAAAAAAACTGTAAAAAAAAAAATTGGCGTTGGAATCACAATACTGCCTCAGTCATAAGAATTTTCCTTAATCAGAGTGACCTTTTTTATACTATGACAATGCCTTTTGTTGTGTTTTTTCAGGCTGATTGTAAATACTGTTGGCACAAGACAGGCTTTGGAAAAACATCACACTTTTAGTAAGTTTTTTTTTTTTTATATATATCAATCATGCTTATTTTTATTCACATAGGGGGGAAAAAAGTTGGCAACAACAATGATTCAGAAGACCATTGTTTATAAAGTCATGTGTATGTTTATATGAAACATTTATTTCACAAAGGAAGTACTCTATGTTGATATGACATAAAGAGAGAAATGTGTTTTAGTCATCAAAGTATATATGTACTGCCTCTCATTAATAAAAAAATTATTGTTTGATTTCTGGAAAAGTTTAATTTCATAATTTCTGACTTTCAGCTGTACTTCTAGGCCGTTACTATAAGCAATCTTGGTATATATATATATGACTCTCAAGAGTATTTCTAGGACAACTGTAAGCAATCTTGGTATATATGACTTTCAGCTGTACTTTAAGGCCAGTTATAAGCAATCTTGGTATATATAACTTTCCAACTATAAGCATTATCTGGTAAAGAAGAAGAAGAAGAAGAAGAAGAAGAAGAATTATATATTATATATTATTTTCAGTTGCAGTGCCTTCCAGTATTGTTGTGGGGACAAATGTTGTGAGAATATTGATGAGTTCTACAAACTGTGGTACTTCTGGTATGAAAACTTTTAATAATCAATGACTCAGCAAAATTTGAAAATTCTGAGATATTATTTACATTTGAAATGAAATCTGCACATCATTATTTTCTTGATTTCTTTTTCAGTTTATATACATGCAATTTAGTCTACATTTCAATAGATGAAAGAACTCTGATTTAGATATTTGATATACTGTAAAACAAGCATGTTGGGTACTCCTAAAAAGTACTTGCAAAGATACAGATGAACCTGTCACAAAAGGCCAAATGGAGGACATTTTATCTTGAAGCAAGATCATTTGTATTGAGAGGGAATCTACATGTATTTATCAAAAATCATTTTACATTTGTGAGGAAGCTATCCAGTTAGCTTATGGAACATTGGTAGTTCTTATCAGGTGCTTGTTCCTGTCTGAAATAGTGCACAAAGTTGATTTTGCAAATCCAGTCTCCGCTTAGATATGACTTGTTCTTGTTTTGTCCTTTCTCTAAGCTGATGACATTATAAGACACATCATTAAAGCTGCTGTAACTCAAAATTCAAGTGATAAATTTGATTAAAATAGAATGTTTGAAAATTTTCTTCTAAAGTATAAAGTGCTATAGATTTCACTAAAGTTTTACTTTTTTTTCTTTTCTTGCAGGTTATGTGTACTAATTCTAATATTATCAGCATGTATTGCATTTTATTGGTTACGCCGTCGATATATGATGTCACAGTTGTTCGTTCAAACACAAACCGACAGAACACGTCCACATGCTCGCAGAAGACGCTCTGGAAGACGATATAGGCAGCTTACAGGTCAGAATATTTTCTGTTAAAATGAAAAATATCACTTGCTATTAAAAAGTTGTAATATATGTGGTCTTTTACTGTATATCCCATTACCTTTTTCATAATTATTCAGAAAAAATGTAGAATGGAAAAAAAACAACCTCTTCTAGTAGCATGGAAAAAAAAATCATTTTGTCACTCCTTAAAGTCAACGCAGTCCCTGCACAGCAAGTGCTTTTAGTCTATTGATTGCAGTACATGAGCTTGGATTTTTGGTGAGGTTTGTGCTTGTGTAAGTTTGGTTGAAAATAGTTTGTACATTTATAATGTCAATCATTCTCCACTGCTGTTTCAAATGATAAATGTTGCAAAGTTGTTACTTACTTGTGGGGAAAAAAGTTAAGTGCTAGTACAGAATCCAGGAACACTTGTAAAATATTAGTAAAGGATTGCTACGGTAATACTGGTGATGGAAAAAGTGTTAATAGGAAAACACACTGTAAAAGATACCCAAATAACATTGTAATATTTTTCATTAATGGCCAGTTGATTATGGTTAAGTCATGGACCTGGGTTTATTGGATATAAATTAGAAACAAAAAAAAGTGTTGTGTATGGCCAAGCTGTTGTAGCATGGAAGTGCCTGCCGACCAGACTCTGTAATGTTAACAAAGTTTTGCTATGTGACTAATCAATAAGAAGCCAGATATGTTGATTTTTAGTGTGTCAGAATTGTCATACCATTGTTGTAGAGAGAGATAAAAATAGGACATCAAAGGATATCATTGAAGCTGTACTATGATATTCAGTCTAAGATATTTCTTAGACTTCTTCTTAAAAATTTTCGCCTTTTGTACTTGCAGATTAAGTTCGCATTTTTTTTTAATCATGAATATGGTATTCAAAACCATAATTGCTCTTTTAACACTTAAGTGTTTTTTTATTTTTGTTTTTTTGTTTTATGATATTTCCATAAAAGGAAAAAAAAGTAGTAGAAGCTATGTTGAATGTTTACTTGTCTTTCTCTTCACTTGTAATAAGATTGTAAAAAAAATTACCAAGTTGCATTTAAGTCATAAAACTGGCATTATTTAAAAAATGTATTTTAATAAATATCTTATTAAAAGTGAAAAAATAATTATCTTGTTAACAACGTATTTTACCATTCATATCAATAATAGATTGCATTTTATTTTTACAGGAGACTCCCTTGCCCCAATAGTGATCATACCTGAGTCAGTGGTCACAGCCCCACCACCTTACCTTGGAGATGACACCACATGTCCGCACCCTGGACCTCCTCCGTATACGCTCGGTTCAGGAAGTTCAATTAATTCTACGACGTTGCCGAGATTTCCCCCTCCATACAGTCAGATAGAAAAAATTCCTCCGCCAAATTATTCAAGTACGGATGAGATTGTAGTGATGACGCTAGAGTCAAATAAAAAACATTGCGATAAACATGATAAACAAGATAAACATGATAAACATGACGATGGAGTGAGTTGATATTCTCAGGATTTGTGATCTGGTGCATGCTATTTGTCTCGTCTTGTGATATAAACAAACATCCCCCCCATATATTTATAAAAAAAATGCAACGATACCCTGTTTTATAATAGGGTCGATTCTGCTTGGTTCTCTCACAGGTCGCCAATATTTTTACCTTACATGTTTTTCATTGGAATATTTGAACAATTCTTCTTCCCAGAGCTTCTGTGTATCTAGACATTTTCAGGGCTACTTGATTTAGCACTTTTATTGGTCCATACCTTTGCTTGCTTTCAGGGAAATGCATGATATTTCCAGAGGCATGCATTCACTAGCAGAAAACCTTGCTGTATGATATTTTATATTTGCAAACTAAATTTGCGAGGTTTCACTTAATTGAATGAAAAAGCTTGTTTTCAAGATTTTTGTGTAATAGTATGTTAGTACAGAAAGTATTTAACAAAATGTTAGAATAATATCGAGCACCACACAAAATTTGAACAAATTTATTTCCTAAATCTTGGAAGTTTTATAATAGAAGATATAGCAATGATGATCAAATTTATTATTCCATTTATTTAAAGTTATTATTATAAATCATTATTTTGACTTGTCTGTCCTATTTTCTGAATCTCACTCATTGGTAAAATAGTTTCCATGGTTTCTAATAAATAAGTTAGTTTCTACTGTAAGAGAGCTGATATGTCATTGGTCAGTAAAGGACATTATGAGCATATCCAGCCAATCAAAATGGTTCTACTTAATAGACTGGTCTACACATGGATTTACCTAGATTCACCGTTTAAATGTGCCAGAACAAAAGTTATTCAGGGTAAAAAAGTGGTGTTTTAAAGTTGCATCGAAAGAAAACTGTTATTACGAAATGTTCTAATTCTTTTAATGTTTAAGTGTCTAAATCAATAACTTGTGTAAGAATCTTTAGTAGTTTATTTAAACAAATATCATATGACTGCTTAAGAAGGGTTATTTTTGTAAAAGTATGAGATTAATTTAATTTGTCAAAATTAAAATCAAAAACAGTGAAAAGAATGTAGCATAATAACTAGACTAAATATTTGTATTTTCTTGTTTTCTAGGATATTTTTTATGCTTTACAATGATGTTTAAGGTTATATAGATTGTCAAGTCACAAAATTGTGATGTTAGTTGAAATGTATTTTATTAAGTGTTTCTTTTCTTGCCCGGGCGAGGCCACAGAGAATGTCCCTTTTAAAGTGATTGAACACCCTCATTTTTATGAGGAAGAAGCCACAATTCATATGAGCTGCGCCATGATAAAACCAACCATCATGGATCCAGACCAGCCTGAGCATCTGCGCAGTCTGATCAGGATCCATGCTGTTCGCTTAAAAACCCTATAACAAGTAGAGAAACTGATAGCAACAGCATGGATCCTGATCAGACTGCGCAGATGCGCAGGCTGGTTTGGATCCATGCTGGTCGCAAACCCACTATGTTTGTTTTGTCATGACACAGCTCATATTATAGTCAGACTTGTGCTCAAAGACCAGAGGCTGTTAGTAGGAGGTTTTTCTTTGTTTGGTCTTTATACTGTGGTGGTCTTTCACACGGGGTGACTATAAATCTATAGTTTACAACAACATTTTGTTAGTTATTAATTCTTTTCTACAGAGTCTACTGTATTAAGTCTATAGTAAGTATAGTATATTCTGTAAGTCATTGTTGTTGTACCAACTTAATGCTCATTTTTGATGCCATATTTATATGTTGGTAAACAAATTGTTAAAATTGTTAATTGTTGTTACTTTTAGTCAATTTTGTTAGAAAATAGAATTAGAAATATTTAAGTCAGTTTTAATAGAAGGTAGAAATTATAAACAAAGGGTTTTATGTGAAGAAAGGTGTGTTTTCATTATAAAAACTGTATGAGAAAAGTGTAATTTTGGTCTTTACTAAAGTGAATATAGCCTTCAAAAAAAATGAACAGAATTTTAAAAGTCTAAATGATCTTTAGAAATGTGAAAAGGAATCATTGCCATGTGATTTTTTATTTCTTGTTGAAAGTTAAGTATCTGAAGATTAAGCAAATAAAAATTATTGTTTCCCATTTTTTAAAACTTTGTTTCACAATGTTATGCACTAAACACTTCAGGATTTATGCTTTTAACATTACAATTTGATAAGTGCAGTTTTTCATCATATTTCTTAATCTTTTTAGCACTCCTACTGAAACACACACATAACAAAATTATTTTTGTAATATTGTAAGACAACAACAAAAATGAACCAAGGCTTTGTGTAATGGTCAATTAAGTTATGATAATGTATTTAGGACAGTTTGACCTAATTAATGGCACACACAATAAGATAGGTGCATAGTTAAGGTATTATAAATACACTTGAAGATATTCTATCTGAAACAGTTATGGCATTAGTTACCTTTTAAGGCATTGATAGTAATTAAGGGTGGACTAAAACTTGGAGAAATATCAAGTTTTCAGGGTTATTTGATGTACAAATATATTTTTTTTATTCAATTCATTCTTGACTGATTTTTTTATAGTGATTGATTTATTGGACCCAGGATTTTATCTTTTGTCATCACGTTTTAAGTGCATGATATATTATTAACCTATATCATGTGAAACAAAAAGAAAAAGATTACAGTTATGTTAGTTTAAATATAATTGTTTTAGCTAATGGTTGCAAAAAAAGTTCTTGCAACTTATATTAATCACTGTTGAGTTGGCTTCCTGGAACAAACCAGTACTGTTGTCAAATGAGGAATCATGATGATTGGCCTAGTGTTAAAATTGCTTCAAACTATTTGCCTTTTAAAATAAAATTGTGCCATTTCACAAAGCAAATCAATTTGGCCATGTCACTAATTAGGTCACCATACTTCATCGCTAGAAATAATCATTGACAGAGCAATGTTGGTCTCCTGTTAGTGTTTTTAGACTTTTATTGCAATACAGAAGACATTTTTCTATGATTTTGGTAAAGATTTTTTACAATACAGGGAAGCAATTTTACATTATGATTGTAACCTGTCAAAAACTGAGCATACTTTAGATATCTTATTTTGTATTCATTTTTTTTTTTCACAAAAAAACAAAACACCCAGCAACAATGAATAATGGTTGTACTTATTTATCCCCATTAATGAACATTTAAGCATTTTAAAAGCTTTGTGACAATAGATAAAAAAGTACAAGACATTATCTTGTTAACATTTAACTGTACAATTATTTATGACCAACTTACACTTAAAAGGTAGGCAGTGATAAATGAACATTTTGAAGGGGAAGACCTACATATTATACAATATTTACTTTAAGACGTAGAAAACTTGAAATGATTTACAAGTAACAATGATTTATATTGCTGTATATAAATTGTTGACTAATAACTAAAGTGTTGTAAATCTATAGAAAGTAAGAAGACACATAGGCTTGCCTTGCTGTAAAAGTCCAGTTTTTAAACTTCCTATTTCTTAAGAGGCTGTATGGGATACAGTATGTATATTCTGCTTTATACTATATATAACAGATTGTTGTTTTTTTACAGCAAATTTGTCTGACAATTACACTTCTATTAAAGAGGTACCTCCCATTCATAAAGATAATATCCACATAGAGTCCACATCCTTTGAAAAGAATCTCTTAAGTCTCTACTATAATTTAGACATCTCTGAAATTGTATATGTAAAATTAACCTCTGTTTAAAGGCAGACTTTGTTAAAAAGGCAGCAGCGTCTCAATACTCTATGAGAATTATTATAAATGCCACATAGGTTAAGAAGATTATGCTCTTGAGCAAACTGTTTTATTTCTACATTAACAGATCAAGTGAATCTTTATTTTTTAAAAGTCCTGTCTCTGTACTGAATATAGAATGTGGCCACTTCAATTAGAAGATCTTATTTCTTGAGCAAATAGTTTTCTTTTCATTTAAAATTTCATGTGTGGTTTCAATTGACCTTTGTTAAGAGACCATTTGTGTATTAAAAAAGACTTGTTTTGTATATTTGCCAATTGTGCTTTCCATATTAAAAGGTCAGATTAGAATCAGGGTAATTAAAAATGTGCACCATCGCTATGTTTATTATTAACTATATGCATTTATTTAAATTTCATCACTTTATTGCAGCAATCGGTTAATTAACTCCTATTTTGAAACAATAGTTACAACATTACTGCACTCATTACTGCACTAAGGTGAATGTTATCGTTGGTATTTTAGTATTGGCCATCTGTTATTTCTCTTTACTTTTTGATTAAAAGATCTTTTTTAAGAAATTAAAGATAATTATCGAAAGTACCTGTCTTTGATTAATTGAACTATAATTGTTCTTTAAATTTTAACTTTGATAAATTTGCACTTAGAATTATGAAAAATTATGTTTATTTTAGAAAAATACTGGAAAAAAACCTAAGATTCTCAATAACTTTGAGAGAAATACTGTTTCTAAAGATGGCATTTATTTTTTGTAGTTCAATAATTACAAATTTTCTTTTAAAACAATTGTACCAGGCATTACATATGTTGATTTACAGAAGTTAATGTTGCCTAATACATGGAGCAATTCTGTTGCTTGATGAATTGCTGTATATTTTATCTCTTAATTATTTTTTTCCAGTTTTTTAGTTGAAATGCATAGGACTATGTTAATGATAGGTGCCCTTATAACAGATTGTACGGTATTTTTTGTTTTATATCTATATTTAACTGTATAGACCAGAAAATGAATAATTATGATTTCCAATGAAAGTATTATGAACAAAAGGTTGCATTTCTTCCCAGTATATAATTGTATATTGAGATTATATGTCATATATTTTACTTTCTATAATGACTTAATATAAATGTATTATTTTTTCTTTCATCTTGTATTTTCCCAAATACTCTTGATATATAATCAATTTCTGTGTATATATGTATATCAGATCAAAGAAATGTACCAATGAGTTTATATATATACAAATGTAACATTATTATTATAAAAATTATTATCGTCAGATTGAATGATTATGATACATTTATTACTGTTAATAGAGCTTATTGGAATAAGTACAGTAAAAGTGATAAGTTACAAGGCAAAGAAAAAAATTGAATGCTTCACAGGAACAGTGATTCAGTTTTCTCTTGTTATTCTCTCATAACTATGTAGCCAGAAATGGTATACCATGATAACTACAAATTAATACAAAAAGACATTGGTTAGAGTTTTTGCATTTCTGCATAAGACAAAATAAGTTATGTCAACATTGTTTTACCAGGTAGACTCTAGTGCCTGAAATGATCACCTTGTATGTGTTGTTGTCCAACTTCAAATCTCATTAGGATTTTTGTTATTCAAAGAACATGTTCACATTGAACAAGAGTTTTTACCTTGTTGTTTCCATCATTTTGCTTATATTATATTGAAAAATGTGTACATTTTTGTTAATTTTCCTCAAGCTATATTAAGTGGTTGTAAATAATGTTTTTATCATTCAAAGAAACAGTATTTCTCAGTTTTGTTGCTACTCACAAATTTTGATACACTTTGATGTTCAGTGCACAAGTTTTGTTTTCAATTGTGCATACTTGTATGCTCATTTATGCATAACACTGTTTTTGGTTATGCATAACTGTATTCTCATTTATACATGACTCTATGTTCATTTATGCATTAAGATATGCTCATTTATGCATAACTTGACTCTCATTTATGCATAACTGTTGTTATCTGTGGATACAGTTATGCATACATAAATGCATAATTTTACTTTCATTTTTGCATAATTTTATTCTTATTCCGCTCATTGATATTATTATTTGTTGTTAGTTTTTTTTCTATAGAAGTTTTTGAGGCAAAATGTAAAGCCACTCTACATGCTTTTTATTTTTTACCAAATGTTAGTTTTTAAGTTTGTTTTTAACATTCCTTATTTTAAGTTTAAATCTCAAAATGTATTTAATTACTTTAATTATGAAAATAAATTAATATATTTGTCAAGACAGCTTCTCAAATTAAAATACAATGATTATAATATATTATAACTTGAACAATTGATTTATTATGCTGATTTATATTTAAGAAGGGAATTAAATTAATTAATTCTTCAATCTACACATTTCCCCAATCAGCATACAATCAAATCTACAACTTTCTCAATGATCATAAAAGCAGACCTAAGCTTTATCATAAGTACTACAAGTCTGATGCTTTCCGGAAGTCCAACCCCCGGCAAAAGTCACTACCCAGTAGATACTGCAGAAATAACTGCTGGTTACTTTTGAACAACTTTAATAGGTACTTATATTTTCAGTTTAGTCATTAGTGTTTTACTATTGACTTCTTTAAAATTTACATAGAGCACTCTGTAATCACAAGTGATAATAATATTTGAGCCGCGTCATGACAAAACCAACATAGTGTGTTTGAGACCAGCATGGATCCAGACCAGCCTGTGCATCCGCACAGTCTGATCAGGATCCATGCTGTTCGCTATCAGTTTCTCTACTTGCTAAAGGGTTTGTAAGCGAACAGCATGGATCCTGATCAGACTGCGCAGATGCGCAGGCAGGTCTGAATCCATGCTGGTAGCAAACCCTTTATGTTGGTTTTGTCGTGACGCGGCTCAATTTTATTTTACAGCATTAATATATTAACTTGATTTATTCACTTATGTTATACTATCAAGGTCATATAGCCAACCTCTTGTCATTTGTTCTAGTGTTTTCATTTGCATGATTTTAGTGCATTAAAATTGTAACTTTGATCATTTTAGAAATATAATCTCTTTGACGATATTACAAGATTTTATACACTGTTAACACCGTCAATTTATCAAGGTCGTCACTTAATGCCATTTTAAATTTTGTTTGAAATTTTTGTTTATCATAATAATATTTTAGTATTGTAACATTTAAATTGTGTTTTTTTTAAAGAAAAAAAAACTTTTTTGAAGGGCTTCACATTCAACTTTATTTTATCAAGAACAAAATTTATCCTGTTTTATTCTTGTTTTGTGGTGACAGTCTAAAAGTCCCTTGTAAACTCCTTTTGAATTGTTAGGGAATAATATAATTTACTATAATACAATAACGCAAGAAAATGATTAATGTAGATTAATTAATTATGTTGTCATGGACTTACTCCGTTAAGAACATGTATTAGTAAAAAATAAGAAAAATAAAAGGCAATTTTCTCTATGTAAAGATTTAACTAAATATTCTGCCTGCTATGCTAGAAAATTTAGGATGATAATTCTATAAATATTATGTAAAAGTCTGTTTATTAGGGTATTTACTGTAATATTGTTATGAATTGATCATTATATATTGATCAGACATTATTTTTTATTTCATTTTTTTTTCTAATTTTGCATAAGAAGTGTATGTGCCATTATAGTTTCTTTTGTTACTCATTTTTAGCTCGACTTTTCTATGAAAAGGGGAGCTATCCTACTCGCCCCGGCGTCGGCGTCGGCGTTAGCGTTGGCGTCACACCTTGGTTAAGTTTTTCGTACCACCCCACTTTATTTCAGAAGTATTACAAGTATGGCTTTGAAACTTACCATACTTGTTCACCATCATAACCTCCATCTACAGACAAGAGTACATAACTCTGTCAAGGTTTTTGACAGAATTATGGCCCTTTTTTGACTTAGAAAGTGTATTGAGCTTGGTTAAGTTTTTTGTACCACCTCACTTTATTTCAAAACCATTGGAGGTATTGCTTTGAAACTGACCATACTTGTTTACCATCACGACCTTCATCAACAGACAAGAGGACATAACTCTGTCAAGGTTTTTGACAGAATTATGCCCCTTTTTGACTTAGAAAATACATTGAATATGGGTAAAATCCACTTATTGCCTTAACCCTTTGAGATATTGCTTTGAAACTTTTAATGCTATTTCACATCATTACCCCCATCTGTACGCAAGAGAAGGTAACTCTGTCAAGGATTTGTTTTAAAAATTAAGGCCTTTTATCGACTTAGAATCTTGGTTAAGTTTTTAGTACCAGTCCACTTTTTGACTGAACTGTTTGAGATATTAATTTGAAAGTTGGAATACTTGTTTACAATCATGATTCCCAAACATGTCCAGGAGAAGGTAATTCTGTCAAAGATTTTATTTGAATTATGGCCCTTAACTGTCAATGTTTTGTATTATAGGCAAGCACTAAAAAACTTAAAAAATCTAAAAAAATTCATTCCTATCCACTTGTTCACTTTACCATAAATTATGTCATATAAACATTGCTGTAATATTCAAGGGTATCAAACAACTAGTTCACTTTAAAAATACAGAGATTCTTGTATTGCCTTTTACTGCAAAAACTTTTTTTATTGGCAAGCAATAAAAAAGT